GCCCGAATTTTGTTGTTGCAGGGGCTATTCTTTACATGGTTCCATGCACCATTCCATTTTCTCCTATCCCTGTCGACGACGACAAGGGTAGGTGGGCAATGGCACGCATTATCACCGCTCGATGCCACGCGAACCCGCCAATGCTCGATAACTTCACCCTTCGGGACATCTCATAATCGAGCATGTAGACCCGTGTGCATCGCTTCGCTACATACGGGTTTTCAACGGCCGCAAGTCTAGAATATATTTTGGTGATACTATTACGATGACACTGGCCGTCTTGATATACCCTATATCGCGACGGTTGACATGATATTCGAAGGCTGAGATAAAGTTCTAGCGAATGATCCATGACTGAGCGGGTGTGCTGTATCACGGTCAATCGCGGTTGTGTAATAAGGACCTTTTCGGCTTGCCATCTAGCCGAAGGGATATACCCGCCTGCTCGATCATTCGGAAAATTCAAACCTGATATCAAGGCGTATGAATCAAACAATTGTGTATCTTTCTCATAAGCCAATTGGCCCTGCGAATCAGACGTGCAGTGACCGACCGCTCGGATCCGAACATATGTTTATTACCTAGTGCCTGTACCAAGATTCATTTTTGCTGTTCACTGATCCCCGCTGCTTTCATCTTCTCAGCATCGCGGAATGGCTGGGAAGCTCGGGCTCGTACTGTGGCCCCAGCATCTGTCCACAAAAGTGGTCCCAATTCGAAGGTTCTCTCAATCCAGGCGTACGTTCATTTCTTTTCATAGGCCCCGCAGCTGGGTTCTATTACGCAGTACATAGTACGTAGCGCGATGATGCTATCGTAATGACGAAGCTCGCGGCTTGCCCCTGTCCTAGCTCTCGACTTCGTCTACAACTACTGAATTCATTATAGCCACCGAAGCTCGATGAGAGAAAAATCCATAATATTACCTATGCTTGTGACGATTTGGCACGGTACTTGTGGGTATATTAGTATCACGTATGACAGGGAATATTCACGAGTCAGTGCTCGTAAGTACCCATTAATAAGTCATGGGAGAAAACCGGCGGCATTGGCCTAGGCTGGCCGGCAAGAGGTCTATTTCTAGGCAGGCAACGAAGAGTGGCTGACAAAGGGAACGAATCTAGTAATAACATCAGGAGAGCAACAACACTCTACTTGGATACTTGGAAAACCTATACTATAATATTTGGTAACTCGGAGCTTACAATGATATACTATGCTATACTGAATGCCAATACGCGTATACTTAAGCATTGCTTCAAGATACGAAGGAAGCGCTAAGTTATGCTTAACGTCATGTTTTCACCTCGACTAACCAGCTCTATATAACACTCTGTAATAAAAATGCAGAACGACAAGTGGTTACATAATAACAGTATAACGTACGAATGAGTAAGCAGACCTTAGCAGCAGATCATGACTCTTGCTGGAGCCTTGGGAGGGTGGGCCAAAGTTTCTCTAATGCAATCCGATTTCACATCATGCATTGTAACATGTGTGTTCGCATCGATTCTTGACTTTTGGGAACGCAGGGATTCCCACGCCTGAAGTTCTGATTAAGAACTGATATGGGTATGTAGAATTTGAACTCGATAGAAACCCGGCGAGTTCTGGTAAGAAAACCCTAGGGTCCAGGGTCTGGACAAGAACAGGCCGTGGACCCCTCTCGTTGCTCTACTACATAGTACGGAGTCTACTCCATCATCTACATAATACTTAAGGTACGAGTTACGTAGAGAGGTAAATTAGGGTGAGATAAGTACCCTCCTCCACACGATTTGCTTCAAAAACAATTTGCGAGAGAACGTGGGAGGGCCTGGGATGCTGGGTAGACTGCTGGATAGACGGAGAGTTCCAAGTATCCCACAGTATCCACTTTGCATAAGACGCAAGACGCAAGAATACATTTTATATCAATCCCATGGTACTTGGATTCCCCTTCCCAGTTATGGACTAATGAAGATGGTCAAGGATTGGCACTGCGACTGGCTTTATCAGGGATGTTGGGTCTTTTGTGGATGGTTCCGCCGCCTCCTCCATTGTATACACGTCTCATTGGGCGCGGTGTACAGTACCAAAAGGTACCTACACCGCTTTAGCCTCCCCACATTATATGTACACCTTCGAACTCAACTTCAACCATCAATATTATGAGCACGGGGGTACTCGGTACATGCCGTCTTTCGAGGTTGGAACTGGACGTACCTTACCAACTTATTGTAACTCGTATTGTTCTCGATATGTACCGAGGTACTTCGGCATAACGCATTTGACGATGTTCTCTATGTTCTGTAAAATATAGCATGAGACGAACCGGTAATGTAGGTACAGGTCGAGATAATGGTTGTGGACCGCGAGTCGCGAGTAAGAAGAGGAACCGAGGAAGAGACGAGAGGCAATGGCGAAAGAGAGAGAAGAGAGAGGGGCCGAGGAACAGGGAAATGGGGGGTTGATATTTCAGCTGTACAGTATCTCGACGAGCAGGGAAATCCACCAAGCTGTGGACATAGGCAGATAACAAGGAGAGAGAGTTTTGCAGGTATTGGATTGTGGATTTTGTTCGAGTTCAATACCTACCTACATGCATCCATACACAGTTCAATACATACGGCGGCGTTTTTAGCAGAGGCAGAAAGGTTTTGTTTGGCGGTGAATTTATATTCTTTCATCATTTGGGTTATTAGCCATACAATCTAATAATAAAGAGAGGCAAAAAGGGAAGGGGCTTGAAAATGAAATCATCATAGGAAAAAGAAAGGTAATTGTAAAAGCCAAAAATTAATAATCTCACATAGTATCGGAAATGATTTTTACCAGCTTACCTTTTGTGGCACAAAACGTTTTCCGCATCCCTCCTTCTCCCAGTTTTGTCGTTTGCCCCTGCTGGTAAGTGCGATCGGGACCCATACCTCCCATTGGCCAACTGCCACCCGGGCCTTAAAAAAAAAAATACATAGCAGCAGGTACACAGATAGAAATAATAATCAAATAAAATCATCACTCAGAAAAATCTCCCCGAAACTTCCATTCTTTCCCCAACCTTTATTAGCAGCACCAGATTACAGATTACCAAACCAGCCATTCATTCAAATCGTACATGCATTCCTCTATGCTGGTTCGGCAATCAAGTTGTACATTCAATCATCCCTCCACGCGTGTTCAAGCAGCACTGCAGCGTCGTGCCTCGAGCTTGCATCCCTTCTGCATATAAAAATTCACCATCTCCCATCCCCTCGGCACTAATTCCTCACTAAGCCCAATCTAAACTGATTGAGTCTGGACGCGAAATCGCTCGGGTCAAGACTAAAGTTTACGATTTGGCGCACCAACACGCAAAATTCTGTCGTCACCGGGCCCCTAAACCGTGACGGTCACTAGTTCGATCAGCTCTCCAGCTTGATCAGCTTTGGCGAGGCACCGCCCGCTACCTAACTAAATATCATCCATACCTATCTCTCTGCACGTCACTGCCTTAGGCCGACGATCGTGTGTGGTAACTTATCACTGCTACCTGGGTATTAACTGCCATTGCTTCTGTTTTCCCGCTACAGTAGCTGCCGACGCCAGTTTACCTAACACCCCATACCATTACATTCCCTATTACTCTATTCCCTGATATCTACATACTATACCCTATTTACATAACGCGCTTATACCCCATACCCCTTCACATACTATTCACACGGACGCCCTGTCACCGCGCAGCGCAAATACCTTACCTACCTTTGGGAGACGTGCAGAAGGAAGAGCACGCACCACGCAACAAAGCAATATCGCAATTTTTTTTTATATGGATCCCGTCCGCACTTCTAGACTTATTCCGTATACAAAGTCTACGCTCATCCTACGCGACGTAGGGAAACAATAATAAGAGTCAGTCTCGCCGACCCTAGGGGGTGTTCTAGCGGCTCTGTAATTCGACATTCCGAAAAAATCTAGCATCGCTCTAGCATCGCGCCGGGTCAAACTCTACGCAAAGGCCCCAGCCACCAATCGCAAACCTTGGTACCTCTGACAAGACACGCTAAAGTCTTCGCGGTCTAGACGACTTCGGGGATCGCTTGATTTTATCTAGCACTTCCCCCATTTTACTTCAGACTATTTTAGTCAAGTATCTTCCCTCTCCACCCTCAGAGGTCGACCATCAGACCTGAATCAGTCCCAAATAAGCCACTAGGTCGCTAGGTCCGCACGAGGTTCATACTTAGATACCTGGTACAAGCCAGTACAAGGGGTGGTGTTCTTGATCCAAGGGCCAAACCAGATCGAACCCTGCACTAGATCGTGCGCATCAGCAGCAGTACTTGACAAGTTCCCTCCCTCTCATAATAAGCGCGGCCTCTGCCTTCAGCCCGGGTGCAGCCAATCTGTTGTGTAATACACACTATCCTTTGGCGCCCGCGATCTAAGGAAGAACTCAAAAAGAACCCTGGCCCCCAACCCTCTCGCAAACTAGCTGACGGCGGGGACCACGCTTCTTAGTAGGCTTCTTTAGTAGCGCTGCTCCATACCTGGGATTTGACTTCTCCAGCGCAACTCGGTGGCTGATACTGACTTGTGGGTTGGTGGATCTCCTCGACAGACTATTTCATCTGTAGAGCCTGGCAAGACCGGAAGATCTACGCTATCTCCTTTGGTTCGGCCTCCCGTCTTTGACCAAACAGCCGCCAACAAATACGCCAGTGCAGCCAGCTCGTCTGTCCCCTTGGTGCAACTCTATCTTTCTTCTCTTAACCGAGTAGCACCAACATCGACCCAAGACACCGTCCCATCCTACCCTGCCCTGAAGTTGCGAGCCGCTCACTAATTCCCCGGTCCGTCCACCTTACCATCGTCCCTGGTAGCAGTAGCGTGTGCACCTTAGGTGTCAGCAAACATCAGCCTCAAGAGGCGTTCGTTGACGACCGCGCATTTCTACTACGCTACCTTCGAGCGCAAGCTTGGGAAGAGAGTCCGGGAGCAATCCATTGGAATCTCGCCTCGACGCCGCCGACGGCTTCATGGAACGGAGCGTACCCGAATATTCGCAGTCAGGTTTGCCTTCGCCCTATCCAAGCACCTACGGCGACACTCAGTCTGAAGCTTCCGCAGATCACACGTCTGCTGCGCACTACTCTAGCACCCAGGAAGCGAGGGGGAACAGCTATCCTACGTCTGCAACGCCGACCTCAGAGTACGGAGCCTATCCGCAATCTGCAAGGTCGACGAGTTCTTTTCCAGAACATACTCTTCGTCAGTACCATCCAGCGAGCAACCATAGCGGCAGCAGCGGAGGTATGGCGCAAACACCAACAAGTCCGTCCATGCCTATGCAAGATGGGCGCAACCATCAGTCCCAGCAAGTCAAATCTGACACCGATGTACCCATAGATCCTTCAATCGCGGCACCTAGCCCTACGTACGCGCCTCCTAACCAATACTCGCCCTACGCGCCGCCTCCTCCAGACATGTCGCATAACTACCCGCAGAGCGCCGGCAGTCTGTATGCGCAGCCCCGACCTGATTGGGCAAACTATGGGCACCCAGGTGCCCCTGGGCAGATGCCGCATCCCCATTCAGTCTACCCTCACACGCAATCCGCAGCCGCCCCGGGGCGACCAGCTCAGGTAGGTAATTCTCATTTTATAGGTTGAGAATTTTGGTTTCCATGTTTCGTATACGGTGAGAAATAACATGTGTCGTGCAAAATTGTCTGGAACGGTGATCGGATGGGATACGCCCACTGTCTGGGCATTTACTAATTGTGTTGGGCACTAACCGTGTTCTCCTATACTTTTATGTGAAGTAGCTGATTTCATTGACAGTATGGTGCGCAACAGGTCTACTCCTTCGTCCCGATTCCTGGAGCTCAGCAGCACAAACGACCTCGGAGACGATATGAAGAAATCGAGCGTATGTACAAGTGTGGATGGAATGGCTGCGAAAAGGCATACGGTACGCTTAATCATTTGAATGCGCACGTAACAATGCAGAGTCATGGACAGAAGCGAACTCCCGAAGGTAAGTCGTTATCATCCCATACTTCCCCTTTTATTATTATTTTCAATACACACAAGACGAATGGTGCGCGAAGAGAGCACGCTTTAGTCAACACCAGATGATTATTACTAGTCAAGTGGTGGGGGAACAGAGCGTGGTTTAGGCATTAAGCCGGACTCACGCCGGTTGATGACCTAGCTCGTGCTAGGCAAGACCAGTGTGATCCCTGCTATAAAATAGAGCTAAAGTACGGCGTTATTTTGCTAACTATGTTCGTCACATAGAATTTAAGGAGATCCGAAAAGAATGGAAGGCTCGCAAGAAGGAGGAGGAGCAGCAGCGCAAGGCGGCGGAAGAGGCCGAGCGCCAACGTCACGCTGCCGCCGCCGCCGCAGCTCAGAATGGCGGAGGAGACCCGCAAGCCGGTGATTCAGGACAGGCACCGTCGTCGTATACCACTAGTCGACAGGTACAACTGCCACCTATCGGCTACCAGCCGACCCAATATCCTGCACCCCCGTCGGCGACAGTACCGCAGCAGCAGATTCCCGAGTATAGCCCTACGAACCACATGTACTCCGGGTATCAACAGCCGGCATCCCCATACGGACCTCAAAACCAGAATCTCTATGGTAGCCAGCGAGAATAGGTTTTCCGCTCACCTGTTCCTCAACCTAAATAGCTACTATTAGGTAGCAGTCTAGTCGTCGAGACGACATTTACCAGGGTGGTTTAACTTTGCATTTCCTCCCTTTTTTTCCTTAAGAATGGATCATCAAAAGTCTATACAGTCTCGACACCCTGGTGTACGATACGCAGTGATTCCCCCTCGCAGCAACAAAACTTTCGTCTTCTGATTCGATTGATTCATACGAAGTTAGATATTGGTGACGTTTTACGACAGCATTGCGTTCGGAGCATTTCTGGCTCGGATCAGCGTGGAAGTATTCGAAGCACACGCATTCTAATGACCAACATTGATTTCTCGCATACAGCATCGGGGACCGTGGGCGGCGAGGGCGGGAGATGATAAGCCTTGCATTTGGTTGGGTGTCTGGGAAGGCGGGTATGAAACAATGATACGGAGCTTCTAGGCTCAAGGTCATATTTGGTCATGGTGCGGCGGCTTTGTGTTAAGGTCTGGTCTATTTCGCGCGAAGAGCTCTTCTCCTCGCGGAATCGGCCCCCGGCATGCCTTCTGTTCTCTCTTACATATTTCGCCGGACATACCTATTTTACAGTACAGGAGTGGGTTTTTCTTCCCTCCTCATGGGGAAGGTTCCGTCTCTCTGGCCCAGATTAGCAATTCGACGGAACTACGAAGAACCTGCTGGAATAACCCTTCGTTTTTTCGCCCAAGATATTCGGGTATTAATCAAATTTGCGTTTGATGTTTTTACACTACGGTTCGCGATTTCATGATTTGTCGTTCCTTTGACGTGCCTTCGCCGTATAGATTCGCCTAGACCGACTTGCCCGCTATAAGGCAGGCAGCCTAACAAACCCGGGAATCTGGGACACTACTACATCACCCATGCGTCCCTGATGTCAAAAGATGTAAGCAGTAGGGTAAAAAAAGACGCACTCTAAATTAGGGTGCCTTAGTTTCTTGTGCCACCGTAGCCACGAGGAATCCATGTGTTGACAAGAAGGCTCCTTAGGGCTGCTAGTCTCGTTGGCAAGTCGGGGTTTTTCGTTAGGTGTGGTTGCACAAGTCGTCTACGTACCCAGGTATTGTATGCGTGGATGTATGTATGTATCTACTATAGATGCACAGCCGATCCCACCAGCCCATCGTTACATTCAAATCTTCCTAGCCGAATTTCCTAAGTTGCTACATAGGTACTCCTTCTCGTGACACCGAGTGTGTCGATATTGTGCTACTGGGTTTAATAGATTACAATTAACGCATGTAAAAATGTGATAAATATTGAATATTTTTCTAGAGAGTTTGCAGATACCCCTGATAATATTTGTGGTTGTGCTAAGTATAACTTACAATATGCGCCACGGAATAGTTAACTTAGCCATTTCCACCGCAACCTACACCATGGCATTAAAGTGTCTCATAAAAAAGGTCCAAGCTACAGTTTAAACAGCTGAAGTCATTTTAAACTATTTTCTAGAAGAGCTTCCAAGAGACTTTCTAAACCTTAAGCTCATGCACTCATTTGTGGGCCTCACCACTCTGATGGCGACGGCTGGGAAAGACATTGAACTCTCCTTTTCTAATGTTTGCTCCGAGAATACATACTCCTATAGACTCAAGTCGTTCCAAACTAAAGAAGCTTAAGGTAACACTCACTAAATTCGTACATTGCGTTAGTTAGTACGACACGATACGGTACTTCTGGTACATATTCAAATAAACTACTTACATAACGCATTTTAGCCAGGTCGAGCCGCTCTGTCCATTCGGCCGACTTCTATAGCAACTACGGACGAACGAGGTCATAGGCGAACCAAACTTAGAGACCCATGTCTAGCCCGCACCCAAAGTCCGGGAACGGGCTTTGGAGCTAGTGACGTTACAAAATGTCTCGCCTTAGCGCGTCTTAAGAAAAAAAATTATTTCCCCGGAAAATAAAACATTAATGCAGATGAGTTTAGGTAGATTCGGGAATCTGGGGTTCTTGAGCAATGTCTAAGATGGCCGGTCGTTTTTTGTTTGTGTTGGTGTGGAAGACAGCGGCCGGACTAGACAAGGGGTCTTAGCTCGAAAACGCCTGCGAGCGCCGTTGGACGACCCCGGCCGTGGCCAATGCAGCGGGCCGCTAAACCCACAATTAGACGTTGACGTGCCTTGTGCCTCGCGTGCGCTCCTGGTTCTTTGGTGGCCCATATGCGACCCGAGGGAGGGTTTAGAATGTTCTCGATGTAACCTTGGGGATAGCGTCGTTCCCGTCTATTTTTATTTTATCTCATTATTATTTTTTATTGTTTTAAATCGGACGTTGATTTTATTTAATTTACTAGTGTGTTCGTCCCAAGCTCAGATAGGTAGGAAGGTTCGATGTTGATCGTGGCTCTTGCTCTTTTGATTCTAGCGCCCCCAGATCGGATGAATAGTCATGTATCATGTATTCACTCTTGGGATGAACATATAAGGTTAGTCTTCGTCTTTATTTTCTAGCAACCTCACTTACTAGTACTTATCCATACTTTGGTTCAAGGTTGTAATGCTTGAGGCTGATTTGTCGATTACTGCTGTATGTAACTCCAATTCTTACTTATACATACTTGCTGACTTACAGATAAATAGATGAATAGCATCTTCATTGGCCTTCTATTTGCTTTCCTGTGGCGTTATGGCTAGTCGAATTCCATGTAGGTCTGGGTTAAGCGTCGAATACTCAACAAAATACAGTTTGTTCCGTCCGATAACAATGGCTTATACTATATGAAATGAGAACATTAACCTTAGAAGCATCGAACTTACCCACACCGCAAATATCAATCAACCGTGATCATCTATTCTTTGCCGGTCCAAGTATAAGCATGGAAAGCCATTCAACCTTTATTACGAGTACACCATCTTATCTCCCACTCTTCACGGGCCAAAAGTACGATCACTCGGCATATCCAATACGAGGGGATCAGATAATTCAAATAGACTAAACCATTCAGCAACACTCACAATTAGCTTAGAAGTCATTGCAGGAACAAACCTTATGTCTATCAAGGTGTCGAATCAGATGGATAGAGCTATCGATGCTCGGATATATACATGTCCAGTCTATAACCGCTCCTGCCGTGCCGTACTGCAGTCTCACTTACATGCGCCTTCTGCAGATGGTCTAGACCTCGTCGATGCTCAATAGCAACCCACGGAAGGTCAATGCTTATCGTTATCGTGCCTACCGCGGCGTCAGTCGTGCCCTCTCTCACGAACAATAGCGTTCAACTAGAGCGGCTACTATAGGCGTTGGGGGATATCAGAGTGTAGCTTATGACGTAGCGATCTTGTGAATTGACTTCATCTAATTACCATCCCCTCCGTGTCTCCTTCCAACCCTACCTATCAACGTCACTCTGCTTGAGGCAGGACCCTGAAAGTCAAACCACTCTTTCAAAATGTAGAAACGGACTAATAGGTACAATATCTGTAGTGCTTGCTAGAGGCATGATAACTTAGGCTGCTACCTAAACTAACCAAGAGACCTAACTTTTACTTTTTAAAACTTAGCACTGTCGCCGTTAATCAGTTCACAGCTTATTCAAAGCCACTTTCACATATCATCACATCGCCGTACATCGCTGCACGCTGCCGTGCATCGCTGTGAGGAAGATGCCGTCTGCCGAAGGTGCCTCAGCCGCCTCGTTCCCCGACAGGGATCCGCAGGGTGTCAAATCAAGATCGGGTAATAGCGGTAATAGTGGGGTGAAGGCCCCGATCAGCCCGATCTATCCACACTCAGCTCTAGATCCATTTTCCATCACAGATCGTTTGCCTTCCAACTCCAGCTCCAACTCCAACGTCAAATCCGCCGCAAATTCGTCGCGGCCATGTCCCCTTAACCGCACCAACTCCGTCGAGTCTGTTGGAACCTTGGGCGCTTACCCTCTAGGATCCCTTCGACTCATAGGGTCTAGGAGAACCCCAGAGAGGTCCTTAGACCTAGATACCGTCATGGAAACTCCATCTAATCCTAAGCCCAAAGATGCTTTTCCCACCGGCGGCGATGTCTTCATTCTGGACGACCTACCGCCGAATTTCACAGTCGGCTGCGACACTATGTCTTTCTCAACAAGAAACTCATTCCCGGGCTTTCGCGAGATCCCGCCCGGCGTTCATCTTATCTGGGTCGCCCCCTCTGAACTAACGTCATCTCGCAGCGCGTATTGGATTGTAACTCCCGAGCGGGAAGAGTGGGAGCAGTCCGAAGTCTACGTCAAGCAGTGGGACACGTTCAACGAAGTTCTCGGTGAGCCCGCCAGCCACGCCGAGGAGCGGTTCCAACGGGAGAGGTTAAAAGAGGCGTTCGACAGCCTCTCGCCCTATCAGTTCCGGGCCGTCGCATCAGGCGTGCACATATCGCCGCCCGAGCACGAAACCAAGCTCCCCTCGTTTCTGGCCAACGAAACGATATGGACTCAGCTGACGTGGGCAATCCACCCGGGCCTCCTCAGCAGGATCACAGGTATGACGCAGAAAAGTTGGCAAGTCACCACCCTAGACCGCGTCGCCGGCGATGCGACGACAGCCGAAGAAGCGCGCCTATACACCACCGGCAAGCCGCAGCTCCAATTCACGTTTCCCATGAACGCGCCGCTCATCGACCCCGCGGCGCAAGGCAGCGAGCGCACGCAGCAGGCGCTAGACCCGACCAACTTCGTGATCTCCGTGCTCGAGAGCGGCGCGAACGGGCTGCGCCCCGACGACCTCGTCGGCGAGCTGTCGGTCGCCTTCCTCACCGGCATGCACCTCGGCAACTTCTCGTGCCTGGAGCAGTGGTGGTTCCTCACGAACCGCGTCGTGTTCCGGTGCTTTGATTTGGTGGTGCGGCGCCCCGCGCTCGCGCTGAGCCTCATCCAGGCCTTCCACGCCCAGCTCGCGTATAATGACCGCTACCTCGAGGGCGACATCCTCGACATGATGCCGGAGCAGTCGCGCCGCCTGCAGCGCGCGCTGGTCACGTACAAGGCGCGCCTCGACGAGAGGCTGCTGGCGCTCGGCGACCGCATCTCGGGGGCGCAGCACCGCGCCGGCGAGGCCTTCTCTGCGCTCGAGGCCTGGCTCTGGAGGCGCGGGTGGGATCTCAGGGGTCAGTACGTGCGCGCTGGGACCCTCGCGCTCGAGGACGGCGAGCAGGTCGAGGCTGAGATGTCCGATTTCGAGGACGAGGATGAGAGGGGCGAGTTCGCGCCCGTGGTGGTGGATCTGGATGAGGGGGGCAGGGAGGCCGGGCTGGTTTCGTGGGAGAAGTGAGGTTGGATTGAACTGGACTGGGCGGGACCGGAGTAGGATGGATGGATGGATAGATGGGATGGGATGGGATGGGATGGGAGATGACGGATGGGGAGTACGGGATAGAGGACGGATGGGTGGATAAGAGGTTGAACGGCAACGGATGGATGGATAGATCGATCGATTAATCGAACAAAGCCCGCGCACGATTTTTCAAAACATTAACCACGCTTACGAAACCTACGAAGGCGCCATCTTTTACGGTTGGGAGCTGGCTTTTTTGCACTCCTTTCTTCTTTTTATCGTTGCATCGCATTAAACCTCTCGCGCGCCTTTTTAATCACGCATGCATTCCTGCACTCTTGGTGTTCGTCGTTTTCTGGCCTTGGTCTTGCTTGGTCTTGGTTATACTTTCCCTGTTGTATAATTACTATAGACCTTTTCTAAGGGATTTTTCTAAAGGAGGCGGGAGAAGCTTCTTCTGATAGAACGAGGAGGCGGAATACAAATCGCCTAATTATGTATAGCATGGACGGAAACTTGGACTCTGGTCCTGGGCCTGGTCATGGTTATGGTCGAGTCTTGGTTGGTAGATGGTAGAGCAGCATAGGTTCATTCCTCTTCGCGTACATCGTCTAATTCGTTAATGGTACTAATTGATGAATATGATCTGCAATAACTTGACGTGAAATAGTGGCTGGCACTACAATGTTGTGATAATGGCCTAGGCTACGAGACGATGCTCTAGTAGATCATATCCTCCATGACGGACTACGAAGTTTTGCCATGATTTCTAGTCGTAGACACTCGTTGAAATAAGGACCTTAGTCTTCCTAATTCTTCTCATCAAGGGGCCTAATGATGGCTCGATCTAAGCCACCATGTTTCGCAATAAAATTCCAAAGGTCCTATAGAGCCTTGGAATAATAATTCATCGCTGACATCTACGTTGTATCACGAAGTTCTAGATCCGCACAAGATTTTAGAAGAATTTATCATTTCGTTCGCCTAATCCCTTTACAACCAGGCCATGCAAATGCATTGATAATAGAGAGTTTGAAGGCATCCTAGCAGTACTAGTAGAGATAGCCCTCGCAAAAGGATTTCCCTTTTTCTCAAGACTCCAGAGGTTTCCGACCAACCGCCATTAACCCGGTTTCCCGATTTCGCTGCGCAAAAAGGAGAAAGCCAGGCAACGGAAAGAAAAACGAAGCGCCAGCTGTTCCCGTGGTCGGCTCGTTTTCTTTTCCTCCCTCCCACCGCGATTTCCCGGCCTTCCATAAGTACAGGCACACACCATCCCCAAACTCCAGCAAGAAGCGGAATCTCTTAACGGTAGGATTTTTGGTAGCGGGCGCGGGCACCTGGACCGCCGAACTTCTTGGGCTCGCACCGACGGTTGTCGGCAACGAGGAGGGTACGGTCGTACTGGACGAGCGCCTGCTTGAGCATGTTCTTGGAGTGCTCGTCGACGAACTTCTGGTAGTAGGCGATGAGGGCCTTGGCGATGGATTGACGGACGGCGTAAACCTGAGAGGTTTGACCACCACCGGTAACGCGCACTCGGATGTCGACCTGGGCGAACTTGTCGAGTCCGATGATTAGGAGGGGCTCGTAGACCTGACGCGTTGTTAGTTTGTGAATTCCATCTTTACATTCTCCGAATCGTCATGGATTAAAATGTTCTTCAAGTGTTTGATAATGGTTTATGGTTCGTATTGGTTGTGGAAATGAGAATACGAGAATTTGTGGAATGGATGTTCGAGGACGTATGGGATATCGGAATCGTGGAAGATATTCGTTCGTACCTTGAATCGCAGAACCTCAGGCTGGACCAGAGATAGAGGTCGGCCGTTGACCTTGATGAGACCGGAGCCGGCCTAGAATTAAATGATATCTCGTTAGTATATTGTTCGTCAAAGCTGAGATGTATTTCCTTCTCTAGCGACAACGATGTTGGCGTTGATATTGGCGTTGATGTTGACGTCGCTCCACCGCATCCCGCTTCCGTCCTTCGCAATCGATGACAAGATAAAACTAACCTTGCAGTGGGCGACGGCGGTAGCCGTCTTCTTCTTGCCGAAGCACTGTACGCTGTTTGTAGACATGGCTGCGTATTTGTCTGAGAGATTGGGTGTGAAGGGATTCGCAACCAGAAAGTGCCTAGGCTTGAATGAGAGGGTACAGTCAAATTGATGATGTTGGAGAATCTCAATTTTTTGCCGAAAAGTTGAATAAGGGTTTGTGCCCTCCAAATACGCTAAGGCTGTTGGGAAATGCGCTAGCGATGTTTAGGGAACCAGGTGTGGGAAGGTGAATGTGGGAGTGCCGAAGAAATTCCGGTGGGACATTGCCCAATGCACTCTGGGCACTGTATCTTATGTAATCGGGGTTGAGTACTTATCGATAGCCAACTTCCTGCCCCTCGGACGTCACCGTAGACCTGTGATAAAGTATTCTATATTGCAACTGCGTTTAACTGCAAAACATTCCTTATATATTATTATAATTATGTGTTTATCATCAACTTGAATAACCTGATGTCTCCCTGTTATGTGATTATAGCCTCTGTCCCCTAAATCTACTTGTTAAGTAACAGGAATATACAATCCGAACTCACGTGCTCCTAGCCGGAGCCACCCCTGAACGTTGAGGCCAACTATTAGATACCATCTCCCCATCGCCTTAACACCACCCGGGCTATCCATAACCCCAGGCCTTATCTCTCACTACAAACCCTCGACCGGATAAACCAGAGAGAAAACTCAACTAAAAAAAAAAAATGTCCCGCAAAGGCGTCGGCCTAGCAGCCTTCGACCGCTCGCGCCTGACCTCGGCGCAGTACGCCTCGCACGGCAACACGCTGCGCACCAGCGACGCCGCCGCCCTCGAGACGCAACTCTCCGTCTTCCGCTCGCTCTTACAACAATTCGCGCAGACGCACGCCAAGGACATCCGCTCGGACCCGAGCTTCCGCGCGCAGTTCGCGCGCATGTGCACCGCCATCGGCGTCGACCCTCTCGCCTCCTCCTCTTCCTCTTCTTCGGGAGGATCGGGGGGAATAGGAAGCAGTTTATGGGCTCAGTTGCTAGGCCGCAGCGTAAACGACTTCTACTTCGAGCTAGCGGTGCGCGTAGTCGAAGTATGCGGGGCCACGCGCGGCGAGAACGGGGGGCTGATCGGGGTACGCGAGCTACGCGAGCGGCTAGGGCGGGGGCGCATGGAGGGGGCGCCGGAGATCGCGGACGACGACGTGCTGAGGGCGGTGGGCACGCTGAAGCCGCTGGGGTCGAGCTACTCGGTGATCCGCGTCGGCAACAAGCCGTACATCCGCTCGGTGCCCAAGGAGCTGAACACGGACCAGAGCGCCGTGCTCGAGGCCGTCCAGGTCCTGGGCTACGTGAGCGTCTCGATGCTGATGGTTAACCTGCGTTGGACGAGGGCCCGCGCCCAGACCGCCGTCGAGGACCTCCTCGGCGAGGGCATGCTGTGGGTCGACAAGCAGGCCCCCGAGTGGGAGTATTGGAGCCCCGGCTTCATGCTCGATGTCGATGGCGCGACTACGGCTGGTGGATGAGAGCCCGGTCTGGGAGATTACCTTCATCTACCTAGACCCCGATGGTAAGAACTACCGATTAGGGTTAATAAACACTAAACGGCATACCCTTTACCCGTACGATAAGCGGCGCGGACGGGCTATGTGAGTGTGGACGTCAACCAGGATATTGGAGATGTGCTAGTCGGTGCTGTGAAGTAGAGATTTCCGGGCTCAAGAGAGTAGTAGGTTCGTGGTATTGCTACACGTCTCTTTCCGGCCAGTTTGCCGCGAGACGTGAAGAAGGATGACTTAAACCTTCGATGCTCAACACCTGATACTATCCATGCAAGCATCTTTTTATGCAGTACTAAGGGAGCTAAGAGACCGGGAAATTCAGACCACCCCCTCATGATTTAGAGAGCGAGAATACAACTAGTCAATTTCGGGTTCGCGAAATGACTAATTCTCTACGCAGTCACTTTACAGATAGCGGGAGACGATAGCATACCGGGAAGTAATTTAACTAATCTTCATTCAATATCAGAAATCCATTATCTTTATGTACCTGAATCCCACCGCTTTTATGCAAATGCTTCTTTAAACCGCTTCTTCAGGGCACCCTCGCCGAATAATGTTACGCGAGGGCGATATTTTTTATATACCACACAAGTTTATGCGCCAGTAAAGGGAATTCCAAGGTCTATCTGTACGTAACCGTAAAAGGTTACCGGCTCTTCGCCAAACGTAGCCTCCCTCCCCTCCGAAACTCCGGAAATGAAACTATAGTACTCGTGACAAAGTAACAAGAAGTTTAGCGACCGTGACCGACGTCGGTTACCCAAGTGCTGAGTACCTTGTGGTTCTGGAATCCAACTATTTCTACAATACACCCTCCTCTCCAAAAGAACCTTTGCGATTTATACACAGACGCACGTGCGCCTTCCCGTCTCCGGGGAGTATTATCAATTAGGTAGTATTCGATTATGTCGATCGGCCTAATGTTCGAATCCATCTACATACCTTCCTCGTCCTCGTATTCGTACTCATCATTGTCACCGCCGCAGTTGACACTCTTGCTATCGTCGTTGACGCTCTTGCTGTCGCTGTTGTCTCGATTACCTAGCCGACTTGTTAAGGCATTGAGCCTGCCCTTAAGGAAGCCGGGGCCGGCTGACTTCCGCCTCTCTCTCTTTTGGACAAAACCGGTAGTAACTGTAGATATGTTTCCTGTTCTCATCGGGCTCATCGGTGTCGCTGTATGCATGCTGGCACTAGTTTTGGGTCGAGGCATATCGATTCCTAGACCGGTAGGAGCGCGATCTATGGGAGTTGGCGGTGTCGTCATCTTGACGAAGGATGGCAAAGGCGGTGCTGCTCTGGTGGTACTACTTTCTCCGCCGTTAGAGGATTTGCGAGTGTATGAGCGAGTCGAAGCGACACTAGAGCTTCGGCTATTTGATCGCTGAGGTGCTGGAATGTTGGAATGCGCGCTTCTTATGCTTCTCGGCGGCGACCGCGAGTAATCGACCGGGCTCGTCCCGTATAAGCTCGACGAATCATCACTATTGTCGCCGTTATTGGATGTGGATGGCGTGGCAAGGAGAACGCTGCTCGTAGCTAGTTCGCGAAGCTTGCCTTGCTGTGCAGTATTGGGCCGATGCTTGAACTTATTGCTAATAATAGAACCTGTGTGAGAGATGAGCGCCTTTACCACGCGACCTTTAAATGCTAGAGCCAAGTCAAGATTGGACCAGGTTTTATTGCGATATTCGATTGTCGGTAGTTTGAAGACGAAGTCGTGTACATCCTCGATATTCCGATCGCTTTTACCCTTGTAGCTGAGGCAGAGGACAACTGATGGTAGCTTGATGTATGCGAAGGTCATGTAATTTGAAGCACGTGCGACCATCTTTGTCAAGTCATCTGAAGGCTTCTCATCAGAGTTAGCATTTTTCCGGGAGAGACCAAATCGTCCACCCTTCTTATTTTCGCCGCCAATCGCCACCGTCGCGGACCGACCGATGCCCGGTTTTTGTTGGGTGGCATTGGCAGACCTCAGGGACTCGTACGATGGCTTTTTGTTTGCCGTCTTGGAACCAAAGAGTCGGAAGACGCTGCCTCCGTCGCCTGAGTACACACTAGGGGCTTTTGACTTCTGGCTGCTGTCTTCATTAGGGCGAGAATCGAAGGTCAAGGTAGGGCGAAGACGAAGCTCCAAAGATCCAGGCCGCGTGGAAAACGTAGGCTCTTTGTCAGAGGCTGCAGTCCCAACTCTACTAGAACTAGATACGGAGTCATCTTGCGGATCTTCTTCCTCTGGTTCGCCGGGGAATGTTGACTTCGGGGCAGATGGCGAATCGGTTCGTTCACCGGTCTTATCTTCATCCAGCCCCGGGAATATATATTCGAAGAGCTTCTTCCCTACTTCGCGCTCTAGCTGTATCCTCATTGGGAACAGGTTGACTTCGAAGTGGTCCATTACTGGTATACCCGCGATGGCTTCCAGCATGCGCCAATAGACCCGAATCATCTGGTTGCCTTCCAAACTAGCGGAGGCGGCTTTTTCGTCCTCGAAGTAGGGTGCAACCATTTCAGGATAAATCGCATCTGGCATGAGGTTTAATCCTAGCACTTTGCCAACTTGCATTAGGTTGATATGAGATCCATCAGAGTTGTCTGTTCGGTCGTACTCCACATCCCTGAGCTGCAGTTCGACGAGCGGTTCGTTGTTATCCCTGATAAGGTGCCAAACAATCTCTTTCGCTGCAATGGTCCATCTCAACAAAGCGTTACTCTGCGACGCGTTGTTGGACTTTCGCTGCGAAGTAGTGATCGCCTTCATCATAAAAAACAACTCGTCTTCGCAGGCAGCGATGTCACGCTCAAGCAGTAACCTATCTTCCCATCCTTTTCTGTCAAGATACTTAGAATGGATCTGGAAATGGGCCTTGATGTCTTCTAGTTGCCGAATACGTTCTTGCAATCTTGTGACCATCTCCGGAGTTCCTCGAAGGTCGCTGAAGTCCGACGCCAATATGATCTTCTCTAGCCTTTCGCTTCTCGTCTTCTCTAGAGGCTCGCTGTACATAAGAAGATCAAGAACGATGACGTACACGGCGTAATACTGCGAAGAATTGCAAAGGGCCCTCAGCTGAGGAAACTCCACCCAAAGGTTATCCATCCTACTCTCTGTGCTCTCTACAGTGAGGGGGTTGGCCTCGGTGTTGACCTCGTCGTTGTACTTCAAACGGAGAGTGTTGAATTTGTCATATCTAAGCATAGCCGATGTTTTCTGTACGACTCGTTTGAAGCCGAATGGATCTGATTTGAAATCGTACATGACTTCCATGGGTACCCAAGGCGGCCACGACGAGCCGGAAGGCGTCCCGTATGTGTTTCCCGAATACATGGACAGTAGCTGACCGGAGAACCATTTCTGATGGGTCACGAAGAACTGCGCGCTGTCCATCTGAAGCAAGAAACGTCGTTGGACTAACCCGCTGACTTGGTCGAATAGCCTGGCTTTCTCCATGACCTCAACCACTTTGAGCTCCATTCCCTTTCCGGTAATGAGTACGACGTGCTTCTTGTTCTTTTCACTCTGCAATTGGATTTGAGGTGCGATTAGTCGGACGTGGTACGAATTCTGAGGCGCAAAATCTTCTGCAATGCCACTTGTGATATCTTCCATGTGGGCGCTGGCAGGCCCTTCGGAACCGGCATGCCCATCGGCGTTGACGTATTTCCTGCCATCTCTTAGGATTTGATTGATACGATACTCGATGTCTGGATCTGTGTCGCTAGTTTGCGCAGTGCTACTAGCAGCCGACGATTGTTGCGTGTCATCGTTCGATTTATTAGCAGATTTGCTATTTTGCTTAGCCCTTGCCTGTTCTTCGACGATATCTAGGATGAATTTGACAGCAGGCCTAGATAGATAGTAGACGAAACCACGCCGCTGGCTGACTTGATGGCTATATCGCAGAATGATGTTTCGCAACAGGTTGTTCCACTTCAACTGGATGTTGTGGATGACGAACCTGTTTTTGAAATCGCTAGCAAATTCTGTCCCTGATGGCACTTTGACTTTTCCATCGCCCGTGTCAATCCACTCTCTGGACTCATGGCTTGTAGACTCGGACCCGTCTGAACCATTCTGGTCATTTGTCGACGTTTTGATAGCTACTTGCTCCAGCATATTCTTCATAAACGATAGCTTTTCTTTCAACGTGGTAGCATGCTTGCTTAACAACTCAAATTCAGCTTTGGTATCGGGGTTATTGCCATTGTCTCGGACCATGCGCAGTTCGGCGTCGCCAATATTGCGTGCGTTGGTGGCAATCTGAGTTTGTAGTTGCTCTAGACGCTTCTGAATAAGATGATATTGGACCCTCCTCGGGTCATCGTCCTGGCTCATTATACAAAAATGAGTTGGTTCTTGCCCAAAAGGACTAGTGCGGTCCGGATCTCCATCTATCGTGCCGCCAATGTCAGTTTGTCTGAAGTAGGTGACGCGCGGAGCATATGCAAGCGGCAGTATCCTCGTATCCGGGTTTGGTTCTGAAGGAAGGATCCAGTCAAGCTCCACGAAGTCATCCATATCGATCCAGCTGTAATCATCGTCGGGAATGGTGAAGTGTGAAAGATTCGTACTGTCGTTTTCTTGCTGTGTCATCAAGGTCGCAACCGAATTCTTCTTGATTGCCTCAGTAGTCGTGCCTCTCATACTAGCAGATATAGCACGAACATCTGCAGATACAAGATCGAGCTGGGCTGCGTGGATCTTCATGCCAGTTGTCCGACCATTTGTCTTATGACCTCTATCCCGGGTGTTGAATTCCTCTCGGCGTTGGTGAATATCGAGCATGAAGCTATCGAATCTAACTTTAATGCCTGTGGCTGAGACAGAATTCTCAGAATTGTCTTCGACGTCCTTATGCTTGTAAATATGACTGAGGAACAAGGGGGCCAAGAGAAGGTTGTATTTGATTGTTCCTAGATGCCTTCCGAACTTTTTACTATTCTTCTCCCGTCCAGGCCAAAGTGATCCCTGTCGGACGGGAAGTGACATCGGTCCACTGAATAAGGACCACCAGGCAAAGAAGTGAGTGAAGAATCGCGGAGTCAAGTGCACAGTGTTGTAACTCTTCGACGGTTGGACTTCTGATGACGTCCAATTACGATCGACCGGTGCTCTTATAGCAAGAGAAAGATGGATGTGCTCGCTTCTAAAGCCACGGAAGGCATCGTAGGGGAGCGACCCCTCCGGTTTAGCGTGCTGGGGTGCTTTCAAGACAACTTCGTAATGCGGCTTGAAGTCGAAATTCCGCTTCCCGTCTTCGATAGCCTGTTCGAAAACTAGACCAGCCATCCACTGGACGTTACCTGAGACTTTCATGACAACCTTCTTGAACGACGCGCCAGACTTGAAGCTGTTTTCACTTTTAACACTATCTTCCTCTCCGACACGACGCGATTCTTCTCTGGCCTGATGACTGTAATCCGGTATAGCGAGGACATACTCACCGCTGTCGACGACCATGAACTTTTTGGGGTCGTCGTCGGTGTGGACGTCCCACCTGACATTGTTCCGCCAACACATCAAGAACCCAGCACCGTTTCCAGTGACATTGTAGGGATCTCTCGTGCCCTTGAGAGCAAGATGCACGTCGCCGTCTCCTTTCCATGCGGCCCGAAGTCGAGAATGGAAGTTGAGTCTAATCTTGTCCCAGAACCCCACACGCTCCGAAGGATCTAGCTGCGGTTTCGTGAATGACTCAATGACCATCATCATGTCTTGGATAGCTGGCTGGTAAGAAGGACCCCAGGTGATTCGGGTAGGATGTGCCGTATTTATGTCTATATTCATGTCTGAATAAGACTTGACTGGACCGATGGTGCGGCGAACATCGATGGCAAAACTTCCATTTGGCATTCCTGGCTCTAGACTACTTGGTGGAGTAATCTGGACTTGAATCTTTCGGGATGATTCATAGCCACGGAATTCTTCCGCAATGACAAAATCCGTTTTGAGAGATAGAGCTGCAAGTTTTGACGACTGACCAGATTTTATGGCGGGAACATGGAGTAGGGGTAGGGGGTAATCTCGAAGACTAACTCGCACTTCACCCATACTAATCTGAACGTTCATGGGAACGAGAAGAGAGTACTTCATGTCCTTCGGCATCCCTTTTCCGACGCTATGGAGAAAATCCGGTAGCTTATGAATTGGGAATGAAGGCTTGTCAATCACTACGTGCAAGTCTGTTATGACTGTCCCCATTAGCGCCGGTCGCTGCGGCACCTCAAGTATTTTCTCGTTGTCTTCGAAATCGTCGGGAATCTGATCTGGCCCCCAAAAGAGGCCACGAAGCTCCTTCATCCCATTCTTTGCCATGAGATAGTTGCGGTCGATGCGCTTCTTCCAGCTTTGGGCATTATGCTCATGAAGTTTGAATCTAGCCTCCTGGACTGACACATGGGCTCTTCCACTCATGCCGCGGATCGTTTCTGGGTCATAACGGGGGTTCCTACTCGTGGGAGCTTCGCTACTAGAACGCTCAGCACGACCGAATTTTGAGAGACCATCTTCACTTTTGCTACGGCCCCAGGCGGCATTCGAGGTAGTCGTTCTTCCTCTCGTCATCACCGATCGATTGCGAATCCGACTTGACTCTTTCCTCATTTCCTCCTCGTGGATCTTTTTGACTTTTACTTGGTATGCCTCCTCTCGAGCAAGTCGTTGAAGCTGCTCGACACGGCCAGCTCGGTAGATTATTCCCAATTTCCACTCGAAAGCACCGTCTTCAAGTTCAAACAGAAGCGTGCGAGTTCTTAGTGAGACCTTCGGAACATTCTTTGGGCCTTCCGGTGCCTTGTCCAAGATATATTCGTTCGTACCGGTCCTGAAGCGATGATGAAGCTGTTGGCTAGCTTTGATCACGTTAATAATATTGTCAGATATCATATTGATGATGAGCTCATGAGGTACGGCTAATCGCATAGCATCGGTGACAATATCAAACATTTTATCATCATAAAAACCACCCGTTGACATTTTTCTCCGCGACTGGCGATAGTCTAAACGGACCGTCTTGATACTCGCAACGCGCGCCCAAACACCACGCATTCTAGGTGCACCAGCATACAACCGCACTAGTTTTGAGAAGAAGAATGGTGGCGACCACCTGTGGCGACCAGCTCCCATGTCGTAGACTTGTAGCATCAAGGGGGGATCGGAAGGCATTTCGGCCTTAACCTGAATCAATGCAGCTTTGATGTCAAATGTAACGAGTTCCTTACGATGTCGAGGGAAATCATCCATTTGGCCAGTGATAGGCGAGTCTGGTGACACGACCGGGGGGCTTAGAAATCCAGCCTTAGGGGTTTTCGGACTTGTTGGCGGTGCTGGACGCTGCGATACTGGCCCCCTGATAAACGCCTTACGCAAGACCATAATAGCGACGCCCACGGAATAATGTCGAAACAGCGAATAGCGGACTAGGAGAGTTCTGATGTGCGAATGAACATGTAGTATGGGGCCCTGGCCATCACTATGCGTCGAGAGTGCTATCTCGAAGCGAGGTATTTGAACGAAGGGCTCAACTTCCCATTTCTCAGGCCCTTCTACTATGAAAGCCTCTAGACCCCGCGTATGAACAGTAAGCTTTCGTCCATCGCCGCCGCTCTGTTGCTTTTTCTTTGGGGACGGTGGCGTAGAAATGGATTTCAAGAACTCCGCGTCAGGCATAAAAGATCGACTGGCTGTTCTTCTTCTAGAAGTTGGGCGCTGTCGAAGTGCATCTAATCGTTGAGCTCGATACTCGGCTGACCAGGAATCCATCTGTAGCACAACGCCCCTAGTATGCCCAGGGAAATCATCGTCGACACCAGTAATTTCAGCGCTGAAATCTTCGATCTGCACGTTGAAATGAAGTAGCCACTGTGGCAGGGCCCGAACCACATTCTTTTTCGATTTCTGTGTCTTTGATCCTGTCCGCTTATCGGGCTCGACATCCAACTTAAGTTGACGGACTATTTGACGTAAACCTTTCGTGATCTCCGGACGGGTCATGCGGACCGCGAAGGTCTGGAGATTGCCATTGGCAATAACATGGACGTCAGGAGTTGCCGAGACTTGGATCTTGAGATCAAATGACTCCGTTTCCATCAGATCAAAGCGAAGGCCTTGAGCGGTCTGGTAGTAAAGATGGTGAGTTTGGAGCCGCACAGATGAGACCAAAGAGTAATGTAAATCTTCAACTGCAGAATGGAAAGACTCGAGATCAAGCGAGATAGAGGAGATAGATGAGATGATCAAGTCGAAGTCATCCGGTTCATTGGTCTTTTGAACTGGAGGTAGAGCTATTCTTATGACTGGTTCATGCATGGAGAACTTGATATTAGCCTTCGGTAGTAGGCGAGAGATCAGCCTATGTCTCTGCTGCACGCGAGCTTTCGGTGCCTTTGGTTGAGGCCGAAGGAGAGCGAGCAATACTGGGAGATGCTTCGGATGGAGATCAACGGAAGGCGAAGTGACGACGGAGTTGGCGAAGAGGATATTCGCATTTCTTTCTTCGGCGCTTCCAACGTCTGAGAGTTCCACAGTTTTTGAAGGCAGTGTGGTCTTCACGGTCGTGGTGGCCATGGGGATGTATACTACCCTTTCTGGATTGCCGTTGCCGTCGTCGAGTCCAATAGAGATTGAGAGTGCAGCGGCCAAAGCCTCGTGTGCGATATCCTTCGAGGGGAAATACATACGATGCGCTGGCGATTTAGGATCTAAACGGTGTAGATCGATACCAACCTCCTTCATCGAAGCGTTCAAGAGTAAGGGAGAACCGGCCGACTTCACAGCATCAAGCTTCTTTGTGAGACTGACGAAGCTCACTGCAAACTGCACCTCCTTGACCCCTCGAAGAATAGAGCTCACGAACTCCTTGGAATCGGATACCGTTTGCATCAACTCCTGATCTGTACTGCCGGGCGTCTCAATTTCTTGGATGACCTTATCAACCGATACCTCAATGGACTCAACATTCTTATACGTAGGTGGATATTGACGCCTAGATTTCTGAAATCGGTCGATACAACTCCGAACATCGTCGTAGGGGACGTGCACTCTGCCGAGCTTCAAGGCGATGGCTGCATCCCGAAGCCCATCAAGTTGATCGTAGAGAAATCCATGTATATTCAACGTAGCACTATCCAAGACCTCAATGGCTTCAGCACCGCCCTTATCTGTGAACAAGACGCTTCGTAGGGTAACGATCCATTCGGCGGAGTGTTGTTGGCGCTGCTTATCGGATCTGGTTTGGAAGAAGAAACGTGCGCGATCGACCATGCGATTCCTGGTGTCTAGAGCGATCGTGAAGCTACCGAATTGCACTTTTCCAGCATCCACGATGTTGAGTGTTGAATCGGTAGCCACAAGATCGACCATGCGAATCCAACGAACATTTCGGTGCAGCTTCTTTATCTTCTCCTTGATTGTCATGAGTTGTTTCCAAGTAGCGCTACGAGCCGCTTCAAATTTAACCCGCTTGGGGGCTTTGCCTTTGGGTAGAGTCCCCGTAGACTGCGATCGTCGGCTGTTCTCATCTTCGCTTTCGCTCTCGCTCGAATCGGCCCCGGATTTCTTCTGGCCCTCGAGTACCTTGATATCTAGAGTTACGGCGAGCTCGCTAACAACTATACTAAGCCACGTGGGCTGGGAAAATGTTGGGCGATGGAGATTAAGTCCAAGACCTCGGATCTCGATCTTGATACCATCTTTAGGCGTATAAGCTAATCGCCGCAGGGAAGAAAGACCTATACGCTGTATGGATACACCGGTAATGATCCGAAGGACTGCGAAGAGGACAAAGGACGAGAGGTAGGCGACGACGAAGACGCCGAATATGAAGGTTGGATTAAGAAGTGCCATGGCGATGACGCCTCAAGCAGGCGCGTCCCGCGTTGCTGGCTTGCGAAAAGGATATCAGCATAACTAAACAGGTAGCAGTATGGATCAATCTTCTCTTTCACCCTTACATACAATGTCGCGTCAAATGCTTCCGCTCGCCTCATCATCCGAGTGTCGGGCTCTGGTCCATCTCGTTACTTTCGTTGCTTATTCAGGGTACGTATGGCGTTGAGACACGAATCAGCTTTGTTCCCCTACGGCCGCCCTTGCTATATTTGTACTGGATTATTAGGTGCGTGCGTAGGTGGATCTCGAAATAGCTACTAGCCAACGAGGCAATGGCTTGAGCTGTCCGTATTTGACAGAGCTATGTGGTTGGATGAAAGGCAACAAATCGAAAGGAGAACTTAGAAGACCTTTTGTCTGATAGGGAGGAATTTGTAAGGGCATGCACGTCACAATGCAGCCGCATTGGTGGAATCCATGCGCTAACCGTTATAAGTGTCTTGTATTAATAACGGTAATAGCTCTTTCCCTCCCTAGCTGCCCTGGCTGCCTAGATAGGTACCTCCCTGACCCTCATTTAGAAGGCGCAGTGATAGAACCCTTGAAGTACCCTGGTAACTGCCAAACAATTAAGCTTCATAAAATCCTTACAAGTACCTTCCCTGGTAGTCTCGAACTCGAAATTTCTACACTCAACAGTTTTACAATCTAGTACTATGTAGGTAGCATGTGTATCTAAGTTTTATTGATTACACCGTTATGAAGAAGCAGTATGATATAAAATGAGCAAACTTCGGTTACTCCCGTCCCGCAGTTTCCGCGCCTCGATTCGATCAGTGGAGCTGTCCATCCCAATATGTTACAAGCTCTCTCATTTCAGCTTGACCCCCCTCAGCCTCATAAAAGTCAACTCGGTCAATTCTCAAGAGAAGCAGAATCAACTTTGCTGTGTGAGCGTATAACTGTACGCCAACTCACATAATTATACATTCTGGCCAATCCCTCTTAATTCCCAGGAGGATACCCGTCGTGTATTACATAAACCCATACCGTGTAACTCCTCGCATGCTTTCAATGACAGGTCCCAACTCCTAAAAGCAAATGCAAACTACCCACTCCGTTCTCATCTAAACGACTTAGTAGTAATAAGCATCACAAATGCTAAAGTTTTGACCGAACCGCCTCTAGTCTATATTTGACGTCTTTAAGCGCCTTGTTACTAGGCGACCAATCATCAAATTGCTTCAGCAACTCGGTCGTCTCTGAGTATAGTTCTGTCTTGACGAATTCTTCTTCTAGCAACCCACGCATAATCCAAGGTAATAAAAAGGGGTTGGGATTCACTAGCTTTTCTGGCTTCTGAATCCGACAAGGTACACTAGGCACGTCAGTTGTCTCCAGGGCATGAGATATCGCAAGACTATAATATTCATATTAGCAATATTTCTTCATATATTCATCTTGGGGTCATCCGCCAAAACTTACTCGTAAACTTGCTCGTCGTCGTAAAGCCTTGAATGACCCTCTCCAGAGTAGAGACTGCCGGCAAGTGGGATTGAAAGCTCACGAATGAGCCCGTGGTCAGATATCCCTAGGTTTCGTAATTTCAAAGCAAACCCGACCAGATGAGCGATGAAGTCAGGGGCATGAATGCGCCCATCTATGAACACGGCGCGATAAATGTAAGGATGTGAAGCAGGCGTATAGATCGCTGACTCCATAGGAACTAGTTGATCGTCGATACTGCCAATGTACTATGACACTTAGTATTTGCCAAACACGATTGTTACAGACATTACTTACAGTAAGACGAGCACCATAAGACACAACAGCCTCAAGGGCATGCCGGTATCTTTTTGATATTTCGCTCTCGGGATCGGCAAACTGCCATAGCTCGGCGGCAGAACCCATCAGCACTGTAACACCTGAAGTCAGTAATTGTCATTTATAAGATCAAAAGGTCATCTATGACCCAAAGTAAATGCTAGGGGGTGTATTGATGTGATTCCGGGAAATACTTACTACCCATGCCGGATTTATAGTCGGGGAAAGGTCCAAGCGAAACCCCGGCTAATCGTCAAGTGTCAGTAACAAATATCATATCGGCTATTGAGGACATATTTACTAACCCATAGCGCATACGCCAATCTTAGATCGAGTTATGATGCCCAAATCGATCAGCTTTTCAAGAAGCATCAGGCCAACAGGGACGCCTTGAGAATGGCAGGCTAGAACGATAAGATCGGCGCTGCGGATATGTTCTATCCAGTTTAAAAGGAGTTTCCAAAGGTTGTCGACCCTTTCTGCGATCTTGCCCTCTCCTTCCAGAGCGATCTTTTCGATCTCGCACCCGCCGCAACCATGACTGTCTGTCCATCTCCGTATAGCCTCAGCACAATGGTTTGCAAATCGAATCGAGGTGCCTGTCGGCTGCCCAATCATTGGCCGAAGGAACGAAGCAGGAAAAAGACCATCTATAATAGATTAGTATCCCGCAAAAGGTACCAAAGACTCATCATCTGTTATGTATCCCCAATTAGGTAGAGGAGGGACGAGTATATACAGAAAAGATGGAAACGTACTACCACTGTGTTAGCGTTTGTCCATCAGAAATACTAATTAGGTGCAAGATATTTTTTTTCATGCATACCGTATACCAATAGCGACAGCTTTCTTGATTTTTGGCGGCTCTTTGACAAGGAATACATGGTTCGCAGGGGGTTGCTGTGTCCGCAGTAGTAATTGTGTAATTTGCTTGATGATTGAGGGGTTATTCTTCATATGATATGTATTACGGAAAGACGGTAAAAGCAAATTCTGTGTAGAGGACTTGCTTGAACTTGGCGTAACCGGTTTTGCTGGAGCAGTCTTCGTAGAGATGTCTGACTGAGGCGTGCCTGGCCTTGATAACGACTCATCGATATCCAAAGATTGAGGTCGTCCCCTCTTGCTTCTCCTGATCGACTCTACCCGAAGCGGTGCTTCTTTTGGAACCTTCGATCCCTTAATCGAAGGTTCCTTCGCAGGCATAGCATTTCCGTTAACCTCAAGACTAGTCGACTGTCGTGGGTTCGCTTCTGAGCCATCACCGATGACAGCCAACTCGCCAGCCTCCGGCGCAGCTGCCTTTTTCGTGTCATTCTTCTGGCTGGTATCCCTTGACCAAAAAGCCCATGTTGAACTAGTAAGTGGCTGACTTGGTTCCGTCGGTTTTGAAGGCGAAGCATCTTCCATCACCACATCCGGTGTCTCCTCCGAGGTAGACTTCTGAGCCGGACCAGTTTCTGTTGTCGTTTGTGCAGGATCCTTTGGTAGCGTAGGCGTCGTCGAATACCAATATCCAAACCATGAACTTGTAGGTTTAGCGGGTTGAGGCGGTTCAACAGACCCTTGGCTAGGCTCGGAGGGCTGTTGAGGAGTGTTATTAACCTGCGCACTTTCGGGCCCTACACTTTCAGATTCTTTAGGCAGATCGACATCCATGTTATCATCCTTCGATGTAGTTACCTCCGAAACTGATGGCCTACTAAACCATCCTCCCAGCCAGCCAGAAGAGTTCAGAGGTTGTTGCGTTGGTTCTACCGGGGGTTTACTAATGCTGCTGTTTGTAGTCGCGTCCGGACCCTCTTGGTCTTTTGGTAGATCTTTTGGAGCATCGTTTGCACTATTCACATCAGAACTACCAACGTCGTTTGTTTCCTGTGGTTTCACGGATTTGGTATCATCTTGTTTGGATTGCGTGCCTATTTCGGAGATCTTAGGCAGGGTTCTGATGGATTGGCTATCGGACTCGCTGTTATCATTGTCCTTCTTAGACTCAAAACGGCTGAAGTCGGGAGATGCACGGGGGCGTAGAGTTCCGCCCATGATATTCTGATGTGAGACTTGGGTCGAAGCAGACGACTTAGGCACTCGTGGCCAAGAACCATACCAGCTCCGGGACTTGCGTACCTACAACATTGCACACTTCAGTCAGTAACAGGTATGGCGATGTGATAAAACTTAGTTAAGTGATTCTGTAGGTTGCAGACCTGCTTTATGTCATCGGATTTTGTGGATGTAGATGCAGATGCATTCGATCCATCTCCCTTCGCGGATTGCATAGAATGGCCTGGAGCTGCGGATGCCTGTGACGCAACACTGGTGCTGGCTTGTGATCGCAAAGTTGCAGGCAAGCTAACATCACTATTCTCTTTGACAGAGGGATTCGGTTTTGCACGCTTGCGGGGACTCATGATGGTTCACCATGTAAAATCCGAGTAATCGGCTCCATAGATGAAATACTTTGTTACTATGAGAGATTGCTGGTTTGTCGTGTCGCAACTGTAGACGTCAGGAGCAGCAGAAGTAAACTCTATCTGGGCACCTATGCCTCGGAAGCAGTAGCTACCTACAGTGAACACGTTGAGACCGTGGTCCTTGTAAACCAAAACAAACCTCCAATGGAGAACGATAAAGGGTGGATTCGGCGGGGTGCTCTTGACCCATAGGCCCCTCTAACTGGGGCACGCTAATTCTTGTGCATGATGAGTTTGTGTACCTAGGTACATCGTGGCACTGGCATAGAATTGTACTAGGCTTATCGATTATCGATAACTGCTACCCGCGAAAGAAAAAAAAGTTGTCTGGGCAATTGAATGCACCAAACATCACCAAGCAATTCTAAGGCCCTCCGCCGACGGGCACAAATAAATCGGCAAATCGCTTTGATACCATGAGTTCTCTCAAAAGGAAAGATGCCCCTGGGGCATCTTCGTCCTCAAAAGCCCCGAAAGCGCAAAGCGACTCTCGACCGTCAAAGCGATCCAAGTCCGAGAAAACCTCTGCTAAGGATGATACTAAATCGAGCTCGAAATCGAAATCAGCCAAGTCATCTGCAGTATCGCGATTGAAGGAAGAGGAACCTCTATTTCCTCGCGGGGGTGGAAGCGTGCTCACTCCTCTTGAACACAAGCAGATCTCAATCCAGGCAAAGCAGGATGTTCTCTTCGAGCAAGAGTCTGGGCAAGGTGCGAAAAAGCCTGATCGCGTTCCCAAGAAGAAGAAGGTCAAGGTTTCTAAGGACGGGAAATCCGGGAAATTCCTTCAGGATGACGAAAGCGCAAAGATAGAGTCTCTCAACTATAAGCGACTAGTGAAGGGCTCTCTAGTCCTCGGCCAAGTCTCCGCAATCAATCCCTTAGAACTCGTCCTCGCTCTACCAAATAATCTCTATGGCCACGTACCTATCACCGCCATCTCAGACGCTCTGAACGAGAAGATCGCGGCCGAAGCGGCTGGTGATGAGGAAGAGGAAGAGGAAGAGGACACAGAAGAGGATGGCCTTAACCTAAAGAACATGTTTAAAATTGGCCAGTATCTCCGTGCTTATGTTACGTCAACTATCGAAGAATCAACCGCTCTTTCTACTAAACCTAAGAAACACATCGAATTATCGTTGCGTTCTACTCTCACCAATACGGGTTTATCCGACCAAGATGTTATCGCTAACTGCACAGTCATGGCAACGGTTGTTAGCGCAGAGGATCATGGGTTCGTTATGGAACTTGGACTCTCAGATTCAGACGTACGAGGCTTCTTGCCTCGAAAAGAGCTGGCTGAGGACATGCCTGATTCGCAAATGCAGCCTGGGAGTGTTATCCTATGTCTAGTGACAGGGAAGAGCACCAATAGCAAGGTTGCGCAGTTGACTACTCTTCCAAGAAAGATCGGGAAAGTTCAAAACTTTGCGTCAGAAGCGACTACGATCAACGCATTCCTACCAGGGTCTGCAGTGGAATTTATGGTGTCCGAGATCGCCAAACGCGGAATAGTAGGCAAGGTCATGGGATCACTAGACGTCACAGCGGATTTAATCCATTCGGGTCTTGGTCCTAACGCTCTGGATTTGGAATCTAAATACAAAGTCGGGAAGAAATACAAGGCTCGTGTCATCTGCAACTTTCCAATGGCCAAGGATCCGAAATTGGGTATTTCTCTGCTGGACCATGTGGTTTCTCTACAGTCGAAGTCAGCCTCCTCAGGTAAAGTTCCTTCGGACGCTCTTCCATCATCAGCGATAGTAGAACAGTGCACGGTTACCAAAGTCGACCCAGAAATCGGCCTTTTTGTTGATGTGAGTGTGGATGGGGTACCTGGGTTTGTCCACGTCTCAAGAGTCAAGGATGGCAAGGTTGATATGTTATCCGAGTCTACGGGTCCTTTCAAGATGGGTTCCGTACATCGCGGCCGGGTAGTGGGTTATAATGCCATCGACGGCATGTTCCAATTATCATTCGAGAAGCATGTTCTCGAGCAGCCATTCCTGCGGATCGAAGATATTCCCGTCGGCGAAGTTGTCAATGGGGAGATTGAAAAGTTAATAGTGAACCAGGATGGTGTAGGTGGTCTGCTCGTCAAACTTGCTGAGGGCATTGTTGGACTTGTCCCGGAAATGCACCTAGCGGACGTTCGGCTACAGCATCCAGAGAAGAAATTTCGAGAAGGCCTTAAGGTCAAGGCTCGAGTACTTTCAACCGATCCAGTCAAGCGACAAGTCAAGCTCACCCTCAAGAAGACGCTCGTAAATTCCGAGGCAATTCCACTAAAGTCTTTTAACGAAGTCACCGTGGGCATGCAGGTCCCTGGTACAATCATCAAGTTGCTCCAAAACGGTGCTATCATACAGTTCTATGGCACCCTTAGAGGGTTTTTGCCAGTCTCGGAGATGAGCGAGGCCTACATTCACGATCCGAAGGAGCACTTCCGAGTTGGCCAGGTCGTCAGCGTTCATGTATTGAATTTCGATGCTGAAGCACAAAAACTCTTCGTTTCTTGCAAAGACCCATCTGCTTTTGGCCTCGAAAAACAGAACGCCCTCAAGAAACTCCGGCTCGGGGATCTTGTCTCCGCTAAGGTTGTCCAAAAGACCGAAGACGATGTTTTGGTTGAGCTGGTCGATGGCTCACTGAAGGCCATGATATCAAAATGGCACCTCGCTGATAAACCAAGCAAGTGCCAATTTGCCTTGAGACGCATCAATGTTGGTCAAACTCTCAACGACCTTCTAGTCTTGGCAAAGAACGAAGCCCGGCGGTTTATAGCGCTTTCCAAAAAGCCGAGTTTCGTTGAGGCCAGTCAAAACGGCAAGCTTCTTACTTCTCTGGAGGAAGCCAAAGTTGGTCAACTTAGACAGGGTTTCGTACGGAATATTACTCCTACAGCAGCCTTTATCCAGTTTTGTGGCCAACTTGTTGCTTTACTACCCAAGTCGAAATTCCCGCAGGAAGATCGAAACAAGGCGGATTTTGGACTTGAAAAATATGAGTCAATAAGTGTTAGAATTGATTCTATTGACAGTGACAACGGCAGAATTGTTGTTGCTTCATCTTCGTATGTAGAGGAAGAGGACGCCAAAAACGGTGCGAAGAATGGCTCCAAAAACGGTGCTCCCTCTGCCCCAGCGGAAAAGCTCGAAAACCCAGTAGACGAGACAATTTCGTCCACGGATGATATTTTCGTTGGCAAAGTCACCGAGGCCAAGATCATATCAGTCAGAAGTACACAACTTAACGTCAAGCTTTCGGACAATGTACAAGGACGCGTAGACGTCTCTCAAGTTTTTGACTCCTGGGATAAGATACCGAACCCGAAATCACCGTTGGATCCTTTCCAGACGAATGACATAATCAAAGTTCGAGTTCTAGGTGTCCACGATTCCAGAAACCACCGGTTCTTACCTATATCGCATCGATCAACCCGCTCAATTCTTGAACTGTCTGCTAGACCATGCGATCTAAAGGACACTACCCCTCAAATATTAGCATACGACAAACTAGAACTGGGTTCGACTCACGTTGGTTTCGTCAATAATAATACCGAGAAGAATGCGCTCTGGGTAACACTCTCGCCGGGCGTACGAGGCAGGATCAGCAACCTGGAGATATCAGATGATGTATCCCAACTTGAGAACCTTGCGGCAAATTTTCCGATAGGGTCGGCATTGCGAGTTCGCGTTCTCGCGATTAATGCGGCTGAGGGCCGTCTCGACCTCTCGGCACGTTCTTCAACTTCCTCGCCACGTCACACTTGGGACTCTATTAAGCAGAATATGGTCCTTCCTGGTCGAATCACAAAGCTCAACGAACGACAGATCATCGTACAACTGAGTGATGCGCTTTCTGGCCCGGTCCATTTGATAGACATTAGCGACGATTACAATCAGGCAAATACATTGTCTTACAACAAGAACGACGTCATCAGAGTTTCAGTTGTTGAAGTCGATAAAAGCAACAAGAAAATTCGACTCTCGGCCCGCCCCTCTAGAGTATTGAACTCCTCTCTGCCTGTTAAGGATCGTGAAATCACTCAAGCATCACAAATTAAAACTGGAGATATCATCCGAGGTTTTGTGAAGAACGTTTCTGACAAAGGGCTATTCGTGGGACTCGGTGGAAATGTCACAGCGCTGGTCAAGATTTCCGATCTTTCGGATAGATTCCTTAAGGACTGGAAAGATGAGTACCAAGTCGATCAGCTTGTCAAGGGTCGAATCGTCTCTGTAGACTCTGCCACGGGCCACGTGCAGATGAGTCTCAAGGCTTCGGTCGCCGACAAGGATTATGTGCCGCTTATCAATTACTCGGATCTTCGCGAAGGCCAGATCGTTACGGGAAAGGTCCGAAAAGTAGAGGATTTCGGTGCATTCATTGTCATTGAGAACTCTACGAATGTTAGCGGATTGTGCCATCGCAGTGAAATGGCCGAGAAACCTGTCGAGGATGCACGAAAGCTCTTCAGCGAGGGAGACACGGTGAAGGCCATCATTTTGAAGCTTGATAAACAGAAGAAGCGAATTAACTTCGGCCTAAAGCCATCGTATTTCGAAGGGGAAATGGATGTCGATGATAGCGATGAAGATGAAGATGCTGGAGTTACATTATTGAACGATGAGGGCGATGACGATGATGAGATGGAGGACTCCGATGCCTCCGTACTCATTGAAGGGGCTGATAATGACTCAAACGAAGAATCTGATGATGAGGATACTGAGATGGTGGATAGGGAGGCCGACGAAGTTGCCCCTCTCGATGCTGGTGGCTTCGACTGGTCTGCCGGTGCCCTTGATAAAACCGACGCAGAGGACGCAGACGCAGATAACGATGCGAGCGCGACACAGAAGAAAAAGAAACGGAGAAAGCCGCAGATCGAAGTGGACAAGAGCGGCGACCTTGATGCGTTCGGTCCCAGGACAGCCGTCGACTACGAGCAACTTCTCAACCGCCAACCCAACTCCTCCGCGCTATGGATCGAGTACATGGCCCACCAGATGCAAGTCAGCGAACCCGCCAAAGCTCGCGAAGTGGCCGAGCGCGCCGTCGCGACCATAAGCAGCACCGAGGAGACCGAAAAGCTCAACGCCTGGATCGCCTACCTCAACCTCGAGGTGCGCTTCGGCACCGACGATAGCGTCGAGGAGGTCTTCAAGCGAGCCTGCCAGGTCAACGACCAGCAGGAGGTCCACCAACGCCTGGCGAGCATCTACATCCAGGAGGACAAGGCTTCGGTAAGTCCGCAATCCACATACATATCCCCCATTCTTTCTTGTTATTTCCCAACTAACAGCCTCGGCAGAAAGCAGACGACCTCTTCCAAACCCTCGTCAAGAAATTCGGCGCCGAGTCCCCCGAGGTCTGGTACAACTACGCGCACTGGCTGCACTCGGCGCGGGACCAGCCGGAACGGGCGCGGGCCCTGCTCCCGCGCGCGACGCAGGCGCTGCCTAACCACGCGCGCTTCGGCCTCATGACCAAGTTCGCGGCGCTCGAGTTCGTCTCCGCGCACCCGAACCCGGAGCTGGGCCGCACCATGTTCGAGGGCCTGCTCGCGACTTTCCCGAAGCGCGTCGACCTGTGGAACCAGCTCCTCGACCACGAGGACGCGGTTCCCGTCGACTCCTCTTCTGGTGCTAGCGTGAACAACAAGAAAGCAGCCGTTCGCGACGTCTTCGAGCGCGCGATAAAGGTCAAGGGTTTGAAGGCCCGCGCTGCGAAGAAGTGGTTCAAGAGGTGGGCTGATTGGGAGGAGAGGAATGGCGATGCGAAGACTAGGGCTAAGGTTAGTGCTAAGGCGGCGGAGTGGGTTAGGGCGAGGGCTGAGGCTAAGGAGAAGGCTGAGAAGGAGGCGGATGGGGAGGGGAGTGATGATGAGTAGAGTAAAGTAGTCGGACGGGGAGGCATTGATGCTTTCCTACGTTTGTTTCTACGTGATTTTAAGGTCCTTGGTTCTTTTCGTGCGTTGTCATGGACTGAACTGAGCTGAGCTGTCTGCATGCATTGGGTTCAACGGTGACGACCCCTAGATTAGAGGTGTATATCTACCTAGGTCAGGCGTATAAAAGAAATCATATTACAGTTTTTTAGCACCTGATATTTTCGCCATCGATGTTTGCTGTGTAGACTTACTCGGCTCAAAGACTCGTATACTAGGTACCTAGGCATTAAGAAACCCGGTAATTCTAAGCACGACATATACACACGAACCAGGACATAAGGCACAACTCAGTATTCGGTCATATTTTCTTTCCTACGTAGGTACCTAGGTATTCCTCCACGCGTTCGATTTCTAACATGTATGCGATACTGTGTGTACGTACGCATTTGCTTTGCTACTTTTGGTATTTTCCTACTACAAAGTTCTAGGCCCGTCTCCCCTCCTCTCCCCTTTCCCCAAGTCATCGGCCACTTCAAGAAACGCCCGGCCGTTTAGGAATGCGTGGATGGACGGATATGCCAGAACAGACTGACCACCTCCTCCCTGATTCCTCAACCAACATAGTGCTATGAATGGATCCCCCAATCCGAAGCCTCCTGGGAAACAGATGGTATGGTACGTCAAGAGGCCAAAGTCAAAAATGGGAAATCGGAGGGCGGTAGGTAATAGTACACTCGAATCGTCGACAGGTCTGTTCGTCTGTTTCAAGACAACAGAGCCAGATCAGACCAGACCAGATCAAAACAAAGCAAAAGCGCAAGAAATAATGTTGGCCTTCGTGCCGTCCACCCGCCCCGACCAAATATGCAAGATGCCCCCCAATTCTTCCCCAAATGCGCGCAGGTGTGATGATGATGAGATGATATGAAACGATTTATCGAGAGGTCATTGTCGCGTTGATATTGTTACAGAAACAAAAACAAGTTTTGGGGGTTCGAAATCGTGTCAGAAAAGCAGAGAATTTATATCTTGCTAGTTCAATATTCCCCGTTCGCCTTCTATTGACCCACAAGTTAAAACTATAATGATGCCATTTGAGCCTTTGCTGTGATCTTTTCTAGCTCGGCCGGGTCGCTGATGCTCCTCTGCCTTTCAGTCCTCTGCTCGTCGCCGGAGCTGCTTGCGGATTCGTCGCTGCTATCTTCGCCGAATACGATATGCCTTAGGACGCTCTTGTCGAACAATTCGATCACTAAATGGCGATCCGGTAATCTAAAGTGGTGGCATTCCATCATCGCCATGACCTTGCGGAATAGCGCAGGTTGCCGGAACCCCGGGGCTTTCTTATGTCGTAGCTGCATTAACTCGACTTTGGCTTTTTTATAGAGTACCATATTGCCTAACTCGGTCATAAGCTCTAATATCCGCTGGTTGGTCTCGTCCTCTTCGTGGATTTCGGTAGGCGGTGATTCCAATATCGTTTTCTGGGTGTCTAAGAGTGCAATAGTTGCCGGAACCTCATGCTTCCAAGGCTTGCACGAGAAGAATTTCGAAAGGTTTGTGGGAACACAAAGGCCCAACGATATTCCCAGAGGCGTGGTGCATGACTCCCAGCCATGTTCGGATAGTATCTCTAGTCCGTGCGTAGATCTAGATATCAAGCCTAAGACGAAGAAAGCGGTACCTCGAAGACTGAAAACTTCGTGAGACTCGGCGATCTCGATGATATGTTCCACAACATCGGTTGATTCAAGGAATGGCGCTCCAAGTTCCATAGAACCAACGTTTCCTACTGCCCACAGACACCCTTTGACTTTCGTTATAAGTTCGGGATCTTCTGACTGCATTCCGTATTCCCTGATAGTCATCGCGAACTCTTCGAAGTGGCCCTTATCCTCAAGCAATTTGCAACCTTCTTTTGTACGCGACAACTCACGGTAGAAATGCGGCGGCACGTGGTTATCTTGGTCTGTGTCCAAATCGTCCTCGTAAATGCTGAGGCGATGTGGTTGGTCTTCTTGGGGGTCAGTGAAGGAACGAGCTAGACTTGCTTCGATGAGTCCAACATAAGTATCATTACGTCCAAGAAACCAGTCGTCCATCTCGTTGCTGATATAGTCCAAGCCATCCAAATAGTGGTAGCCGATGGAGGTCGACAGAAACCGGAGCAATAGAGGGGCACCTATCTCTCCAAGATGGTCCAATGCCGGACGACACTCCACAATGTATTCCAACAAAGCTTTGCTGTTGCAAGCCTTCTCCAAAATCTTAACAGATGTGGCGCAAACCTCAACGTCTGGATCGTATAACTGTGTGACGAGTAACTGAATTGCCCACTTTGAGTCCGATACTATCTGACCCGCTGATGTAACTCGGTGCCTCGTCGCATACTTTCTAAGCACGTTCGTGGCATGAATTCGCATGTCTTTTGTGCCAGCCGTCAGAGCTTTTGACAGAAGTACACGTGGATGGCCCTGGAGGCTGTAGTCGAGAGTGGCGAGGAGCAATTTGATGAGGTCCGGTCTTTGCTTGAAATCGACAATGTGATACATCATGTTAAATATCCGCCATCTCTCGAGCATTTGGAGCCCCCTAGGATCGCTGCTAAGGGCACCAATCATAGGAAAGTAGCCGCCACACAACGTATCGGTGAGACGGTCTCTCGAGAACATTGGATATTGCGCGGTTAAACCGCTTGTCTGTAAGCAAGGTAAGTATATACTTCTCTAGAGATTTCATTATGGATAAAACTTACCGGATCGCACTGAGCCAGGCACTCCGCGATCTGTCTCAGTAGCTTGTTATCCGAGAGATACTTCGTCCCTTCTGCCGTCTGCAACAGCGTATGGATTAAAGCGCAGCCAACCCGGACATATTTCTGAGTATTCCGTGTACTTTTGATCTCCGAGAATTTGAACTTGAAAGGTCGATAGAAGCCAACCAGCCTTTTCGCGAATTTTGATGCCTTGATAGCCTCTTCTACGCGCTTACCGTTCAACAACGGACCTTCGATTATCCTCTGAACAACATCCCAATTCCACTTGGAAGGATTTGAATGGCCAAGAACTCCTGAATCTATCAGCAATTGACGGAATGTAGCATCATCAGCATTGACTACAAGGTTAGGTTTGGGCGTCTCTTCCACGTGGCTCATATTTTCAAGCATACTGCTTGAGGGAAGGTAGCCAGCATGGTAACCCGACGGAGATGATCGGTAAAGCGTCCGACTGACACTGCTGATTTGATAGATAATCCCGGTAGCGTTGAAATGCGCCTCGTCTTGGAATTGAGAAGCAGCTGCGAACAGCTCTGGAAGTAACTGGAGCTCACTGCTCCAAGAAGAAGGGAGGATTCTACTAGCGAGTTTGAGAGTCTCGCCGATCAGTAAGGTAGTTTTTCTCTTCAGCGTAGGATCGTCGGTATCCTGAGCGACTAGAAGCAGATTAGGCATCATCCCAGCCTTGATGAATATAGCTAAAAGCAGTGCCGTATAATGCTCCACGAAATTCTGATCTGTGCCGTCATCCTCATAAACAGGCCCTTCTTTATGAGAACTAGAGCTCTTTAATGTTGTTACCCTTCCATATGTCGTTAATCGCCGTCCGGCAAGGTATGACGTGGCCCATGCAGGTGGTTTTATTCGAAGTAGGGAATAGAGCAACTCTATTATAAGATCCCGAAGTGTCGGACTGGGTAACATCAGGCTCGATATCAAGGAACCGATCGCCCTAAAGTTGTACATGGATAGAGTCATGAGTCCGGGCCAACTTTTCAGAGCAGACGAGATTGCCTTCGAATTTTGCTTCACAACCCCTTCGTAAGAGAATAATGAGTCGGTAAAAGCCGTAAACAATACTTCCAGTTCATATCCGGCTCGTAGGTATTTGCGCGTATGCGGCGAATCCATCAGGTAAAGGAAAACCGAGGAGAGTGATTCGGGAGACTTGTAACTGCCTTCAGCAAGGGATTCTGAAAGCGGCACTAAGCCACCGGACGCTACCAGTAAGGCGGGATCTCGTAAGAGAATCTCAGCGAGGGTTTCGATGCAAATCGGCCGTAACCGATCTTCCACCTGCTCGGCAACTGCCGCGATAGTCCTGACCACCGCTCTAGACACTTCGCGAACACCATCCTTCACGTCCAAAAAGGCACGAACGAACTTGAGAGCCTGCTCGCGTTCAACATCAGCCTTGCGATCCTTGGCGAGAGACACTACCACCATAAAATCGGTATTTAGACCGCGGATTTTCTTGAGGGACGCCACGTCGGAAATTGAATATCGCAACATGCGATAGCCTGCCGCGACAACTTCCCTGCTGTTGCTGAGCAACATGACCTGCATCCGATCTCCAAACACGGACCACACCAAATCATACTTCAAGGTAGGGTATCTCTTAAACAGGTCCACGAAGTTGTTAGCGCGTTCGACGTAATATTCTGCAGTCATGCCCTCGACTTCCAGGGCTTGCAATATCTCCGCTAGCGCAAAGGTGGGGGATTCGGTTGGTTCTTCGATCTCCGATCCGGCGCCACTCCTGGATGCGCTCGGCGGTGATCGCACAGCATTGTTAAGTAAACCCTCGTTTCGAATTCTGGTGGGCGTGCTAGGCACCGCCTTAGATCGTTGCGCATCGCTGATTCTCTGCCTCAATTCCTTTATCCTCGTGTTTGAAGCCGTTAGCTCGGCTTCTACCCTCTGACGCTGCTCTTTGGTCTGTTTCGCCTTCTTAGCGTTCAGAGCCTCCAGCATGTTCTCGCTTCCCTCCTTGATCTTCATCTCACGGCTAAGGGAGTCCTTGAGCGCATTAATTGTATTCTCGGCCGCTGATTCGTCATCCTCGTCCAGTTTATCGCGTACATAAACATCTGCTCTGGAACCGGCTCTCGATTGGATATTTTGACTGCGCAGATCGGAGCTGAAACTCCCCGGGGGTTGTGAAGGGTTCAGGGAAGAACCTCTTGGGGCAAAAGAGGCGGCGGCAGAAGGAGCAACGGATCGGGCACCGTTGGTTGCGGCGCCGGGTGGTTGAAGGCCGCCATCTCGATCGAGGCTCGGTCGCGAGGCAGCTATTGGGGAATTAGCTGCGTGTGTCGGTTGGGAGGCCAACGACTTCTGAGTCGGCGTCGCTGAGCTGCTCAGCATGGTGGAAGGCCCAACCAAATGCCCACCGTCTGGGTCAGGTCCGCAGCGCCGTTCATGAGAGAGGCGAGTGTCTTGTCGGGCAGTGGTGGGTTCTTGGGTTCTTGGGTTCGTGTTGTACCGTGACAAGTTGGACGACTTTGGACCGTAACGAGCGGGCGGGTTCGAGGTAACGGCCTGTCAGAAAAGGGCGGTCAATGTAGACAATCAAAAAGTGATTCTCAATATAAATTTGACAAAGGCGCAAAACAAATAACTAGCAGCGATTGAGCAGGCACAATCAGCCAATATTCGTTGTCATATCTCGTAAAAGCGTTGAGGTTTCTAAGTTATGTCTGTATCCGTCTGTACTGTAACTTTAGCTCCAGGACTGCTGGGTCGTCCTGTTTAGTGTTTTAGTGTTTTAGTGTTTTAGGCCCACACGATGGCGGGTCAGGTTGCGGCCGCTTGTGCCAAGACAGCAAGAGAGAACAAGGATATAAGGGAAATTGTGGGGCAAATATGGAGGGCAGCAATACGACTGGACCTTTCCCCAACTAAACAGAACCTTGGAACTTCCACTATCTCTTCTGCGGTTCTATTGTCATATATTACGATAAGCATATCGTCCTTTTCTTAAAATAAAGTAATTTCTAGAAACCTTAAAAGATGGAAGCGAGTTTATATACATTTAATCTAGTATGACTTGTAAAAATCTAGGTACAGTTTCACGGAGTTTAATGTTTTAGATTAGGTAAACGTTCTCACAGTTAAAGTTAAACTCCACCCTAGGCCCTAGGATTACATAAGTGTTCTCTCCAGTCTAGGGCTGCATCTCATAGCTCATCGATATGTAACTCCTATTGGTCAGTCAGTTATACGTGTATGCCAGGTTTAGGCTATCAAGATCCAAGAAAGAACAGTCGGATGCTTGGGATACGATTAGGGTGTTCTCTACCTGTTAAGGAGTTAGTACTATTGTAGTATGAAGAAGCCTTTGAACATTCCAAGTTTACCATATTTCTTTTCTCCATACAAGGCATCTCTATCGAATGCCGGTTCTTAGAAAGCCAACACTAAGCTTAGATCTAACCTCTACAGGCCAACTTTTATGGGGCTCCTTCTTGAGAATACCCAGCACTTAGAAACATGGATAAAAATAACCGATCATGGTATGTATGTATATCAGAGACATTCTTCTCAGCGAAACATTGAGTCTAAATATGTATAATGGCTTAGTCAAACTATAGACAAGAAGGATATAAAAGAATATACAAAGCAGTTCAGAATCACCTCACGATCATTTCTGGCTGGGGACCACATCCTCATACTTGGTTCCAACGCTAATCTCGTCAACCCAGAGTGTGCGAGTTCCCTGGGTTCCCTCCATTTTCTTGTCGTCGTGCCAGCCATTCGCGTATAGACCGGTGCGGAACTGAAAACCGTACTTCTTGCTGCTGTCGTCGTACGTCGTGATGATGTTGGACTCCTCCAACGCCTGCTTGCCGTCGAACCAGACCTTGTAATAGCCCGTGGCGTCACTCCTCCACTTCGCCTGGAGGACCACCTGGTGCCATTGGCCCGGTTTGACAGTTCCGATCTTGTACTTCTTCAGCGTGCTCTTGCACATGTTTCCCCCTTTGCTGCGGATATAGAGTTGATCCTTCTCCAACCAGATCATACCCGAGGGGATCCAGTTGTCCTTGCACGTGTTCTCCGGCGAGTCCTCGAGGTTGCTGATGAACTGCGCGATGTTGTAGGACTGCCCGTGAGAGGTGTCCCAATTCGGGTCTAGCCTGAATGCGAAGCCGTAGAATCCATCGTCGCCGACCTTGTAAACGTCTTTCTTGTACACTTCCGAGTGGTATCTTCCGGTGTAACTGGAGTCGTATATCTGAACCACCTTGATCGACGTGTCCGGCTTGTACGATTGGTCACTGACTTGAGTTACGGTGCCTTTGTGTTCGTGGTTGACGCCGTCCCAACCAGACAAAGTACCGTGGTTCTTGAAGGTCGGGGTAGTAGTTGGGGCGGCAAGCATGCCTTGCACCAGAAGTGCAAATGCTACGATCTTAGAGGTATACATGGTAGTAATGGGCTTTGCTCCTTTTATGTGAAGTAAATGGGTGTGGTGGAAGACAACATTCGATAATTCATCACCATTTACCCCAGATGTCCCAACACTTATATACCTAGACGTCCATACTGAAGTGACGACATTCTTTCAATATGACAGCCGCAAGAGAGGAATAGGCAATCGAAGGTCGATCGCGATTTCAGATATTAGATGCTGACGGATCGTGACACGAAGTTAATCTCTGAGGTCGGTTGAAGGCGTATAAAGGCATCAGCAAATGTCTTGGTTTGCAATGTTTAGGTAAATAGTCTTCAAAGAATTGACATGGCACAAGCTCCCGGTTGGGAAATTTGGTGAAATAGACGCAAAGGAGGAGCCGAGTTGCGGGTCGTTGATGGCGAGGGCTGTCAGCTCTGAGATCCCGTATACCATGTAAATCATTTAACTCGAATCGCTCAGCCTTAGCTAGTGTAGGTTTCAAGGCAAATCAGATTCCTAAATGCTCTCATATAGGAAAGAGTTGAAATATAGTTCATTGAAACGAAACGGTGGTGGCGTCAGCAACTCGATATGACCCGAATTTCATCGTCCTTGCATACCCTTTCTTCAACCTCCACTGTTCTATATTTAGTCATCATATATGACTTAGCTTGGCAACTTAGTCCCAATTCTTCAGGGACATCCTGTTGTGAATTTTGATATATTCATCAGGCTTTCCTCGATGATGGCGGGCATTCACCGTATCGAAAGTTGGTTGAACCTGGGCAATTCGAGGGCAGATGCTTCTAAATCCATGTCATGACATGAGCAGAGTCGGATAGACGTAGTACTTCAACATGAGGTCGACTACATTTATCTTAAGTCCTTCAACGGGCTCGGACTTAATTATTTCCTTAGCAAAGAATCGGACGTAAAGCCAGCTGTCCGGCTGTCTGTGCTGAGCCGCTTCTATCGTCTTAGAGACTCCTTACGTGTCCATCGGGCGATAATAGTCTGAGTATGGGTTTTTTAGCTTAGCTAAGACGTATGAGATCCAGCTGAAGCGGCTTACCGTTTTGCTCACCGGTTATTCGCCAGTCAGATATCACATCCTTACCTCTCATCGACTCCGACTCATCGAGAGTCGAGACATCTCTAATGACAGGTTCAGCTAGCACAAGAGCCCAGTAGATATCAAGGTACATTACGTGTGCAATCTTATTCATCAAGGTTACCCCTCAGCCTGGGCGAATGATGATGACCTACATGGCTGGGCAAGTAGGAAGTCATGGGTTCTCTTGTCCTTGTCGAATATGTCCTACCCCTTTGAAATGACACGATTTTACGTGGAGATCTAGAGTTCGGAGTCCGGACCGCCTTTATATATATTCTTAGGGCTAGATTCAGATAAGAATCATGGCTTAGGTAAAGATTGAATTATCATCTGGACGATCAGAAAAGGCCATTAGATCATTACCCAGCCTCTTTTCCGTATAATTACCTAGCAACGTACATAGCAAGTAGGTATCTTTATCGGCGGCCGAAGAGAGATCCACGGATAGACTTACATGATGTGTTTTGTAGCGGGCAAGGGTAGCTGAGTACCGAATTCGGTAGGAGGTTATATATCGATTTAGGGACGTCGGCGGGCTCCGTAAGGTGTAACGAGCCGCTAAATTGGGTATCGAATTATCATTGGAGAAACTTGGGGGAGCTTGCGGCAATCTTTGACGCTTTAGACCCATCCGGAGCTCGTTAACTGGGTCCATTTTACTGGGAACTCCCCTCCTCTCTAATACCCGTCGCCGTTCTTGTACAACCACCTACCTCATCACTACACTGTCATGTACTTCCCTCATCTACCTATTCTCTAGTAAAAGGTAAGTACTTTGGTAAGCCTCTTTTCTCTCTCTCTCTCTCTCTCTCTCTTCCTATCGGTGAGCAGCGAAGCTTGGGATTTCATTCTTGTATGCACCCGCCACAGGCGCTTTCCGATCTGCAGAAGAGCCAAGCTACGGACTCCTAGCCATTCCTAGCCATCTCTAGCCATTGTTTTAGGACCCTTAATTCACTTTACGTACCTAGTATTCGCGTCTCTGCGTCCGCCTGTCACGCCCCTACGCCCCTGCGTCCCCATTCGAACCATGATTAGGTTGAGTGTATGCAGCTCGACTTGGAGTGGAGGGTCGGTAGTGGCTTCGTTGGTAACTTGGTGACTTCGAGAAAAGCTATCTCCAACTTAGGGGTCCGAGGTACATGGTTCCAAGTTCCGAATCCAATGTATGGTGAATATAAATACGCAAGAGATTGCTATCTCCATTTCCCTTATTCGCATGCGTCTTTTTCTCCTCGATTCATAAGAGTGACTCGATTAGTGATTCACGACTCTTTCTTTTCTCTTGTATTTGTTCTCCTGGCTCTCTTCTCATCCACGTTGTCTCGTCTCGTCTTGTTTAAATTGTGATTTCACAGGATAGATTCATCTTCCAACATTGCATCACGTTACACTGGGCCAGCCTCTATAAAACAGGATTCTCTGCATTTAAAGGGTCTCGGACATCAATTTTCACGGAATTCCCAACTCTGCTCCAGAAGCGAAGGGGAAGGCGAAGAAATAAAACTCCTTAATAATTCTGCGGATACCATAATATTACCTATAACTACTATACACCATGCCTGTCGTATCAGCAGCTCGCTACGGAAAGGACAATGTCCGCGTGTACAAGGTCCACAAAGACGAGGCGTCGGGCACGCACACGGTGACGGAAATGACCGTATGCTGTCTCCTCGAGGGAGCGATTGAGACGTCGTACACGGTGGCGGACAACAGCGTCGTCGTGGCCACGGACTCCATCAAAAACACTATATACATCAAAGCCAAGGAACACCCGGTAAACCCTCCGGAGCTGTATGCTAGTATTCTAGGCCAGCATTTCCTAGACACATATGCCCACATCAGCGCCGCCAACGTCAACATCGTCGTCAAACGATGGACTCGCATGGTCATCGACGGAAAGGAGCACCCCCACAGCTTTTACCGCGACGGCGAGGAGACTCGCAACGTGGAAGCCCGCATTACCTGCCAGGGAATTGAAATCACAAGCGGTATTGCCGGATTACTTGTGCTGAAAAGCACGGGATCGGCTTTCCACGGATTTGTCCGAGATGAATACACGACTCTCCAGGAAACCTGGGACCGTATTCTGTCGACGGACGTCGACGCCAATTGGAAGTGGAATACCTTACCAAACGTGGCGGCGGTAGAGAAGCAGGTGGCCCAGTTCGACAAGGCCTGGGAAGACGCTCGCAAGATTACGATGAAGACGTTTGCGGAAGAGAGCAGTCCTTCGGTCCAGAACACGATGTACAAGATGTCGGAGCAGATCCTCGATGCTGCGCCGGAAACTCAGTCGGTCACTTACGCACTACCTAACAAGCATTACTTTGAAGTCGGTAAGTGCTTCACTGTTCACCAGCCGCCTCTTCCACATACAAGACTTTCTAACCGTATTCAACCTCGCAGATTTATCATGGCACAAAGGTCTCAAAAACACTGGCAAGGATGCCGAAGTGTATGCTCCCCAGACCAACCCCAACGGTCTTATCAAGGTCGAGGTCTCGCGATCATAGGCGTCATTCTCATGTATCTTGTATCATGTCTCCGGCGTTCGAGTGAGCCTATCCTTGACTTTTTGAAATTGGAATTTGTAGGGAAGCGGCTTTTAGTCGGGTTCCCAATGACTGCATTATCATCATAGGACGGGCTATTTCCCCAATAATAGTAGCTATATACCACTTAAAAATAAGAAAAGCATTCAAAGTTCAACTTCCTCGTCTTTGAACCGCCTTGTTTCGTCTATTGCCAATGTGCTTCTCATGTAGCCCGAGTCTAGTCTTACCCACCTTCCTTATAGACACTCTCGTTCTATTGTAACTGAGACCACCAACATGCCCAATCTTACTAGTACTTCCAAGGTTCATGGTAATTTTCCATAATGTTTGTCATGAGATGCTTTCACTATATGCATGCACAATATGATACAGGGCAGATATACGGAGCCAAGCTTTTACTTAGCAGTTACTGCCGTCTAGGTGCCTTGAGCCGTCCCGAATCCAGCTTCCACTCTTTTTTTATTCTTTTGTTCATCTTCGACTCCTCCTCAAACCCCCTAACCCTATAACCTCTCTACATCCGCCCGCCTAATCTCCTTAACGGCCTCGACCCAGCCCTCCTTCCCCACGGGCACGCCCGCAAAGCGGATAAGGTTCTTCTTATACGGATGAGCGTCGCCCTCGAAGGCCTTGAGGCGGGCGATGCGCTTCTGGCGAAGCCTGTTCTTGGGCAGCATGCCGCTTACGGCGCGGCGCAGGACCTCGGCGCCGCCGTGCTTGGCCATGAGCACGTCCATGGTGACGGAGCGCAGCGAACCCGGGCGAGTGTTGTGGCGGTAGTACGTCTTCTGCCACATCTTGCGGCCCGTGACGTGCAGCGCCGCGCAGTTCGTGACGACGACGTAGTCCCCGCAGTCCGTCGACGGGTCCCAGATCGGCTTGTGCTTGCCCATCAGTATCACGGCGATCCGCGACGCCAGGCGCCCCAGCGACGGCGGCGTCACGTTCGGCTGCGTCGAGAGCGTCGGGTGCGGCGTCGCTGCGGAGATGTGGTGCCATGCGCGCGAGTACGCTAGCTTCGTCTGTTTCGGAAGGGGGTTAGCGAAGAAGCTTTTTGCTAGGTATACTAAATTATGTCGTAGGGGACGGGTAGCTTACCAGCCCGATGGTTTGCGACATGACGACTGACGGCTCTCGAGGGAGCTATGGCCCCTCGTCGTCGCAGATGCGGGGTCTTGTTTTAGGGTGTCTTGGCTAGGTGATCATATGCCGGTCGTGAGTGCCGTTGTCTTGGTGCAATGGCACGTTGTCGTCGTCGAATTGGTGATTTGAAGGTATTTTGAATTGGTCAATGTTAAAGAGCGATAGCAGAATTTCGATATTCGAAAATCACGTGTTCGGTAGCTACCGAGTTTCTACAACTTTATCGATAACCGAGTGAGTTAGGTAAGGAAAATGCCCCTCACTAGTGACGCAAGTCTCGAGCGCCGAAGACCGAACTCGCAGGAGCGGGATGAGGGGACAATTGCGTGGATGGATTTCAAAGCAGGAAGCTGCGTTATTACATTATTGGTTTCTCGACTAGAAAAAATGTGGATTCTCATCGTGTAAGTGAACGGCTTCCAGTCTATTCCATATATGTCCATAATATGTGATCAGTATCATGAAATCCCCTTCCTCTTAGCCCCTCTATTCGTATGATGCTGAGATATTTGCACGGTATCTCGTTCCGCTCCTTTGCAACATCTACTGGTTTTTTCTGCCTTGGTTTTGCTACCGAGTCCTACTTTCATCGCAACCGGCGAGAGACATCGTCCTATACAAAGAAGAATCCCGTCGCCACACAAGATAAGATGGCGATTCAGAATCAAGTCAAGACTCCTTTCCAGGTTAGTTTCTCTATGTTCATATTTCACGCTTACACGTTTACCTGCGTACATACCTAGATATGTACGTAGACAGGGATATGAGAGCTTTGAAAGGAAAAAAGGATGAATGATATTGAATAGAGTATAGAATTATGAGCTGATAAGAACACAACGCAAATTCTAGACCTTATTCGCCGTGTCGATGACTTGTGATGGTTGCGTCAAGTCAATTTCTGATGCGCTGTATAATCTCGACGGCATTACCAAGGTCGAAGCCAATCTGAAGGATCAGCTCGTAACAGTCGAGGGGACTGGTAAGAGAGGAATTTATCAACGAGAGACTTGATTCGTCTCGTCTCGGGAAATTCTTCACTCGAGAGGTGCCGTGTTGGGCTAATATGACCTTGTCATGAATAGCTGCGCCGTCTGCGATTGTAAGTGCCATTGAATCCACAGGCCGGGATGCTATTTTGCGAGGATCGGGTGCATCAAACGGTGAGTGGAAATTTGTGTTTTCCTCTCGTACTGGTTGGACTTTACGAGCTCGCGTTTATGCAAAGAATCGGCCATTATTTTTGGTCCGCATTGAGCAGACCCTGTTCTAACTTCATCCCTAATTCACACGCTTTACACGTCCCCCCACGTTGCCGGATTGCCGGAATTCCTAAATTTGGGATGACACCTCAATCAGCTATCTGACTGAAATCCTTTCAGGCGCAGCTGTATGCATTCTCGAGACGTATCACCGCAACGAGAAGGGTGGTGAGGAGTTGGTGCCTGCTTCTGCTCCAGAGGCGTCTACAGAAGGATCAGGAGCAAGTGACAGGGAGGTCAGGGGCTTAGCTCGTATGGTGCAGGTCTCTCCTACGACAACTCTCATAGATTTGACCGTCCGTGGCGTTACCCCCGGAACATATGCGGCCAGCATCAGAGAATACGGCGACCTGAAATTTGGCGCTACATCTACGGGACCGGTATGGGCAGGTGGAAGCGGCACGACTCAACCTCGTGGTATCCTCGGTACTGTACAAGTTGGGAGTGATGGTCGAGGCGCCACGTTTCTAGACCACCCCTTTCAGGTTTGGGAAGTTATCGGACATGCAATGGTTGTCTCTAGACAACACGAAGGGGTTGCGGAAGCAGAGTTGAAGAACGATGAAAACACAGTCGTCGGCGTCATTGCGCGAAGTGCTGGGATGTGGGACAACGATAAGACGGTGTGTTCGTGCACCGGGAAGACACTTTGGGAGGAAAGAAAAGACGAAGTTAAGAAGGGTATGATCTAATTTTTGGAGTAGTTCGGTACGATTCCGGATCGCCAAGGCGTTTTGAAGAATAAGGATCTCCCATCAAAGTTATCAGCGTTCAGTCCGTTCCCTCATCGAATAAGACATCTTCGAACATGCCGACCTTAAGGGTCCTCTTGCTTCCCAAATAGTTCATGAAGGTATGCAGGGAAATTCAGGGACTTGTCTTACATTTCCATCCCGATCGCAACGCACAGCAACTCATTGCGGCGCGATCCGTCGTAGTATTACATTGTTAGCGGCAATCCATTCTAACATTTCGGTATGCTCTTAGCCTCTTACAGGACAGACATTGGACGAGGTTACATTGAATCAAATGACAGGTCCGACATAGGTCTGCCTTACTCGTGTCATTCGATTTATTTGGATAAGAAACACTCCTCATCAATACAAACACGTCCAGGGGCTTCGGGATAACAATGCCGAGCTGTTGCCCAGAAGAGCTTTATAGAATCGCGTGATGTCGATTACTTGATGGCACGATACAACGACCCACGGTGGCACCACTGCCATCCCCTAGTCCAGATCTCATGATAAATCGCCGCCAAGAATTGCCTCGTTGGGATGCCGTTCCTACAAAAGCCACTTACCGTCCAATGAACCAAACGAAACATAGACGAGATGAAGCCTTCAACGGCCATTGCTCCCCCGGCCCTCCTCTGGCCTAACGTCGGCAGAGCGTCGAAGGTGATCGTGGAGAAAAGACATGCGAATAATGGCAGATCTTCGACTTCTTTTCACTAGAGGGACTCGTGGGTAGGGGTTTCTCCAAAGCCAAGTCTGACAAGACGTAGGATTAAGAGTCTAGCTTCGCCGTTAACTCCCGAACCCCAGCCACCAAGCATTGCTAGAGACTACGGGGTCTGGGGATTAAGGTAAAGTTAATAGGAAGTCTGGCTATCCCGCACTGCTTATTCCTTGCTTGATCTTGATCACAGCGAACGAAAGTCGTCAGCACTTTGATCCAAAGCGACGGATCTAGATCGTGAACTTAAGGCTCAGATAACCTTAGGACACGTACTCAGGTATGTATTTCATCTTTTACTTAAGTGTAAAATACACGTGTGCGCGGATTATGTTACATAGTTCGAATCTCTCAATACCGCGCCCTGTCGCAGCAGGGTCGAAGTCCCACTTAGTGGTGACCGGAAACACGTGGAATGAGACAAAGAGATCAGTTCAAACATACAGGAAAACGGAAACCCAGTTACGGTACCTGCCGGTGCACGTATGCTGCAGGGAATATGCAGTCACTTTAGCCCATCAGATATTACCCGCAGGCGAAGGATCAACAAGCGTTAAGCCCCGAATGACATGTCTCTAACTAAAGTAGGACGAGAAAACACCCAATACACACATTATCTTCAGTAGGGCTCAGTAAGGCTTAAAGGATCGATAAGGAATCTTTCTGGTTTCGATTTTCAAAACGTCAATGGCGAGAATCTCTCTCGGAGCCATGCTGAAGCTAGTTGAGGCTCTCCCGAGGATCTGATCCGCTAGCGAGGTTCGATCACAGATGCCGTGGGTCCAGGGGCTTGGAAGACGCGAACACTTCGAGGTTTGATGGTTATCAAACAAGCTCCCTGTCGCTTCTGCCGAGCTAGAAAAGTCTTTCCTTCATGCGCATGCGCGGGCGCACCGACTGCGCTTGCTTTAACGTGGACTCCCTGGTCAAATTGGGCGGGATCAGATCTGAAAAGCTATTGAATAGGGAAAACCGCCTCAAACGCATTGGGGAGAAGCGAGTTTCGTAACACACTACGATGCTAGTTCCAGATCTCGAGTACGTACTCGCAAGTGATGTTTGTCTCACACCAATCTCAAGTTCGGTACCTGATGTAAAGCCGTCCAAGGGTCGGGTAGCTGGGTACGCTATCACGATGAGATGGATTTTGGGAAGCATTGGAACGGACAATAAGAAGCATACATACTACGTACCTATGCACTGATGATTCGGGGATTTGACGAGGCATGTGGAAAGATCTGACGGGCATCAAGCAAGCAATCGGCAACGATTGCGAGGGCGCATTTGCTTATATCGCTAATTCCTACATAATCTTATCTCACGAACATGTCACATCGCATTACTGCGAGTGACGAATACCTAGTGCTGACGATACTAGCTAGAGGACTTGCCGGCGCGTAGATATAATCCTAAGAATCCTATTGGGGTAAAAGAGAGGAACGACGATAGGCACAAATTCTTCATTCCAGGATTAAGATGGGACGACGCATTGTCACATGAGCATTTAGACACCTCGAGGATCGAAAGAAGGTGTTGATTGGTCCTTGGGGAAAGTTCTCGAAGGCATCACAATAATTGCTACCTTGCCTTGATAGGTACCTGGATACTTCCCGACTTTATGAAGGGAATTATGCCTACTATGCCCATACTACATAGTACTACTAAGTGTACTTTACGATTCAGATTTTAGGCGCCCTTGGAAACGCTTGGAGTCGGACGCTGTGGGGCCGCTCTGAATTTCGTCAAACAGGCCAACCAATCATTCCCCCTTAAACCGCATTTTTCTGCATTTTGGAACACTTTCTGCATGAGGAGAGGCCAGCCCCCCTTGTTCCATGTTGCAACCCCAAGGGCCAAATGAGCCAAATGAGAACAATATCGACAATATCGACAACTATATTCACTGTATTACGGATGTTCACCACTCCACGAAGTAGTAATCACAAGTTCGAACATACCCAAGAATCAGGAAATTGAACATACGTTTCTTCCTTCTACCGTTACCTTCAATCATCTTAAACAAATGGAGAGTATATGGCCATATATGACCATCTATACCTAGCGTCTTAGGGGTCTTAGGGGTCTCCGTGATGATGGATTAGGAAAACGAATTGGCAATAGTCGGCCGAGGGGTTGAAGGAGGAATCAATTCTATGACCAAGTGGCCTGGTTGGCTTTGCGCCTAGGCAATACTGCTTCCTGGACTTCTCATCCGCCATCCTTCTGTTCTATAAACAACTTTACGACGCTTTGAAGTCGTACAATAATCTCGTATCGGCGTCTAGAATCCAGGCGGCCAAGATTGATGTATTATGCCGCGAAGGAGTTACCGCAGGGCGACTTTGCGCGCTTGTTCGAGGAAGGAGGCCGTTTTGCGGTAGGCCTTTCGTTGCCAACATGTTCTATGAGGCGATCCTACACTTTGACTTCAGTCATGATAGGTCGAACGACGGGTTGGATGACAGCTTTTCTGATCGCCAGCCTCCTTGTCCCTAACTACGTATTGTCAAAGGGAAGGAAGTAAAAGTAGAGGATGAATAGCTGGCGCTCAGTGCCCCTCCTCACCCAAGCCCAGGCCGTAGTCCAAGCCCAAGCCCTCGGCTGAGCGAACCCCTGCCCCTGTTTCTCCCTAAGTCGGTCTTAACCCTGGTTAGCATCATCGTCGTTTTGGCTGCCCGCAAAGAGGTACTCCGTATCCACTCCAGCTACATCACAATCGCAGAGCGGACGGGGTCAGAGTCACTGCGAATGGGAATGTATGGGAATGTACACGACGGTACGGGCATAGTAAGTACGTAGCTACCGTCCATACGTCGCCCATACATACTGCATGATTCCCAGAGAAGCCAGAGCGAAGTTCCGACTCTGATCTTTTCCCGTCCAATGCTTTTTACCTTGGCACCACAAGGCCCTCCGTCCCTCTTCGACCATTTACTGTCTTTTCCGCCTTCTGCCCACTCTTAGTTCTTCTGTACGCGCTGGCTTCGTTGTCGTTCATCCACTCATTAACTCCTCACCCGAGCTGCAAGTCCACCCTTCTCATCACCGACCTAATCCATTCCTTGCAGTTTCTTGCAGTGGGAAGAAAAGAAAAGAGAGAAGGATATTCCCAAAGCTGGCCCCGACTTTGATATACCTAAGTCTTACTTAATTTTCCTGGTCCTGTCGTTCTCCGATATATCCTAAAGGCCCACCCTGCTGGCTCGTGGCCGTTCGTGCATCCGTACCTACATATCTAACCCACCATCCACCCTTCTACCCCCCGACCTCGTTCTTTTTTGCACTTTGCCTGCCACAAAAGAGCTGCAAGTTTGTCGTGTCCCTGCACCAACAGACAACCCGCCCCCAAGGAACCCCAAGACGCCCGCCCAATCCTAAGCAAGACCGTTGGATCGTAGCTAGGCAAATACCACAGTGAATTCAATTGCGAAAAGGATCGAGCGTCAGCTGTCAATTAGTCGCAAAGCAAGGCGAGCCGCCCAAACTAGCCCGAGACTATTATTAGCAGAGCGATAGAGAGCAAGGGAAGCTTTCCAATATTAAGGCACAACCAAAAATTAGTAGCACGACGGTTTTTGAAACCAAAACACCAAAAGTCAAGTTTCAACAGTCGAGGTTGAGCTGGGGTTTTTAATCGAGAAAAGAAGAAGAGAGGATATTCGAAAATTCGACGGCATTAGAATCGCCGCAAGGAAACGGCCTTTCCCACCTTTGCTTTCTGGACAAAGCAATTGGTACTAATTAAAGGCCTATCCCGGCGACAAGATGTCTCTAAAGCAGGTAGGTTAAAGCTATGTCATGGGAGGGCGGTGGGCCCGGTCGAGGATATGGGATTGCAATGCTAACTTCCGCTCAAGGAAATAGAAACGTGGGTATCGGCCCTGAGCCGGTATGACAACAATGAGTTCGAGGAGGCGCTCAAAGAGTTCGACGGCATTTCGGATACGTCCAAGATCCTATTCAACATGGGTGTTATACATGCGACGCTAGGAGAGCACGAAAAAGCTGTAAGCTGATATATACTCTCAGACGATTGAGGTTTATGGGTTGCTAAACGGTTCTCTCTTTAGGTCGAATGCTACCAGAGGGCAATCCAACTAGATCAATACCTGGCTGTGGCCTATTTCCAGCAAGGAGTGTCGAATTTCTTACTAGGCGACTTCGAAGAGGCGCTAGCGAATTTCAACGACACCCTGCTATATCTCCGAGGCAACACGATGATCGATTATGCGCAGTTGGGTCTGCTTTTCAAGCTATACTCTTGCGAGGTCTTGTTCAACAGAGGTCTCTGCTATATCTATCTACAGCAAAAGGAGGCGGGTTTACAAGACTTGAATTATGCAGTGAAGGAGAAGGTGGTAGAGGATCACAATGTCATCGACGAGGCTATCAGGGAAGAGGCCGAGGTATGTTTTACTTGATTATATTCATTATAATCACCAATTCATGGAGCAAGCTTAAATTGACACTTGATAGGGCTACACCGTATTCTCCATCCCCGTCGGCGTCGTATACCGACCCAACGAAGCCAAGGTGCGAAATTTGAAGACCAAGGACTACCTAGGCAAGGCCCGCCTAGTCGCCGCCTCCGACAGGGCGAACGCATTCACAGGCTTCGCCGGATCCGAGATCAAGAACGCGGGGAGAGCCGCCGAGAAGGACGACCGTCCGACGGAGAACCTCTCGTTCGCGGCGACGAACCTGGTCAAGCCGGGCTTGCAGAGCAGGAGGCAGCAGTCGGAGCCGCCGGCAAGCCGCAACGCGTTCCCGCCGACGCCGCCGCCCGAGAACGACAAGCCAGCGTCGACGATGAGCCGGGGCGCGTCCGTCCGCAACGGGCCCAAGCCGATGCCGGCACGCCTCAATATCCCCGAGACGGGCAAGAGCAGCCGCTACGACAAGACCAGCTCGCCGCAGAGCGAGCGCAAGGCGCCCTCGCGCGCCATGTCCGAGGCCCGGTCACCGCCCCAGCGGTCCTACTCCAGGGCCGACGGGCCCCGCACCCGGCGCTCGAGGAACGAGGACGACGGGTACCCGGACGACGTGTACGATATGTACGGCAGCGGCAATGGAGGAGGAGGGGGAGGCAAATCGCAGAGCCGAAGGAACCAGGCAAGGTACATCGAGGAAGAGGAGGAGGCGAGCGACTACGACTCGTTCGACGAGGGCGACTTCGAGATGATCTCGAACCGGCGCCCGGGCACGTCGGTGGCGGGCGGGTCGTCGCGGGGCGGGTCGCGGCGCCCGGACATCCGCAAGGTGCGGATCAAGGTGCACGCCGAGGACGTGCGGTACGTGATGGTGCCGACGACGGTCGAGTTCCCGGACCTGGCGGACCGGATCCGCGATAAGTTCGGGCTGAGGCGCCGGTTCAAGCTCAAGGTCAAGGACGAGGATTCGCCTGGCTCGGCCGAGATGATTACGATGGGCGACCAGGATGATCTGGAGATGGTGATGATGAGTGTTAAGTCGCAGGCGAGGAAGCAGAGGCTGGATATGGGGAAATTGGAGGTGAGTTTTTATTCCCCCTTCTTTTCTTTTTATTGTCATCGAACACTCTATCTGCTATTTGCGATATATCTATGGCTTCACTTTGCTAACGAACAACACAGATATGGGTGCAAGAAATCTAGACGTTTTTTCTCTCCTTCGTGTGCGGCAATGACGATTACAACGATACCCAAAAACAATTGCGATCCGACTTCATACGACGTAATGAAGAAGTCTCTATTTGGCTTCACTCACCATTTACAATATACAATTCATTTGGTTTTAAACTACTCCCTATCTATCTACCTATTACCATTTATTACCTACTTTATTTTATTTTACCGTCTTCTTTTTTTTACATCCAATTCATATACATCATATTCTTTTTTTATTGAAAAGCCTAGTTTCTAAATAAATATCCTAAGATCTCGCGTAACGAGTGGGAATCCCGCGGGCTGATTTCAGGTTTTGTCTGCAATGCGTTATGAAACGAAAAGCGCGACAGTTTCAAGATCGACTCCCTATTTGCCACTCCCAACTCCCAATCCCAACCCCCATCTAACGGTGGCGGGCCGGGCGTAGAGACGGGGAGAGGGATTGGTCTTGACGACTAACTACCTATTGGTTCAGCCCGGCGCCAACTCTTTCATCAGACGTTTCCCGCGGCACGCGGCATTCTTGGGATTCCTTCGACCATACCTAGTACTTCGCGATCAATCAGATTTGTCCTAGGTCATTTTTTTTATTTCCTCTCATAATCAGCGTCATACAACAGCATATTATTATATCCCAGCTTAGAATCGGATAACCGGCGAATGGATTTCACGGGCCTTTCGGGTAGGGTGGAGGAGAGGAGTATTAGTGAATTTATTACATTCATCTTTTGCTTTTCTTGCCTTTTTTTGCGTCGTCGTTGTTGTTGTCGCTGTCTTGCGAATCTTGATGTTTCGAGGTATGAATGAGCTGAAGCTGAAGCTATCGGGTTATAGTAGGTAATGGGGTTTCGTCCTGTCGGAGAGAGCTGCTAGGCACTCGAGGAAGGTAGGGGAAAGGGGATGTTGTATTTTTCTCATATCATTATTCATTCTTCGCGACGGGTTGCATCGGAGTTCAGTTGGCTGGACAGAACTGAAAGAAGGAAACGAAACGAGAGCATTCATATGGCTTTGTAGATAGACAAAATGACCCGCCGCCGGCTAGCAATTCATCACAGCAACTTCACGCTAAATCCTTGCCATGACATCCTCTTCGTGATATATATCTGGCTGTTATCCAGTCACGACTTAACGATGTTCTCTGCCATTCTATTGCTTTTGAATTTCAATCGTTTTTATATACTTTTCGGGGCCTAGATTACACCATCCCCCTTCGAACAACTCATCGAAGTCTCGCGCACCCAGTAATGACAGTTTGCTAGCTTCCCTGCGTCGCCTCAGCCCGTCAGTTCTTCGTCGATGAGCTGCTATGCGAGGAGGAATGGCTACTTGAATGAGACGTAGAATGAGAAGTGGAATGGGAGGTTGAATGAGAAGTAGATTTCGACGTGGATTTCTTAGTGGTCGACTTCGATGTCGACGTCTTGGTTTCGTTCGGTTCGCTACTACTGCTACTACTGCTCCCCGTCTTAGCTGTTGTTGTGGTGGTGGTGGTTGTCGGGGGAGGTGTCACTGGAGTGGATGGCGGTGTGGTGGGAGATGATGGTGAAGACGCACTGGTGCTCGTAGGTGGTAGTGTAGTCACAGGAGGAGGGGATGAAGGTGGTGATGGGTCGCTTGCCTGGCATCCTGATCCAAACGCTGATTGGCAGCCTTCGCCACAGTAGTCAATTGTCGATCCGCACCAGCCGTTTCTACGATGGAATCGTGTTAGCAAAATTGTCTTCTTTTTGGAAAATAAGCGGTCGAATTTTCCATAGGTATTCATGTTTCATAAACACAGGATTTAGAAACCAATCCACACCATCCACAACACGACCCCGAGCAATTTGGGCAGAGGAATGGTAAGATGAGAGCTAACTGACACTGAACAGCAGTTTCCAAACTCCGAACCTTCACAGGTGATTCCGTCGCCACAGTTGCCGTCGACTGATACTTCTTGCGTGCTAGTAGGAGCAGGAGCCGTATTCGTGGTGGGCAGGGGATCATCCGGGATAGTAGTAGTTCCTGGACCGCTCGGGAGGGGGAGGTTCGTTGGGATCTGCGAGTCCGCAGACGAGCAGGTGCCGAATTCGGGACGGCAGTTCGAGCCGCAGTAGTCGATCGAGGCACCGCACCAGCTATTAAGAGAACAACCTAGCGGCCGGGATTATTAAGCTTACGGTCACGGAGATTGCTAGGATATACATACAGTTTCCGTACGTCGACCCGGCACAAGTCACCCCGTCGCCACATCTTCCGTCTTGGCTTACTTGCAAGGTGCTCGTCGGTTCGCTTGGGCGGGTGGACGTAGCCGTGGGCGTGAGGCAGCTGAAAGTTCCGGTTGGGGCGCGAATGGTGAAGTTATACTCCGGGACCGTTCCTGTGCCAGCGCGGTACCAGTTCTCAGGAGGATCACCTAAGCACTGTCCCACTGTAACCGACCTATAACCATGGCTAAATAAGGACTCGAGGATGTAATCCGTCAGGTTGTAGACAGTCTGGTAGTGGATGTCGTGCTCGATCTCGAGATAGCTATCTTCACACGGGTTAGATCCGTCTACCGCATCGTCCCAAATGTCTTTGCTAGTTTGGATCTCATTTGCGTCATCGTGCAGATATCCCTCAGTGTCGAGATCAAAGTAGACAGCGTGATATCCGAGGTTAGCCAGCTGTGTCTGGCAACCGGCAGGACAGATGGAATAGGGGGGTCTACGTTCAAGTTAACTCACGCCCCCTATTCAAAAAGGAGTTAAGCACGAACCGCATGTAAGTAGGGAAATAACCGAGGATGTCGTTTAAAGCAATCTCGTTCCATATCATTTGGTTTTTGAACTGAGCCGTGGTTAATTGGCTGTAGTTCTCGTGTGACCATGTGTGGCTCGCGATTTGATGGCCCTCGGCAGCCATTCGCTATTGTTGTCCGGTAAGTATATCCTTTTTAACCCTTCAGATGGAACGACATACCTGAATGACGGTAGCCCAAGGGTAATCCGGGTCATTAATTTGCCCCTTTCCTAGGTTGTTGCCAGTAATGAAAAACGTAGCTTTTGCCTCATATTTCTTTATTCATGTTAGCTCAGCGCTTGAAGCCCGTGGAAGTTGCATGACATACGGCAAGTTTGTCGAGAAGGTCGTTAGTATAATCCCATGGGCCATCATCAAATGTGACGGCAATATCACCATTATTTACACAGTCGTAAATACCCACGCCGCCATATTGTACTTTGCCAACTTTTGAGCGGGGGATTGTCGACGTGTCTGCGCCAGAAGGCTGTATGTTGCCATCGCATGCTGGCCCGTAGTTGATTTGACAGTCAGGGGAAGTACAGTAGTCTTCTCCTTGCCCGCAGTAGCTTTGTGGCGTCAGTACATTCAACGGATGTCCGAGATGGGGACTAACCCTTCGGCCGAGCAGCAATAACCCTCCGCACATTCTCCACGATTCGCGCCACATCTACTAGCACCTCTCTGACGTTTATCAAGACCGTTTCGTCCTTGACGTTCCTCTTCTTCCGGGCCTTCAACTGTTGCCCTTGCCTGTGAAGATTGCTGCTGCGTTTCCCACCTCCTTCTACCTCTAAGTTCTGACAAGAATCTTCGAGCCCCTGCAAGCTTTGGGACGCCATGAGGGAGATCATCTGAACCTGCATGGGCAGCTGCCTGACTGGCACAAGCTGCCGCAATCACGGCGTTCCACCAGCGCATTGTGATAAGATACGATATGACTCCGTATATAAAGCGAATGTCAAGGCTGAGCACAACGAATTCTCAGGCCGTGGGAGTTCCTAGCTCAAGACAAGGCGAAGTGGATGTCTCGATAGATCTTCAGCCAAGAGATCGAACAGCGAGGACACGTTCTTTAATAATTGAGGCCACGCGTACGCGAATACCGCGAAGGCGTGATGCCACAGAAAAAGCTCTATTAAAATGCACATAGTTCCCGGATCGGAGCGTTGACAGCCCATTTGAGGAACACTCAATATATATCCGGATGCTACCTTGGCGGCAGACTACCTGCGCTTAGGAGCCACTCATGGAAGTGGTATTGCAGATATCCGCTTAGATTTGCGTCTGCAGTCGTCATGGCGTCTTCGAAAAGGCTGGACTGGCCATATGTGGTCTCATATGCACGAACAGCAACACGAGGTTGGAAAAACTCGGCCAGCATATAATATTGACGGTCAGACCTAAAGAGGTCTTTACGAGAGGAAACATTGCATCAATTCCCATGTTCAATTTTCTCGGAATAGTCTGTTTCCATTTTCTGGACCATGGATTAGGAAGTTCTCTGGATTCTAGACAACTGGTCCAGTGCTCAGCACAAAACATCGCCAACCTCCGTTGAGGCCCTCAAGTACCTAAAACCACGTTTTCCCCATGGTGAAGGTATGTACTCACCAAGGGGTTACTCTATTGAAGGCCTGATCTTCGTGATCGACTACTTGCTAGTTCGGTGGAATTTAGAATGACTCGTCATCTTTCCTTAGATTGTCGGCAAAGAGAGGGTTGTGTATATTAAGATGGCGACGGCGACGGTATTAGAGATCAAGGTGACAGTGCAGCAGGATGTTTGTGGGGTTAGAGACGCGTCCCTGGGAAGAAAATGACAATTCCTTCGGTCCGCCAAGCCTTCGCCTCATCGTCCAGCCCTTCATCCATTCCTCGGTTGAAGTGACGGGGGCCGGATTGGAGACGGCTATATTATATTAATCTGATAATATCCTAAAAGCAACATACCATCTCCTCTGCATTGCATAACATATGTTCCAGAGCTAGATAACCCTCCAATGGCTTGGTTACGACCAGCCGCAAATTTTCAACAGGCTCGTTTGCATTAGAAGGAGAAATGGGAACAATTATATTAATCGGAATGGATTGTTACCTTGTCCTTTCTCTCAAAGCCCTCTCTAGATTCCCACGCTTTGACGTGCTCGGCCCACAGCCGGAATCGCGCGACTCGGATACCGGCCAGCAGGTAGATCGTTCAGAAGGATGACGAGTCTCGGTAGGCTCGCTCCGCATCAATCATGGATAGAACATGATGGTATTCCCTCAAGGTATCTATTATCAGCCTGTTACCTAGAGGAGGAACGTGCCATCATCTTTCCCAAATTATGTCCTAGTAGTAGTACAAGTCAAGAATTCAGTGAATAAAATTTTGATTTTAAACACCATTCAGGCATAGGCATCAACTCAATACTCACATGGCCTTATTTAACCCATTAATCAGATACTACTGTAAATATCTGTATATTATTACGCCTAATAGTCAACAAAGTTCTATTTACTATCGTGGGCTCTCCTAATCAGATAATCCTTCTAACCCCTTATGAAAAGGGGGTCCTCCCACATCACGGTCTACACCATAATTACAACACAAATACGAGCAATACTAGAGCTTGCCACTAACTTATGGACATAACTCCAGGAATGAAAACTAGAAATCTTGTCTTGTCTGAGTTTTTCAAAATACCACGGGTATGTCGCTTTGGATTTGCCGGAATTAGTACAATTGAATGAGGGCCCCCTGAGGTTATAACCATCAAGAACACGCACTCAGTACATCAATAGCAGCCGCAGTTTCGAGCTTAATTGATCCTACGTCAAGGATTACATGTTATTCAGAAGAATCTAACACCATAAGCGCAGATGAGCTTTCATGAAACCATTTCGACCAACTTAACATAAACTATGAAGCCAAATAGGGAAAATAACGTTAATACACAGTTTCCCGTACGTACCAGCTGACATGTCTGTTCCAGTTGGTGTATTAAGAAATAGGATCATGACTTATTTGCCAGAAGCTTCAGGGAGGTTATAAATACTGTATATCTACCTCCTTAGGTAGGTACTTACGTAGGCACTTATGTAGGCGTCATGAATCGAAGTGAATATACTCTTACGTACCTGATTTTATTTGGAGTTATACAGGTAGGAATTTGACTCGCTATCAAGCAAACACTCACCCATGTATTCTCTCTATTTATGTCTGCCTGGGTAGCTACCTGGGCATGTTTACCATCACATATCAAAACACCAGATTACCAGATACCATAACTGCGCACTACTTATTCCTTGATCACAAGTGTCTTATCTGTGTTGTTATTTAGTGCTATAATAAGAACGTTAGAGACATCTTACCCAGATGAAAGTAGTATATATATCACCATAATGACAAGGTATTCTACCAATTTCTTTACACCTTCGAAATTGAACTGCAAACAAGATTGCGGAGACTGGCTATTCACCTATTCAATGGATATATCTTACAAGGTCACTATCTGGTCCTAGGGGTAGCCTTCACAAATACTAGGTCTATCCGTCTGCCCGACGCATGAGTTCTTGAGCGACGTGGGATCACAACCCGTTAAGGGTCTTGTACTAAGCGGCATTGGGCTACACGACTTCTGACAGAAAAGAAGGTTCCGACACCAACGTTTAGAGGTGATAATCGGAGTCAAACTAGTTGAATTACGAATATTACGACACTCTTATGATGGATGGATTCCCGCCTGGCGTCCAAGAGAACAATGTATCTCCCTGAAACAATTCGAGAGTACCAGCCGGTGACCGGGCTACAGCCATAACAAGACAATAGATACTATCCGGCTGGGAAATCCCGAAGGAAACAATCCTTAACAGAAACCGAAAGATCACGTCGGATTTCTTGAAAGGGGTGTGGAATGGGCTAGGTAGGTAGGTAACCCTTATAAAAACCATAAAGGAGATGAATATGGAGACGCCGCAAAAATAAACCGTGGCTTGACTGGCCATTTAGTGGAAATAAACCACCGGGAAACGCAAATTCAAGCGCCATTCGAGAGCAAACGAAGTGTCCCCTAAAACCAGGACCAGAAAATTATTGACTAATCAACATCACATGGAGCTGTGATCATCATTATTAAAAGAGAAGTATTTGGATGGCCCATCATCCTGTAACTTACATTTACAAGCTTGCTCCTCCAAGAAGCTTGAAGCACTATGTTTCGTCACGAAGAAAAGCCAGCATCCGCAGTAGGGTTACTAGATGTATCCGACTGGAAACATGAAGTAGAGCTTATGTTCGCTTACAAGAAACTGAGTTGGACAAGGGCGGTAAAGGGGTCGATAAACAAGTTCTCTTGATGGGCTGAGATGCCGATTACGACCAGGACGATATTACATCCCCAGCAGCGTTATGTTTCTGGGACATGTCTTGTCAGTACCATATGCCCATCCGTTCTATAGTTCTATATTTCAAATAGCGCCAGCTGTCCACCGATTTTACTGGAAACGAAAACGGAAATAGCGGTGGAAGTGACAATGGCAAAGTGATCTTCGGCCAGAATTCAAGGGCCTTGTTCGACTTCCAGTCGCCTTCCCGAGGCCGTCTCATAATTCCGCACACCGATGCCGAGACATACCACAACACGCAGCTGAACGTGATTAATTTCGTATTCATAGATAGCTAGGCATATTTTATACAGAGCACATCATACAGACTGCGTCCTTCGTGATATGATCATCTAAGAGGCGTACAGAGCCTCGTTCCTCTCTCTTCGTATACACATGACATAAATTCCTTACAAGGCCTCACCGACTATGTTCCCAATAGCCCCGCCGATCTCGCCGAACAGTACACCTTTGAAGATAGACTCTCCCATATCTTCGACCCAATGGCCCGTCTTTTTGAGTCGTAGCTTCCAGACGTCCTGTTCCTTGGGATCCAAGCTCTCCCACGCTACGGTGGGACCGTGAGTCTCTTCGTCTTCTTCGCTGTGAACACCGACGTGAAGAGGCGGAAGCCCGTGGGCATCGGTCTCTCCATTTTCAATATGTCGAATCACAATAGGTTGACCATGTTCACCCTGGGCATTTGATAAGAGGTCCTTGATGTTCTTGTCATTAGTTTCAGAAACCTTTCGCAACGGCGTTGTCCATGAAGTAGGAAGATACGGCCTGACCCCGAGTACGGGCTGGCCGATATTTTTTGCTTCGAGGAACGTCTGCCCGATTATGGCGAGGATGAGTATCACTATTGTGACAAGAGTGATGACAGTCAGGGGTGATTCGCTTTGAGATTTTAATGCGACGACGTAGCGCGACGGCTTAGGGGGTCCTCCTTTCCTTTCTGAGATAGATTTGTCAACGTGCTTCTTGAGTGGTATGCTATGTACAACAGTTGTGAAGCCAACACCTACGGTGGCCAGCTTAACTGTAAGTTCCGCGGTAGACTTTGATGATTTTGGTGGCGTGAAAGGCGAAAACGTAATACCAGTTATATTCGAAGGGTGAGCACCTTTGAGCACATGGAAAGGCGCGAGATCCGCTAGGAGGTCGACGCTGGCTGCGGATTTATGTTCCAAGGTGAATAGCGATATCGATGCATCGTTCCCGGCGACAGCGACAACGAATTGGGTTTCGCCTTGCTTTTCCGACGGGGAGGAAGCCGGCGATAAATTTCTCACAGCGAGGCCGGTTGCCTTGGAGACACCCTTCGGCAATCTGGCCTTAATCGCAAGGCGCGCATTCTCCTGCTCTTTGGCGGGGAGGCGAAAGCCGTGCAGGGCGACCCCATTGGAATTGGGCCTATTGACGACGGTTATGAGAAAACCGGGCGTCAGGTAGCGCAATGATTTGAACGATGCCTTAGCTGTGGCACCTTCATCTGGGGTAATTGTGTATACACATTTCGGGTCCGAGATTTCGGTCTTGGATACTTCGACAGTGAATATCTCGTGATCGTCGCAGTATGCTAACTGGTATGTGTCGGGACCAGTCTGAACGACGTCCAGGTCCATTGCTTCCTTAGGTATGTCCAGCCTGCCCCGTGATTTCCACCGCCCGCCTCCTGCACATGGTACATCGAAGAGCGCAATTTCGGATTCCTTAGAGAGGCCAGTCGCGATAGCGCCCAGTTGTGCAAGATTTTCGTACGGGTGGGACAGACGGAGGAGTCGCTGGTAGGCGCTTGCGTCCTTATGCAAGAACAGCGCATCTCGCGCGACCTCGGAGACCCTTACACCGCTAGTCTTGGCCGACTTAGCGGGTTGGCTGATGCCGTAAACGCGAAAATGTTCATTCTTTCCCTTTTTAATATCTTCCGGGCTAGAATTGACGCCGGCGAACACGGTAAGGTTTCTATCTTTTCGAGGGCCGGTGGCAAGGGTCGTGACGTTGTCTTCGTTCGGACTTAGTTCCAGTTCGGCAACCTCTGATAACTCCTCTGGGTTGGAGGTGTCAAGAACCGTCTGCGAAGCTACTCGGTTAACTCATCATCATCATCATCCTATTGAGAAAGTAACAACAGATATTCCATACAATTTTATTCCCCACACCATTCCGTCCCGGGCCACCTCCTCCGGCGACAATAAGTTGATTGGGATCTGTCGGATCGAAGGCGCACGAATAGAGAGGGTAGGAGAGGGTGATCTTCGCAGTAGGGATACGGTTCGTCATTGTCGCAATTAGGTTTGGTTGATTTGGTAGGTGTGAAGACAGCTTCGATTAGCTTCGTAAAAGGAACGACATGTTCAAATTGACATTTTGATAAGAATCGCAAGATTCCAAAGTTGTTGTTCTGTTGACTTTGACTTTGGCTTTGGCTTTGATGACGAAAGTAGTATTCCCTTAGTTCAAGGCATGGCAAGGCCACACTTGCATCTTCTCGTCGGGGTTTCGGGGGTAAGAGCTGCCCTGAAATTTTGGGGTTACTTCTTTCACCTAGCGGGAAAGACCGCTGCAGCTACAGCCCTGTTCAAGGAGTGCCACGTTTAATCCTTGTAAAATGCCAACATAAGAGGTACGTACCAGCCTATTAACCTTTCAGCTCTTGCCAGCTCTTGCTATCTTCATGATCAACGTTTACGAAAATCATTCGCATATCATTCGTTCGATGTTTCATACAAATTCTACGGCCGTTCTTTGATTAACTGACGAGGTCCAATAAAAATCGTTACCATACAACCCAAGTTTAACATAACCAGACAAAAGCAAATAATCTTCATGTCCACAAGAACTCTTATAGGTCACCAAGGTTGTAGCAGATATCTATGCTAAATGCAAGTGAATAGCTTGATGAGAGAGGCCTTATATCTGCATCCAATCATCACATAATAACGGAATCTCCGACCATGCAATTTCATTCAACTAACAAACCCTATAACCGCACTTATAGTCTCATAAGAAAACCCTCCAACATCATACCACCATACCACCCCTCGCATCCACCCCAGCGCCCTCACCCTCACACCTCCGCAAGCGTAAAATCATAAACCAAGCTCCACCTAGCCCTCTCATCGCCCTCCCTCTTCTCAAACCGCACCAGCAGCTCCTCCTTCGTCGCGAACACGGCGTCATCCTTACAATACCCATCCTCCGCATCGAAAACCTGCGTCGTCAGCGTGCGGTAACCCTCCGCGCCGACGACGAAGTGGATGTGCGCAGGCCTGTAGGGGTGGCGATCCAGCAAGCCCAAAAGACGCCCCGCGGGCCCGTCCGCGGGAACCGGGTACGGCGTCGGCCGCACGCAGTACAGGGCGTAGCGCCCCTGCGCGTCGGTGCGGAAGCGCCCGCGCAGGTTCATCTCGGGCGCCGATGCGTCCTGCTGCTCGTACAGGCCGTTGGGCCCCGCGAGCCAGACGTCGACGACGGCGTCTGGGATGGGCTCGCCCGTAGATGCGGACAGCACGCGCCCTGATACGTGCGCTAGCAGGTGCTGCGCCTGCGCGTACCATCCGCACTGCGGCGACACGATGCTGCTCCCGTTCGGCAGCACCGGCGCGTCGGCGCGGTAGAAGGGCCCTAGGACGGCGGATGGCGTGGTAGTGGTGGTGGTGGTGTTGGTGCCGTCTGCTGAGAGGAGTAGCTTCGACGTGATTTCGTCGACGAGCGATTCGACGCCGAGGACGTCGCTTAGGAGGATTATCTCGTCGCGCTTGTCGGTGGACATGCGGCCGCTCTCGTTGAGCTACGATGGGAGGTTAGTTTCATCGATGGATCCTTCGCGGCGAATACCAGTTCAAGTAGGTAGGTACCTCGGTAGGTGTAGATTATGTGCGTGAAGGTCGGCTCGGTGTTAAAGTCAAGTCAAACTCACAAATTCGACCCCGATCATCAGTTCCGCCATCGTTAAGTCCACCTCCCGTGCAAAGTCATGCAAGTGCCGCACGAGGCTCGGCATTATCTGCTTGAGGCGCGGAGAGGCCTTCGGGCCCGTGGCGGCGATCACCCGGTCGGTGAACTCCGGGTCATACTTGGGCTTCTCGGTTTTCCCGTTCATTCCGTTTTCTTTCTCCGTGATAGTCATGTTATACTCCCTCTTATCTTGGTTGGCATATATATGGGTTTCTAGAAAGTGTAGGGAAACTATATGCGCCCTAAGTTAGGAACTAAATGCGGTTCATATGCAGTTTCGAAGCTTGTTCTACCCGCCTTCTAGGAGGAACACTTGAGCTCAAAATGACGCAGACTCGTGAAGTGGAATGACTCGAGACTCAAATTGGGATAAGTGCTATGTGTGAAGGTGTCACCCGTGTTCTGTTTGGCAAGCAGACGTCCGGTACGCCTAAGAATCGATAGCCCTTACCTTCCGCAGATGAAGCAAGGAGACACAAGCCACGTAAGGATGTCATCCCATTTCAAGCGTAGAATAGGAAGCGGCAATCTACTTATGCTTTTTATACGGATCTGAGACGATCTAACCCTGCGGGCGATGGTGAAGGCAGGCACCCACCACGGCTCGGAAATATGAAATCGTGCAAACGGCCGCCGACATGGATCGATGTTTTTAAGAGGCTGTCTTTCATATTCATCTCGGTAAGCCAGCCACAGGATGAAGGAAACCTCGACTAGCAACGGGCCGGTGCATCACCTAGATACCAAAGGAAATACATAGCGAGTGGCACTCTGACTACCTACCTAAGGTATAGACCGGCAAAATGAACAAGTGGATAGCATTTAGCGTATCTCTTCTATGGCGTCTCACTTCAGGTAGCCCTAGACTGTATATCCCACGGGACGAGCCGTCTTCATGACGTTAGGATACGTAAGCCGGTCTTCGTAGCTTGCTAGAAAGATAGAAGATCTAATGCGTGCATGACTTAAAGTCCAGCTTGCTATACCGGTCTTAGCTCTCTGTCTTTTGCTTAGTACATGCGGGATATGAGGTGGCTTGCTACTACAGAAGAGAGATGAATCCGGTTTATTCAGGATGATATATGATCCGTACATCTTAGAAGAGGCTAACATGGCTTGGATGTTTGATGAATACTTATTGCCATGACGAATATAGGCCACCGACGATGGTCATGTTAAATCGGCTGGGTAAGGTTGGACCAAGGGGGACAGCGATTCCCAGCCTTGTCCGTCTCCGCGACATCAAATTACCTACCCATATACTGACTACGCAGAGATACCTACGTAGGAGATAATGAAGACTTTCAAGAAAACATATCGCGATAGCCAATCTAATTGCCTAGATGTTTTCTTGCAGGCTAAAACACCACAGTAAATAAATAAAAATAGATAAAAAAAAATATGCAACAACCTCTACCCTCTACCTAACTCCGAGGAATCATGATGCGCCCGTTCTATATTTACAATTACCTATGTATATGATATGTACTGTATGCCCCCTCAAGCTTCATCTTAACCTTCCAACTCCGCCAAAAGACAAAATGTAGACAATTCTCTTGCTACCTAACACACCTCTGCTCAGTAGAACTTCAGTCCTCTTTAGCATCTGTCTCAAACTTCTCCTCGAGGTCCCCATCTTCAATAACCTCTTCATCACCATACGCCACCTCCCCCTCATCCTCACCCTCACCAACGTCCTCCCCATCAACCTCCGCCTCCGTAGTCTCCCCATCCGTCGACCCACTACTCCCCCGAAGCAAACTCTGCAAATCCTCTCTGTCAATAATACTCTCAATACTGCCCCTCCTGACCCCCCCTCCCAGCGTCTCCCTCCTTCCCCTCTCGATCAACCTCTCGACCTTCAACCTATTCGCCACGAACTTGAGGCGCGGGAACGCCGACTGCTGGCCCTCGTGTATCATCCTCGCCAACCGGTCCGCGTCCGGGTCCGACAGGATGTGCCAGAAGTCGCTCGGCTTCGCCTGCGGCCAGATCGTGATCGTGCCGCTGAACTGCTGCAGCCACAGCTGCGACCAGTCCTGGCCCAGCGGGCGCGGCAGCAGCTCCAGGTGCCGCAGCACCTTCAGCCACTTCGTCAGGTCCAGCTTGATGTACTGCTCCGTCGCCGACCCGAGGTACCCGCCCCTCCAGCCGCGGCCCTTGCGGTGCGTCACCGGCGACCCGACCGCCCCGCGCGACGAGAAGAAGAAGAGCGAGATGTGCGGGTTGACCTGGCTGACGATGGTGAAGTTGACGTTGAAGTGCAGGTTTAGCGCCTTGATCGGTATGTCCGTGCGCAAGCTGCCGTCCTTCCACTTGTGCCCGAACGAGTACGGGACCAGGTTCCCCTCTGGCGTCTTCATCATCAGGACTACCGGGTTCTGGATCCCGGGAACGGCGGCGGATGCTAAGACCGCGGACCAGATCACGCAGTCGGGCGACGTCAAGTAATTGCACAGGATCGTCGGCGAGTGTGGGTCGGCCGGGACGCAGGAGACGTTCAGGATACGTCCAGTTCGCTGGTAGGCCTCCCTGAATGTCATCGAGCCATGAGACCACCAGCTAGCTTTCCGAGCCCAGTCAACCGAGTCGAATCTCGCCCCGGTCTTCCACCATCTAGGAAACCAGACGCTGATTGGCTCAGCGCAGGGTTTGATTTTATGTGCCAGCGCCGGAACCAGCAGCTGCTTCAGCTCCTCGTTAGTTCGTGTCGCGACGAGTGATGCGACTAAAGCGCCACCGCTCGTACCGGTGATGACATCTGGCACCAGGTCCATTTCGAGCAGCGCTTTTACCACTCCGAGATGGTAGTACGCGAAGACAGCACCCCCGGATAGGCAGAGTGCCGTGCGCCCGTAATTTGCATGCATTCTCTTGAACAATGCTCGCTTCTCTTCGAAGGATATCTGGTTCGTCTGAGCTAGGAAGCGTGTGCATTTCTCCACTAAGAAGCGATCTTGTTAGTTTTGCCGTATTCTTCATTATTGCTGGCCTAGGATCTGAGATGACAAACCTTCATCTATGAAGTTCTGGACTAGATTCTTGGTCCCATAGTAAGTCTGGCTGTAAAGTCTCGGATTCTCGACTCCGACAAAATTGTTCTTCACACAAGCCTCCGTCAAGGCTTTTAGTTCTTCAACGGCTTTGTGGCCTTCGCCCTCATCAGGTCCCGCACCATTTTCGTGCCCAAGTGCACTTGTTTTTTTCGCTTCTTGCGCTTCGGCGGCTCTCCTATGCTTACGTAGTTGTTCCCAGACACGGCGTACTGTTTTAGAATCGTAGTATGCGTATTCATTCTCCTCTTTCCAGTGTTGGTTCCCTAGGAAAGCATCCATCTCCTTCGCCGCTTTCACCCAGTCGCGATAACTGCTAGTAGCCCGCAAATTTCGACGGAGCCTTTCTCTCTTCCCTCTCCAGGCTATAAAGTGCTCATATAGGAAAATGTAGAGTCTCGTGCATAGATACGCTACGCCTAGTCCTATGATCCACATCCCCACGAAGAAGAGAAATGGCCACTTCAGTAAACCGTATAGGTGGCCTTCCCGAGTCTCGTCTACTGTGCGGCGGCCGAGTGCGGTCGTCTTCCTCTTCTTCCTTCGTCCATGCTTGGAAACTTTCTGATTCACCGGTGCCCAATCGTTCTGCGCCGTAATGAACATACCCCCCTGGGTGCCATTTTGAGTCGCGGCGCTTTCGGGAAATGGGGAATCGACGGAGGCCACTGATCCCGATCTCGTGATATCGAGGCTATTTACGCTCCTAGTTGGACTTAATAAAGAGGTGGTATCATTAGGGGACTGGTTCGAGGGGTCGGGAGCGTTCAGGGCCGAAGCGAAGGCTGCGAGGTGTTCGGGAGGAAGAAATTCGCGGTCGACATCGGGTAACCTCGTGTAGTCAAAAGCTTCCGGGGGGAAACCGTAGTTGTGATTGCGCCTACCAGGGAGGAAGGTCACTCGAGGCTTGGAAGATTCACTTGCCATGTTCACTGTCATTACATGGAATGCCGATGGACATGATGGAAGAGCACCTAAGCCTGGAGGCAACGGAATGAACGGGTGGGATTTGAGGGTTGGCTAAGATTAGAAACGAACAATGGAACTTTCGGGGTTTAAGAGAACAATGCAGATCAAAACGTGGCTTTACATTGTCATGTTGTTTCGCTAACCATCTCGGCGCCAGTCAGAGAAACGAAATGTAGTAGTGTAAGTCAACTGGTAATAGCCCTGTGCTAGGTACGTAGTCACTAGGGGTGGAATGACCAGAACCTTTAGAATGACGTCGAGTTTCCGGCGCCACATTCTACGGCCTAGGTACAACCTGAGTAGGTAGGTAGGAGATCTATTGGTCCAAGCGTCCCAATCATTGCCTAATCCCTGCATATCTTATGTAGAACTTAGGTACATGAACTATGTACCTTTTTGTTATGGACCACGGAGGCATCCGGGAGAATATCGCAGCTGCATCGTAACATCGCCTTATTCTAGAAGGCTCTTGACGGAATCATGAGCTCTTACAACCCATTCGCAGGTCAAAGGTCACTCTGCTTCAACCTACATATACATCCTATCATACTGTTTCATTCAGCATAGAGAAGAGGCTACCTACTTAGAGGGATCCAAGTACACGACCAAACATCGTAGAGAGATTACTAAAATGGTACTTGGTAAATGGTAGATAATCTATTCATAAATAAACTCTCTATCAAGTAAATGCGCAAATCCACGAGGCAGTCGGCATTCAAGCATGTTAGAAGTGGTAATGCTCAATTCATTATTGTGATCTGGCAAATGCCTCTAGCCATTGACTCCAAAGAACTATCCCGGAAAACATCGACTTCGGTTGGTATGGTACGTAATAGTAAGCTGTCAAAGAACTCCGTTGTTTCCCAGACAGGCTATCGCATTTCGTTACACCCGTATACACGTCCCCAATCTGTATCTTGCCACGCTAATCCATCCTAGCTATTCTAGTATTATAGATGGCTTAGACGTACTGAGAAAGCCATCTTATACCCTCGCCGTATCCTGCCTCATGTTAGCTTCCCTCCTTCGAGTCAGTCAGAATGAACATGATATATCCGACATACCTTGTCTCATAACCACAGAGCACATGAAAACCTCAATGGGCCTGATACCCTCCAGCGGAACCTTACCCTTGCCGGTTGTCTGGTACAAGCCCAACTCGTGGCGGAGCTGGTCCTCGGAGACGGCGTCGGGGTGGTCGATCTTGTTTCCGAGGATGACGAAGGGCACCTTGGCGAGCTCCTCCATCGACAGAAGGGCGTCGAGTTCGGCTTTGGATTCGGATAGGCGGTCGTGGTCCTTGGCGTCGACGAGGAAAACAATTCCGTTCACTTCCGGGAAGTAGTCCTTCCACAGCCGACGAGCTAAATAAAACCAACCTGTTAGTCCTAGCCCTGCAAGTCACATCGGATTCGCGGAAACATACCCTGCTGGTGACCACCAAGGTCGAAAGTGGTGAAGCGCACATTGCCGATAGCAAGCTCTTCAGAAGCTAGACGGTTGTTAGCAGGTTGACACGTGCGCCTGGCTATTTATCACTAGATATGTGTATGCGACGTACTAGGGTGTAGGGTAGGCTGTAGGATGGCAACCCGGTCGTTCTATGATTTCAACCTGTTAGCATGACTATCTTCGACAAGTAATACTAGCATTGACAAGCTATGAAATATCCCCAAACCAGCAACACGTAATGCTTGTCGACCAAGGGAAGCGGGAACGACGGAACCGTGAACGAACCTTCAGCATGTGCAACAGAGTTGTCTTTCCAGCATTGTCGAGGCCGAGGAACAGCAGCTTGGCGTGCTTGTTCATCAAGCCGAGCGATGAGAGGACATCGTAAACTGTAAGACCGAGGAGGGACAACGTCAGCGATTGTTGACTATTATATGAGTAAAAGACAGGGCAGCTGAAGATAAAACTAACACCACTGGACAATCCACATCTTGATTGGATTGGCAACTGCTAATAGGCGGGATGGACAAAATTGGTAAACGGTAAATCGTATGGTTAATTAAAGAGTTGCTAGCTTCGTAGAACGTTCGCGGAGACGGTGGACGATGGGTGATGATATATAGTCCGACGCTGTCCCCAAGAAAATTACTAGTATGGTTCCAACGGTTAAGGACAACCTGGAACACAGGCAAGAATTAAGCCACAGTGCCACAGTGTGGCTTGAAAAGATAACAGCTGCACCCACCCGACTGGACATATGAAGAGGTACGTACCCTCACGGGTGCCTGCGCAACCGTACTCCGATTTCAACGTAAGGGAAAAAACACCTGACATCATCACCAGAATAACGTGAGGTAAGCTCAATTAAGGCTAGACTGCTGTATGTACGAGATTCTGTCAATTTCATACCTGGTTACAAGTTGAGTGTGAGGACCACAAGTCTATAATCAGGTCAATGTCCATCACGGAATATGGTACGAACCACCAATCATCAAGACAAACTCATGGAAGGACATGCCTCATTACTACAACATAGAAGACATAGAAGACATATTTCAGGTTTCAGTATAATGATCTATCATCTTACCATTCTATACCTTACAGTAAAGTGTAACAATTCAAATCACTGTCTCGTCACAATATTCAAAATGGTATATCGTAGATCAACGAATATGTTCAATTTTCAAGCATAGGTATCACCGGATCGCCGCCCCATGCTAGTTTGCCGTTCCCAAGTGGTATCCTTAATGATCAATGCAACCGCCCGATGCCGTGGAAAAAAAGGGAATAATGCGATCTCATGCGAGAATGTCGTCGCGCCGAAATACATTGACAGCGAGAGAAAAGCAAAGTTATGTACATTGACAAACTTCAGGAAATGTAAGTCTGAAGTCCGCATCTTGAAGTAAAAATAGGTGCAATGAAAGACAATGGTGAGCAGTATTTTCAGTTGAGCTCAGCAACTATATGCTGGGCCTCCATCTAGCATCTAGATGGACAGGACGAATTGGTCCGGGCCTAGCTTTCCGGCCATGAGAAGTCCGATCTCTCGCATCCTCTCGGCGCCTTGACCAGGTTGAGGCTTCTTCTCCGTAATCTGGCCCTTTCGTGCTTTGTTGCAATGCATCTGTTGATACTTCTCCTTAAACTTCTCCTTTCGGCGCTGACGCTTCTGCTCGAGGCCTTTGACAATATCAATGGCACCTCGCACGTGGCCGTTAGCGGACGTGTTCGTAGGTTTGGTTGATCGGCGGTGAGTCTTGAGGTGTTGCGGGAACATTGCCGGAGCTCGCGGGAGGGATTTGGTTTGCGTCAGGCCAGGCCGAAAGGCAAGACCCTTGACCTCCTCGTTTGCGCGATTTGCATTGTACACCAACGATGACGGAGGAGAGCGTACTAGGGGTCCCATAGGTGGCGATAGAAGGCGGCGAGGTGAAAGGTCAAAAAGATGCTTTGGTGATCGACCTCGGGGCTTTGGAGGAGAATGATGGCGTCTCGGAGGGGGAGAGCGGTATCGCTTGGGCGACGTCTGGTCAATCTTCTTTCGACGTTCACGGCCGTTGGCATTGACATCAGACAGGTTATCATCACTTTCGTGGACAGGAATGTTCAGCTCGACATCCTCGTCTTCGGGCTCAGACGTTGGGAAGCTTGGGTCAATGTCCTGTGGGATTGGGTGGAGCTTCTCTTGTCGCCTAGCTGCAATGCACGAGATGTAAGCCTCCTCTAGAGGACGGTCCTCGTCGAGGGTACCACAAACGAAGTCCGTGCTATCGGGAAGCTCAGGTGTTCTAGCGCGTATCTTGAGTCGTTTAGTCCGCACTACCCTAGCCGGGGGATCGGGGAAGTCTGAGGAAGACGAATCAGAGCGATTACCAGTCATCGAAGGTCGACGATAGGTAGCTGTGCTCCCAGATAGTCTAAGGGCCGGTCCCCGACTGGGCGTCCACAGATCAAAATTCCCACCATCGTCGTCATCGTCTGACTCGGCAAAACCGATTTCGTTATCAGTTTTGTAACCATCTGAGAAGCCATCGTCATCCGACCCAAAGCCTGACTGGTTATCAATGTCGTAGCCCTCGTCGATATCGAAAACGTCGTCCACATCATTTCCCTCAAACTTTTCACCTGGGCGACCCTCTTCCTCCTCGTCCTCCTCCTCGTCCTCATCATCTTCGCCTTCGAGATCCTCTTCATCTTCGAGCTCTTCTTCTTCAAGTTCCTCCTCTTCAGCCTCCTTTCCTAGCCGACGAATCTCATTTTCTTTCTTCAATGTATCACTAATAGTCAACCGACGGCCAGGGGGTGCGTGGTTGACGCGAATCCAATCCTCTTCTTGGGGCTCATCACTGGCGAACTCGTGAAAACGAGAACATTCGCTGTTAAGATCTGTCGGGTCCGCGGTCAAATACTTGGCTGAGCGAATTGGCATGGGGCTTCGCGACATAGGTCGCGGAGTCAAGGATCTTTGCGACCGTCCACGGCCGATTGAAGAGGACCGAAGCTTGCGAACGGTGGCAGGAGATCCATCTTTGTCATTTGATAATTCAGTGCTAGAAGGAATCGCTATCTGCAGAGCGCTTTGCTTTGGTGGCGTACGTTGAACTGGCTTGGCAGGGCAAGCGAACTTAATGCAGGGCTTTCTCTGTGGCTTCTCGTCGGGTTCCGGCTTGGCTTCAACTGGTGGTTGCGGAGACAACGGTTTTTTGACATCCGCTTTCGGTCCGCATGCAAATGATATGCAGCGCTTCTTGGTCAAAGCTTCCACTGCAGGATCCTTTTTCTCTCCGGTGTTTCCAATTGGCCCGCGGGGTTTGGTCGCGGCCGTGACCTGTTGCGGACCGTGATTTGGAGTCAGCTTAGATTTTGCATCGAAAAGGTAGTCCGCGTTCAATCGTGGTAGCGAAACTATGGGAGGCGGCGGGCTAGGTGTGTTTGTACGCGCGGGGCTTGTGAAGCCAGTGTCGCTGGTAAGGTCGGCGGTAGATGCGATGCTGACGCTGCTGTTCATCGAACGGCGTCTTGATGATAAATCGAAGTCGAAATTGATAGTTTCCTCTTCAGAATGAAGAGCCTTCGTAAGCAGAGATTCGGAGCGATCCGAAATCTTCCGAACTTCGCTTCTCTTGAATTGATTTCCCGGGTGTAGACGACAATTGTCGGGGGGTTCATCAACTTCAGCCGCAGCCTCATCTTCTGGTGCATGCTGCATATGCGCTCCCTGCGATGGCAGCGCCATCACAGTCGCATTCGCCGAATCGAATATCGGATCGTTCGTCATATTGACGGCGATGATAAGTAACTATTCACTTAAATAGTGTAATAGAAACTTGTTGGTTCAATATCGTGTATATGTGTTGGAAGTCGGTATGTCGAGAGATTGCGCAGGATGTCTTCTAATCACACGCGCGGTATTTTATTTTGTTCGCGATGTTGGTAATTGGAAGGAGGTGACGAGTATCAGGTGTCAGATATGAGTGCAAGTGCCAATGCAAATGCAATTTAGGCGGTGGTAGACGGTGGATGGTCGGTGCAGTTATAAATGAGTTTTCGTGGATACACGTTTATGTGCAAAATCTAGACCCCAATAAAGGTGATTTTGTAGAATTGTCCCTAGGGACCGTTTCGCTATAATTGACGGCCCATGATGCCGTGAACCGAGTTCAAAAGATTGAAATGTATGCAGGTAAATTTTAATAAGTCCGTTGAGGTCTCAGTTCTGGCGAGGCCAAGAGATAGGCAAATGTGAGTCGGCGACAACGATGTACAGCGATGTCTTAGAAGGTGGCTTGTTTTTGCCAAGGGAAGATTGAGAGATATTCTGCTCCTTTTTCGGTAGAGCAGGTAGGACAAACAAAAAGGAGGATTGCCCTGTCTAGTAGGTATGTAGGATGAAATTGCTCAGTCGGACAACGGAGGCGTAGGGGTCTTGGTAAATTCTTGGCCCTAACTAAAATATGACGTCGAGCCGGTAACTGTGTCAAAGAGTTCAAAGACGGAATACAAATATATTCTCTGATTATTCGAAAACGTCTAAGAAAACAGGCACAGGCACAGACAGACTAGACCATAGACTATCTAGAGCCCGGGGCCTTAGAAGACCCCTTAGTAAGGACTTGTGGGAAGACTCAAACAACGAATTCCTAGAAATAAAGGGAAAAAAAGATTCAAACCCAAATTCAACAGAATGTGGGAGAAGGAGGCGATAGAAATGGGAAATGAAAATTAGGGAAAACTGGGGACGAGAGAGAGAGGGGTCTTCTATGTAAGAGTGAGGGTGAGGACTAGGTATGTACTGGTATGTAGTAGGGTGAGTGTGAGTGCGAGTGTGAGGGTTAACCAGAGGCTACCGGATCTGGTTCTGACGACCTTGAATGGATTTGTTTGCATGTGGATACTTCTAGGATGGAATAGAACTAGCAAAGATTTGATCATCCATCGTAACGCTGGGCAACATGGACAAAACTACTGGACAACTAAAAGCGGTGCAGAGCGGTGGGAAGGAAAACGAGTGGTGAAGCAGGTGGGAAACGTGGGAAACAAGCGGTATGCGCTACTATTACTGGTCTGAACTAAGATAATCCATAATTCGTATGTACATCTTATGTCTGTCTGTCTATACGTACATACATAATGTAATGTAAATGGCGATTTCCATTACTTGGCCAGCAAATACTGGTACGTATGGTACCGTACCTGCACTTGTCTACACTTAGGACTCACATCCGAGACTACGAAGGCAAGGCGAGGCAAGTGCAAGCAAGCGCTGTACTCCGTATAACATCAACTGGCGTGATACTGTGGAATTGGCGGCGGCGGATAATGAAGGCTTGGAAGGCTTGGGAGGGCTTGGTGCTCCTTTGGACTACTTGGAAAGAACGCTTGGAATCTTGGCTCTAAATTGAGTTCCGGGCGGGGCCCTGGGATCTTCGAGTACCAAGGCTCCCCCTGCCCTTGCGCCCTGCCTATGCCCGCTCTCGCGCTCCTCACCCTACACCTTCCAGTCTTTTTTTATCGCTGTTGCAGCCTGCAGAATCAGCAACCGGCAGTACCTAGTAACAATCACTCGTCGCCGAGGAACCCCCGGTAAGGAAGTACGCGGTAAGAAACAAATATCGTGTTTATACGGTACTCGCCTTACGCCTGTCGCTTACTTAAATTCCTAGGTATCCCCATCTCACTTATAGCAGACCTACATACACATGTGCATATATCCATAATTGCATTAGGTCCATGCCTATATACATAGGTAATATGCATGTAGTAACTACTAGGTACAGACACATACACACATCCATTGTATTTACGAGATATTTACATATATTTGCGTCCGCTTACCTTTATATGGATACACTTACACAGACCGCATAGATAATCGCCGCATTGCGAACAGTATGAAGAGTACGAGCCACCGGAAATAGCTGATAGAAGAGTCACCGGATGAGTAACTTGTCACTTTCCGATTTTTCTAGAGTGACATTCCATAATGCAGTTTCTAGAATAATGGGCATATGATTGCCGATTTCGCTTTTTACTCATCCAGCTCATCTTTGTCATATATGCATTGCGACACGACTTAAGCAGGTGAGCAAGCACGGGTAGTGGCACTACATGTACATACGTACATAGTATGTAAGTAAAGGAAATAATACAGGGGGCCGAGGCCGCTCTGTCAAGAGATGCGAAGACGTCCGGGCGCATCTGGACCTGCAAGTAATTTCTTTAATTTTGTTAAGCTGTACATGACCGATGGGCTGAACATCAACGGATCCGCATGTTGTGCTTGATCGCGAATTTCCACGAACCACTTTTTGAACTAACGAGTTTTTTCTTCTCCTTCTTCCTTAATTTCGCCTGTCTTGTTCGATCGATTCGACGGTGAGATGGAAGGTTCGGTTGTATTCATGCGGCCTAATTTAGTCCATCTGCCATAGCATACCTAGGTACCTAGACCGTAGCTGTAGAAAAGTTTTCTCGGCAGGCTGAGAGAAAAAAAAAAGTTTTCTAGATTGCCGGCGTGTTGTTGAGATAGACAGTTCATCCCCCTTTACACGGGTACATATTTATTTATCGCTCACAGTGTCCATAACGGATCGTAAATGCTGCCGCTAGCCCTGGTGGCGTATCCTCTTTCATACATATAATTCATACTTTGAGTGGTCCTGGCTCATTATTCTCCGAAATTGTGTTCAATGTTCTTGTTCTATTGCTGCCGCTCCCAGGGCTGCCAGGGCTAGTTAATTACCGAATTCTTACGGCTATCCTCTTCCAGCTAGAAGACTCTTTGATTCAAGATACGATAATTACCTACTCACCATCTCTTCGCCTATCCCGAAGGTTGTGTAATCATCCTTTCAGCAGGCCTTTGTTGCCCGACTACTAAATCTAGCCAGCTGGCTGTACGCAAAGGTCAATTCTGCTTCCAACGCAGGTAAGCGGAAAACCTAAATGGCTTTGTGTAGCCTACCATCGCATATTTGCATAGGTGCGATACCTACCTAGGTAAGAAGGATGGCTCGTTTTGTGAGGCGGTGAGCCCCCAACGATGATTACCGATGCCGCCTTAACAGGTTAAGGGTTATTAAGGTTCTAAAGACTACCTAAGTCCCGACCGGATTGTTTGGGATAATAGAGTAGCAGGTCCCTGGCGACCGTAAATTGGAGGCATTTTCAAATCTCCCTATCATGAGCCTTGTAAAAAGACAACAACACCTAGAACCTAGTCTTTCAAGCCTGATAATGGCACGACATCCACAGCGGACGATGTTGTACAGTACAGCACAGTACAGCGAATACAGCGAATACCTCATCCGTTACCCCGGTCTTTCTGGCCTCTTTGATTCGCTGCGTATCGACTGGACATGCCTCAAGATGTCCTCCTGCGTCCAGCATGACATTTGGGACTGTTACGCAGCTAGCTCCCTGCAGGCTGCAGCACGCAACCTAGTTCGGGACACGCGCGGGTACTCGGGATAATAAAAGCATATCGCCCATGGCATGTGGGCTCTTCGCTTGCCCTCCTATGCAACTCTATCACTCACACCATCATGTCCTCTGACATCAGAAAACAAAGAGCAAAGGCCGCTAACCCCTCGCCCTAATCTGTTGTCGTTAGTCTCGAGAATAAGAGTGCAGCTCTCGTAGAACACGTGGTGTTGGCTTTTTCATTGCCAGGTGCTGGAACATGTGAGACTTTCGGATAATCAACACTACATTTTGATGGGAGTGGCAACCCTTGCGTGCTGGGTGCTCCCTCTTCCCAAATCCCGCCGGCGGTCGCCAATGGAAGCCATCCTGCTGGAGGACCCCACGGCGAATGAAGGTGGACGAAACCCCCAACTGCCCCTCTTTTGGGAGGCAAGGAGGTTGATCTGCTTTGACACATGGTATAAGATGCGCTCTCCGTCGGCTTGAGGGGCAGCCTGACTGTGCCTTACGTACGCCATTCGTTATAGTCGCCATATATGGCTCTTAGCTGATAAGCTGGGGATTGCCCGACTGTCCAACGTTGTGTTCATCTTTCCTGTTCTTGCTTTGGCCGCTTCTGATCGCTTTTGGAGATCATACATAGCATAATAGCGGCGTGGGATATACTTGGCCGCTAAGCAAGTTAGATCAAATCTCGTACTTGTGAGCTTGCCTCCCTTTCGCCCACGGGTATGAGATGTCGGAATCCCCCTCTTTTGACCTACCAGACCTACCTACGCAATTAGGTCGCAGCTAAATACGGTCCTTCTTGTTAGATCTCCAAGGTAGCGTACCATAGTAACTTGTTAGTGTTCACCACCCCGCATTCAGAACTACACTCTTCAAAGCTTAGTACTCCCAACAGCGCCATCAGCGCGTGGGTAAAAATACTAAGCCTAGCTTGGTCAATTCTCCGTCAGAGATTCGCATTTCGAGTTCCTGTTGTGCGCATAATAGCGACATCGACAGTGAAGGTAGGGTCCAAATCCCTGTTGCCATATGTTTCCAACTAGTGATGTTTGACGATATGACAACCAATGGATCTGTACGACATACCAGGACATACGTAGTAGCTTGTAAGATTTATTCAGGGTCTTTCCATCTATGCCGTTTGACCGGCATCCTTCGTGAGTCCTGTGACACCTCCAAAAAGCTTGTCTTCAGCCAAGTTTGACTACGATGTTAGAGGTGTGTTGCAAGTGTCGCAAGCAGATTCACAGGTATGATGTAATGTTGTGATCTGCACTAGGTAATTATCGAGAGCTTCAATCACAGTCCCCCAGCTGCCGTCTTGACAGAGTTACCCATGAATCCGACTACCACGCCAAAGGCCCAAATGTCGCTCGCGTCCAATATAGGCTCACGAGATTCTTAGGTCATAGTTGAAGATCATGGAATTTTAATAATATCTGGTAGCGCCGTAATAGTTTTGACGTACGACTCGGTAAACCTGTCTTGGCAGGGCAAGGTTCGCCTTAATGGGTACGCTACGTTCACGGCCCAAGCCGTCCTGGCGGTCCTCATTCTGACAGCTTGTGCCACTCTCATTTCCCGATATAGAGCGGAACCGTAGATGAGCGGGATGAACGGGGTGAGTAGGGGGCTGAGGTCTCCGGATACACCCGATGGTGACAACTTCCAGAATATACCATAATAGGACTTGAGAAACAAACAAGAACACGGAAATATACTATACCTACCTCATGTAGTAATCATCATACCCATACCAACTCTGTGCTTGATTGAGATAAAGAAGCAATCATGTATGAAATGACATGTTAAACAGGTTTCCGGCTTCTTGACGTTTCGCCACCAACATTCAAAAATTCAAGAATGTATATCTGTAGAATTTGATTGGATAGAATTGCATAAGCCTTCGCAATCCTCCGAATCCTTCGGCCGTACATTTGATGACTAAGGTTGGTGTCAAAATCACGTGAACAAACGGCACGGCTGCCAGACGTCCGAATCAGGTGCGCTCAGGTCACGTGCTAGTATCTTCTAGCCTATTCCTAAAGGGGATTAGACTGGAATTGTGTGAACCGAAAGCCCGATAACTTCAAGATCTAAATTGTTTAATGTCAACGTCCATCGTGAGCTTGCTCTGTCGTGAATTCTCCAATTGACAGCAACCAGTCATCATGAACACTTTCCGCGTCGCTCGCGCAGCCCTTAGGGCTCGTCCCACGGCTATGCGTCTCCCCATTCAGCCCCTTCAGCGAAGGACGTACGCTGAAGCCGCATCGGACAAGGTTTGTCTCGATATTATTTTATGCCGATGCTGTCACTAACCTCTATTTTAGATCAAGCTGAGCTTGACTCTCCCCCACCAGGTATGAATGAACATCGATATGATATTGAGCCGATCTGCCGTCATGATACTATCGCCATCGGGGACGCAATGCTCTAATTAGCGCACGCTGCGACGCAATCCGAATGTGCGGGCAAGCTAATTCCCGCAATAGTCTATATACAAATCCCAAGACGTCGTCCAAGTCAACATTCCCGCCGAATCTGGAGAGATGGGTGTCCTTGCCCAGCACGTTCCCGCGATCGAGCAATTGAAACCCGGTTTGATCGAGGTCATCGAGGAGAGTGGCGGCAGCAAACAGTTCTTCCGTACGTAACAAATAGGATATGATTACGACGTTGGAATGCAAAGCTAAATACTTGTTTATCTGTAGTTTCCGGCGGCTTTGCTGTTATCCAGCCGAACTCTGTCTTGAGCATCAATGCAGTTGAGGGCTACCCCCTTGAGGATTTCAACGCGGATGCTGTCAGAGCTCAGATCGCTGAGGCGCAAAAGGTTGCGAGCGGCGGCGGCAGTGAACAAGACATTGCGGAAGCCAAGATTGAATTGGAGGTATGATAGCCCCGGAGTTGCATATCAACTTAGCTATGTCATTATGGGGATAGCACTAACATATTCATAGGTTTTGGAGAGCTTGCAAGCAGTCCTTAAATAGATGACGCCTTAAGAGAAAGGAGGGAACTTCAGAGGCAACTTGTACATCACAAACCTATTCCTTGCAGCAAAGCCGTCCAATGGCACGAATTGAGCATGATTAGATGCTTAGGTGCTTAGATTTCCTTGCTACAATTGTAGCACCTTCCGTTATTCATCTGTGGGATATCCTTATATCAGTGCTTGCCTTACTCCTGAGTCTTGATTTCAGCTTCCTTTGTTATATGACTAGGGTGTAAAGGCAATTGACACTTCAATTCCATCTAACCTCGTCTAGTGTCTACTTAAAATGCCACAATGGATTATCTAAAACATTGATCTTTATATTGTACCACTTAACATAGGTTCATCGAATATTGACTATTGTATGGGTATAACTGCGACAGCCTATTGTCGGCTAGCACCGTTCGTCGTCGATGGGTCCGGTATTAAATATGTCGACTTACTCATTGGGCGATCCTCCAAGTGCGAACGCTCCCAATGACTACGATCAAGTTCCATTAGCTCAAAAGATCATACCAAAAGGGACTGTCTCGTCCCGGATACGTCGGCTTCATTACCTTACCCATTCCCATTATGCAATGCCGGAAGACCCTGAGTTTATAGCACAAGAACGGAAATATGTATTGGTTGGTTAGGGCCGACACTCGGGTTCATACTACGGTGCTGCTGGACCATGGCTCGCCCCTCTTGGGCCCTCCTTCATTGGTCAACAAGGTGACCGGCGCGCAAATAATCAGAAACATGGCTTTACTGTCAGTTCCTCTAGTTTAACCAGCCACACTCCAAGACCTGCCAAGTCAAGTCACGTCGGACAGGATTACAATCATGGACTCTTTAGTACTCCGAAGCGCGATATCCCGAGCCCCGTCACTAGTCTATACACCTTCCCTACGCTCGAGGACGTCGATCTTAGTCAAAATTCCGTTCATTCTACGCTTGGGGTCAAACCTCTAAATACAACGAAATCTATACCGGCAGCGCCAAGCTCACCAAGTGTATCGACAGTGTCGCAAACCTCGTCTCTAGCTACAGAGGCCAAATCGCAAAAATTCGCTCGTGGATTATTTGAGCAACATGGCGTCGGACGACCAACCGGTTGGTTTTCTGACGATGAAGACCTGTCTCTTCTAGGCGATAGGACTGCCGACCACCGGAGATTCTGTAGAATCTGTCACATTTGTTCTGCACGAACTTGGTCTCAGACTCACTGCTCGTCTTGTAAGCATCGGTTATGCGCAAAATGCGTTTGTGAAGTACCTAAAGGTACTGAAGGAGCACACGAGGGCTTCGTGCACCCTCCAAGTCATACTCTTAAGCCAGATAAGGCACGATCGCACCATCGAAGAGGCATCGACGGCAGAGTAGAACCAGGCACTGCAGGCGATGAGAGTTCGACGACTCCTGCTTCGAAAACAGCAGCTCCTAGTCCTTTGACGGAAGAAGTAAGATCCTTGAAGGACTTATCTAGCCGATCAGTGAGACGAAATCCTTTCGTTGTCGCAGATAAGAAGAGAACAGAATCGACAGCCGAGTCTCACGTTGCTGAGCTATCAGCTGTTCAAGAATCTCACTACCGAGCATGTTCTCGTCGAAGTACAGATAATCCAACTCATGGAATTTCTAGTACCAAAATTCAATGTGACAATCCTATATGCAGAGCAACACATGAAGGGCATTACCCGTATCGGCATAGTATCACTTGTGCTCTATACCGAAGTGATGAGGCAGAAAGATCTAGAGCTTCACCGAAGTGTTCGCAAACATCAGATAACACCTCCATTGTTCGCCCAAGGAACTCACAGTCTAGCAAAGAGGCGTCGAGACCCGTAAACATAGAGTACTGGCATCAGTATTCGGGGTTTCACCACTCCCATCATAGTCACGACATAACGAGCAGCCCTGTAGTGGGCGAGCACAACTTTGTAAACGGAAAGCCCAGTCCTGCCACATTAAGAGACGCAGCAGATTATACACCGGACAAAACACCTATACCTAAAGGTCGTGTGTTGAGCCCGCCATCATGGCTGAAAACGCCAAGGAAGGAGGCCGGCGATGCTAGGTCTAGACTACACCATGTGGATACAAAGGGCCATAGACATATGCTGGACACTCATGTAATGAGCTCGAGTGAAACAAAAGTCGAGCATCCGAAGGGTTCATCCTATGGGTTTCATTCCGCAAGGGACTCAATCAACAAGTTGACTAGGTCGAGTCTCGATCTTTTACGGATGGCTGCCCCATCTCCGCCCACAGCAATGCATGTCACACAGCATCAGAAACCGGAGTCTTGGCTTGATTATTCGTCCGCGCATGTACATTCTCCAGCAAGTCACGAACTATCTTCTCACATGATAGGGACACCAACAACTTCACTCCACGAGAATTCTCCGAGAGTGAATCAGAAGACATCTTCTCGTCATGAGCATAGGCATAGACGTGAACATTCCCTAACACGCCTTCAAGTCAAAGACGCTAGATACAAACAGAATGAATTCCTTAGCCCCTCGTCCGCTCGATCCACTGGTCGCCATTCTCATCAAACCTCGGGAAAGTCCAGTCATACCCACCACTCAATATATGGACATTCCCGCGCTGAGACCGTCCGGCCTAGAACTAGATATTCTGACTTTCGAGTCGACACTCGTACGATGCGCGAAGATGAACGGTCTGCGTTAAGTTCCACGATCCGTACAAGTCATTCCCCGCTACAGCCAAGGCAAATCGTACGTGACATCGATGAGAGCACCACGTCTGAGGGCCGCGCTTCAAGTCTGAGGCTAAGAAGAGACTCTATCTCGATTTCCGATGAAGCATCGGACGTCGAGATACACCGTCCGAGTCCCATATCTCCTCCGAACCACGAATGTAACTGGAAAGAACGTTATCTCGCATTGGCAGCAGAGATCCGGTTACTGAAGGCCGAGCTATCCACTCGGGCTTCACTAAGAGGTACAGATGTTGATTATACGGGACTTGGTGACGAGAACATTACGAATGATGACGAGGATCTGGGAATTGAAGGGGTGACGATTATCATGCACCTGAGGGGAAGAGAGGACCTGATTATCAAGACGGACTTAACACAAGACCCTGGATAAGGTGATATCGGTTGAGGTATATGTTGGAATTGAAGGATTAATGGCATGGTTTCGGGACGAGCGGCTGGGGGGTAGTAGAGGACGAGGGTAATTAAGCCGTTCGACAAACTTGGATGAGCCTATGGTGGTATAGAGGACACTTCTTGTTAGGGTTTAGGCGTCATTATTATATCAGTATTCAACACTCATTCTGCCTTGAACAACAATAATAAGAGGCATATGTCGAAGGGCAGCCAGTATTTCTTACTTCGACTACAAACCTCATTTCTCAAAAGGCAGCTGGGAAATGTATCAAAAACTCAGCTTACGGGGCTCTGCGATTCGGACTTTACCCTATCGTGTACTCTATTCGCTATCTCCGTTGATTGTTTTCTCCACGTCAAAGCACTACCAGAGGGCGGTAAGGTTTGCTATGAATTATCGCATGAAGAAAGCCACTGCCACCAACAAATCAAGGCGAGACGACATATCTAACAGTTACACTTGACGTAATCCCGTGAGGCTTTAACCTTGGCTTTAACTATCCAACTACCAACATAGAAAATCCAAGAGAGATGCAAGTAGCCATACTCATACCAAGGCCTTACGAGGCAAGCCAGCGATCCTGTATATCGGCGATATCTATATTCCACTCGGATTTGTGTCTTGCCCTACGGAGAATTAAAAACCTCATAGGCATTAAACTTGTTTCACGTCTGTACCGCGTACATCTAAATTGAGTTCTTATTGTCTCGACACCCGGGGACGCGGAATGGGCTAGACAAGGCCTATTTGCGCCACCTGGGCTTGACATATACTATACCTACATGTATGTAGCCAAAGCCCTAAATGCCGTGGAAGGGTTCCTTAAGACATTCCCACTTCATCTACACCGTGCGTCGGATACGGACCAGGAACAGCAATTAATGTACCTAGGTAGGGAAGTAGGCATGTTTGTATATACCTGCTTGTCGTCGAGGTCGTATCGAGGCTTCTCGGAAATCTTGATACGGGGTTCGACAAGGCGAGGGAGCCAAGATGTTGGAAATCCTCGTGGCTCGGGTGGCGCGTTTTTCCTTTCGTGTTCACTCAAGTATGTTCGTAGGACCTCGGATTAAAGTGCCGAAGGTGAGAGACAATCTTACCTTATAGAGATTATATCATACTGTGTATACCAGATGCGGCATGGATATAGTGACAAAAGACATAGGACGAAGGGCTAAATCTGGTAACTATAGACTATAGTAAGTCGTTTCAAGTTGCGACGATGTTTTCTTCCATGAATGGTTGATCCTAGGAAAATGTAGTCTCCATTGTACAGGCCCAAGAACATTGTAAACTTTATGTTATGATGCTATTTATATTTATATCGGGTACATACTGATCTAGTCATGGCTGTCCCTGGGCAGAGACGACGCAAAGTTCTTAACGTAACTATATACCTAGGTCAAGCTCATGTTTCTTAGGGTCTTGGTATCCTACACGAGTTAGTCTAATCCCTACTTGTTGAATATATTTCAATATCTGGAGAGAAACCCGTGGTTTCGGAATGATAGACCTGCTAGAGCAAACGAGTTGAGTACTAGGATGATAGTGCCTCTCTAAATGGGAGCCTTGGACCTAGTCTTGGCGGCTGTTCTCAACAAGACATAATGCCGCAATAGACAGGACATTATGTCTTACGGCGACGTTTTTCGGCTTTATTATCGTGGATTACTGCACTAGCGATAGGAAACATCGCGATGGTCTAGATTCTCATGTCTTAGATAACAAGGTTGGTCTCAAGCCAGGCCGATATACCCGGATCCCAGGATCGAGATCTGACATACATCGTCATCTTCCAGTCATCGGTTGAGATTCAGCAAGTCACTCAACTTATTATCGTGTGGCGGGCTCAAATGGCTAAGACGGCATAGACAGTTTGAGTCTTCTTAACTTTTGAACTCGCATAGACCTCGATGCCTGAAGTCGGTATGATCGTCGGCCAGACCTGCTCTTCGCCGTCCGAGAAGTTCGAATTAAGCATTTTCGCCAAGTGGCTAAAGAGAAGTCAGGTTTGTCTGCCAATTGCAAGGAGAAGAAGAAATAGTTCTGGAAATGCTTGGGCGGGAAAGATCTTGGTTGATAATGCCAAGTCGACGTGGCCGACATCCACGAGCAATAAGCTTTGCCAAGCGCCAAGAAACCTGCCCATCATAAGTTCGCGACCTGGGGGCAGCAAGATGTTCTCGGGACCCTTGGCAACGGGCACTTGTTGAAGATCGCGGGGTACCTGATGGTCTAGTCGGACTTGGGATATGATCGGATATGCAGGCTCTTTGTAGATTGCTGATGGATATTAATATTGTCAAGCTGTCAGGCTGCATTTTGTATTCTGTAAATTTGTCAGTAAAGGGGTGGTCCCCGGCGTGCATCGTTATATGAAATCTTCGCGCAATACACTACCTACTTCCACATCTACACATAATTGGTGCGCTAATATAAAACCGGGTGGCTATGCCTTTTCTCACAAATTCTAGGTAGGCACCCTCATTTATCTCGGAGACTGTATTATGGAAGATAACTCGGATAGGCCCGGAACCGAGAAGAATTTCTGACATAACTGTACCTTTATGGCTTTAGCTTTGCTACCCTTCGCCGTCAAGTTTGTTAATTGTTCAGTTGTTGAACGAATTATACAGACCGTTGCGAGTTGGACTGTCACGCAGTGTCACCCTACACAAACGATCTCGGCTGAACAACCTACAGAGACCCTCCTGATTACCGTTTCGGGTGGGTAATCAATAATGAAAACCAGTTGATGTGGCTTTCGCTGGTCGTGTATAGGCGGCCAAGGCCCACGGATGGTGCAGATTAGTCAAATAGAAACGAGTATAATTAGAATCCGCGCGCGCGATCTGCCTAGGTATGCATAGGCAAAGCAAACACTCTGGATATTGACCGCCGTTGTTTGCGGAACGTCGCTCACGGCAATTGCTTCGGAGGACGTCATGCTTCTCAAATTTGGGGTCGAAATCTTTCCGGGAACTGCCGGGACCGTTACACTGATTGTCTTGATTGTCCTGATTGACTTGTCTTGCACGTTGCGATTACTACAATCGCGATGCTCATACGAGTGTACGAGTATTACTACCTCGTTATGTAAGAATCGTGTACTTTTGGCGAGGTAGGGTCGAGAGAGGTCGAAATATATCGATGCTTAGGTCATACTAGTAATGCTAAGAAATTCGGTCGTTTGTTTGGTTTCCGTTATCGCGCTGTCATTGCGAATATTTGTTTTCTGTTCCTTGCTTCTGTTTCTGTTTCTGTATGTGGGATGGTTGGGATGATATGTACCAAAGTCGCGGATTTGTTCGATATGTTCGATTCATCCATGGATACCCTGGACTGACTACCTATAGTAGTATGTTGCACAGTGATAGGCTAGAGGATATAGTTAGGTACCTCAGTTGGTAGGTGAGGTAGGTGCGTATCTGGGCAGCCTGGGTAGTACGCTTTTATGCAAGTAGGTGCGGCAGACCTCCTATGTTAGGTAATGGCTCTGGCCGAACTCCTAAACACCTTCTGAGACGGTACACTTTTAAGGGAGGCAAAGCCCACTAATTTAATGGATTGATATCTGCCACCCAATCCAGTCTGACCGACCCCAGCTGCCCCCGGTAGTCTAGCTAGCCCAACGGTAGCCACCATCTTAAATGCCATTTCCCCACTTCGACAGGGATCATTTGCGATGCGAGTTCAAGCAACCCGACAGGTTCCAACTCTCAGACTCTGACTGATTGACTCGCTCTTTTCCCACCGTTGGCTTTTTGAGTTCTCCCATCTCCCGTTTCTTTTCCACCAAGACTTCTGGGCGCCCAGACATAACCTCGATTTCTCAAGACACACGAAAACTATCACCCCGCCAGTTACACTATCTAGATCTTTAATACTATTATTTTGGTATCTCGAAAGAAATAAAATAAAATTGATAATTGAAGGATTTTTTGATAGAGGGAAAGGAACCGATTGAGTGATCGAATTCTGTTGCGCGAAACCGAACCCAAAACCAAAACGATCGGAATCCTCGGGCGAAGACGAATATATACCGCAACACGAGCAATCCGTACCTGCACCCTATCGCCAGTAAGATTCGACCGAATCGAGCGAATTGACCACGTAACACCCGATCCGTCGCGTTTTCGAAGGCCTCCGCAGGCTATTCCCAATTCCATGGCGAGTGCCTCGCGATAGCATCACAAGTGCCTTTACGTCGCCTAAGCGGCTGGCTGCTTGGCCTGTCTATCCGAGATGGATTCGCCGCGTATCCTGCCGCCTAGAGTGGCGGCTACCACGACATCTTGCGCACCTTTTACTATTACGTCAAATGGTGTATTATCAATTCCAGGAGCCGACCCGACGACCTTGACGGCCGACGCTGTCTACTCACCCCTATGTACGACTACCGCGGTGGCCCAACCCGCCATTATCGCGAATGGAGGATTTGATTTGGACCAAACAACATCTGCCTCTAATCCACAGTTCTCCGACCTTCGCGACCCATTTTATGCTTCGATATTTCCCCAATGCTATGCCTTAGCTGCAACGACTGTTTTGGCCTACTTGCTTCTTATCATGCTTTTTATCGCGCCACGATCCTTTCTTGACGGCGGAGTAGTTGTTTTGGGCCGACGTGGTTTTACGAATGGACCCTCGAACGGCATCAGTATCGGTGGTCGCCCGTGGCTACAAAAAGTCGCGGCTTTAACAGTCGCTATTTCGCTAACCATTGCTACAGCGGATACTTTCCGCGTCGCCGAGGAACAATACGCGTGGGGAATACAAAATGCGCAGCAGCTTCAGGACGATGTATTAGGGGGAACCCAGTTAAAAGTCATTCAATTAATATCTGATACCTTCCTCTGGCTGGCACAAGCTCAGACGCTCATACGACTATTTCCCCGGCAGCGCGAAAAGGTTATCATAAAATGGACGGCCTTCTCGCTTATCACGTTGGACGTCATTTTTGGTGCCCTGAATAGCTTTCATTATACGAAGCAGGGTAACACTAGGCCACGCAGTTTCACAGATGCGGTGCCGGCACTGAGCTACCTCTTCCAGCTATCTCTTGGGCTATTATATGCTGCATGGGTTCTCTATTATTCTCTTATGAAGAAGCGATATGCCTTTTACCACCCCTTGATGAAGAATATTTGTTTGATGGCCACACTTTCTATCATATCGATTCTTGTTCCCGTCGTCTTTTTCGTCCTCGATATCGCAGAGCCTGAGTTTACCGGATGGGGTGATTACGTTAGATGGGTAGGCGCAGCTGCAGCTAGCGTTGTTGTGTGGGAATGGGTCGAACGAATTGAAGCGTTGGAACGTGAAGAGAAGAAGGACGGAGTTCTCGGACGAGAAGTTTTTGATGGCGATGAAATGATGGAGGTTTTCCCTTCGGATCTGTCTTGGCCTCGACGGCGGAAGAATAAGAAAAAGAGCGACGAGGAGGAGTTTGACGAGGGAGATAGCGGCAACAGCTCGTCGTTTGGCGGTCGAAGCAATATGTGGCCAGCTATGTCGTCTATTGCTAGCCGTGTTAGATCGAGATCGGAGAGCAGCCCGGACAGGAGACAGCAAGTTCCGTCGGCGGGCAGATCAACAACACGGTTTTTACAGCCTCCATTGTGGCCTCCTCGGCCGCCTCCGGCAGTCACTCCGGTAAGTAGGACGGACACTGCAAGCGCCGATAGCACCGTTTACGCGGTTCGATATCAACCTCTTACGGAGACAACTACGAGAACTACAGACGACAGACCTGGACGCCCATTATCTAGGAGTAATAGTGCCACGTCCTCAGCTTCAGGTCCGGTATCAGGTCTGGTATCAGATGGCAATGGGCAACCCGGAAGCAGTCCTCCATCACGCCAGCCATCGTCAGCGCGTGAACCGGAAAGGAAGGAAGCAAACACGGGCCTCTGGCAAAATTTGAACCCATTTAATCGTGCCGTAAGGGAACCTCCTGCAGAGGTTCTCCCACATACGGCACCTAAACAATCCACGCAACGACGAGACTACGACAGTGTTGGTAGATGGGACTTGCGAGGACGGATGGAAATTTTTACAGCGACGCAAGCAGAGAGGATTCTGGAGAGGATCCGGCCAACCCCCGATACGGATAGCTTACCGGTTACCGTCATACCCGCCCCTCCACGGCGAGGTGCTGCGTTGGCACAGTTACTCGAAGAAGAGGAATTGCAAATCGAATCACAAGAGCAGCCGGCCCCATCGAGTTTGAACTCAACCCGCCCGACTAGGACTCCAAGCACAGCAACCGGGTCAATGCCACCGCCACGTGGGATTAGAAATAATAGTACGGCGTCGTCTACATCGAGGACAACCCCTAGTCCAGCAGAAAGAAGTGATCCATCCTTTCGCAGGCCGCCTATCACACGCGAAGGCAATTCGTTGACAGCCTCGACTCATAGGGGTGGGGACCAACGAGAAAGAATGGCTGGCGAGAGGCGACCGGTAGATGATATTTTGCGGGATGAACACAGTCCTGCCTCGCCACCGGTATAGAAATCTCTGGCATTGTCTATTTTAATCTTTCTGTGGTCTAATGAAGCGTGGCGCTTGTGTTGCTTTTTGGGGGGGTCTAGCGGATTTATTTTGCAATGACATTTACGGCGCATGGTTTTCAAAAATGAGGATATCCTTGCCCTTTCAACGTTGGGCGATTTAGATGGCTGATTCATGGTGCATTTGCACCTATATAAGCCATCATATAGTATACCCGACGGGATGCAGTGGCTATTGTATATATATACAAACATATTTAGCATTATCACCGGGACACGGTGAGAGGGAGCATCGATGGCGCATTGGAATTAGGCGGGATGAAGTTTCTGAACAAGAAACCTTCAATCCCCAAAGCTAGCTTGCTATGGGTTACAGCAGCTTCTAAGTGTTGAGCTGGCTACGATGTTAGGCCATACTAACTGTAAGAGACGGGTTATTACTAAGTATGTAGCGCCTCCTATTTAACTAGGGGGGTTGCTGTATGGAAGAAGTTAAAGTTATCTCTTGTGACGCTGCTATTTGTGACATAGCAATGTATACATCAACATGAAAGGGCTTGCGTGCCCGGAATTCGTGCAAATTCATATTTCGGTGTTTGATAATTGGTGTTGAGTTTACTTGAGGAATATTGTCCGGGTTGTTCGGTAAGGGAGTTAGATATGCGCCCCTATTAATAGGAGATGGTGTAGAGGCGTAGTAAGAATTAGACCCAGTGATCAGCACATGTTTCATAAGCACCTATGTGCATTATTGAGAGAAATTGTTTCCGAGGGACACTCCACCCTGAGGACAAGTTGTTTAAAGGTGAACCTAGGTATGTAGTTAACGAGAACTTATAATCGGATGCTATAGTCATTTAATACTTGCTAATGTCAAATAATGCAAAACTTTTGCTGACGAAATTTATTTTACCCTGCCGTCAACTCAAAGCCGGCAGAAAGGGGGCTAACGTGCTATGTACTAAGGAGCGGTAGTGTGTCTTGGCGGTAGAGTTAGCCAATCAGAGATAAGGAACCGCTGGTTGGATCCTAGTACTCATTAAAGTTAGTGACTGTCATATGCTTCCCTGAGGCTCAGGCAGAGGAAAGAAGGGTCCATTTATGTATGTTTATGTATGTAGGAAGTATAAAAAGTTTTATTGCTCATCTCCTTTGTCAATAACGCTACCTACTTAACGGGGTTAATTAACGGTCTATCAATTAACTGGATTGTCTAACCTTGAACACCCTTGAACAACACTACCACCACTTTCACCACCGCAACTTTTACTCCTCTTCTTTCTTCTCTCAACCTCAATTCAAATCCTCCCGCGCCTATCAAACTTGGTCCTAGACTGCTTTCGCTCCTTAAGCATCCTGGGATCCTTCTAGATAGGTGGGTTCGTGGTTCGTCCAAGCAGAATTACTAGGCCAGTCAGCCGTAACAATTACCTAGTAGCATCCTACCGTCATCTAACTTTCACATTCAATCCTATCTATTTGGTGTCTAACCTCCTAAATCCGCTCCCGGCCTTCCGCCTCTCCAACCTAAGCTACTTTCACAACGGGCTCGACTCTGCGACAATGTCTCCGTCCGAGCCTTTTCCTATTCTCAACACCTCGGCCGATCAATTGCACTCTGCAGCCGACGGAGGCGCGCGTCGACGTAGGAAGTCAAGCGGGCTAGGTGCTGACATTAGGGTGGGAGATACTGGCGCACCCAGTCTTCAAACGAGTCTTGATCATCTACAACTCAATTCCAACTCAAGCTCGACTTCAGTAAACGGCCAATTACAAAAGTCACCCTTGGACAATAAAGATATTTCTAAAAAGGGTTCCAAACGTCGAAAAGCGCGGTCTTTCCTGCGTCGCTGCAAGCACTTCGCCATCAAGCATACTTGGGTCTTGCCCCTTGTTATTCTGACAATCTTTTTGTCGCTGTTGGCTATCAATCCGACCGAATCGAATCCTATTTACCACTTCATCTTCCTCTCCTACAAGCTCCCTCGCGAGCCTGGTGCCGACCCCGACACACCCGTGCAATATGGAAAGGGACTATGGGATATTGCTTTTGTAGTTTTCTATACCGTTGTGCTCTCGTTCACGCGCGAGTTCATCATGCAAGAGCTCCTCCGACCCCTTGCTAAATATGCTGGCTTAAAATCGCGTGGCAAGCAAGCCCGGTTCATGGAGCAAATGTACACTGCCATCTATTTCGGTTTCTTGGGACCGGCTGGTATGTACGTGATGAGCAAGACTCCGATTTGGTACTTCAACACCCGTGGCATGTACGAGGGCTTCCCGCACAAGACACACGAGGCCGGTTTTAAGTTCTACTACCTATTTCAGGCGGCCTACTGGGCCCAACAGGCCATCGTTCTCCTGCTCGGTATGGAGAAGCCCCGGAAGGATTACAAGGAGCTCGTCGGACATCACATCGTTAGCTTGACACTTATCGCCCTCAGCTACCGTTTCCATTTCACGTACCTCGGTATCGCTGTTTACATCACGCACGACATCAGCGACTTCTTCCTTGCAGTAAGTTGGACCTATGGTATAATATCCCAAATTGCCCCTTCCTGTACTGACGAGTACTCTTATAGACATCAAAGAGTCTCAACTACATCGATCATCCTCTCGTGGGACCCTACTTCTTCGTCTTTATGTGTTCCTGGGCCTATCTACGTCACTATCTGAACCTTCGCATTCTGTACTCGCTTTTCACTGAGTTCAAGACTATCGGACCCTATGAGCTAAACTGGGAAACTGGGCAATACAAGTGCGAGTTGGCTTTCTGGATCACTCTCACCCTCTTGTCGTCGCTGCAAGCTCTCAACCTGTTCTGGTTTTTCTTCATCTTGAGGATTGGCTATCGATTTGTTGTCTACAACCAGGCGGACGATGACCGATCTGAGGCCGAGGAGTCTGAGATTGAGGAGCTAGAGCGCAAGAAGGCAGAGAAGCCGAACTCGATCGAAAGCAAGGGTACTGAAGCAACGCCGTTGCTTAACGGCGACGCCAACACGAATGGAAACGCGAACGGTGTTCTCAAGGCCCGCCCAAACGGAGCGGCGTCATCGCAGTCGAAAAAGAAGTCAACGCGATAGAGAACTGCTGGCTTCCCGCCCTTCCATACTTCATGACATTCGCTTGTAAATTTTCAACTTTTTGGTTGCGCATGGGGCTATCATGCGTAATGCGACACTGGACTCGAGCATATACGGCAGACGTAGACGAGACATCTGCGACATCTGATGCATAGCTCACTGGGAGGACAAGCACAAGTAACGTCCCCTGGCCACTTCATCAAATCATCATGGGTACAGGCGTTCGGGAAACGGGTTTAGCATCCCAAGCCATTCGCTCGTAGGTCATGGAAACGGCGCACGTGGAAATTGCTTGGTCTCTTGGGTACGAGGCTCGGGGATGAGAAGCGCGAGAATGAGGTTAACGAGTCCGATTTGATCAGTCTGATATCTCACCCGCCGCTCGCGAGCTTGTTTCCGAGCGCTGCGGGAATGGGTGTCTAGATATTCGGAACGCTAGCGAAGGAAGAGAAAGGGGAAGTGAAGTATCCGGGATTTTTGACCAAACGATGAGCATAGCATGACGGGATGAGAAAGAGCACGACGATCATGTTCCTTCGCTTCCTGAGTACGATAGTTGGAACCTCCACAAACCTTTTACATAATTCTTAATGACAGGCGGGACGGACGGACGTTTGCGAATGTCCGCCTACCGAAATGAAACCCTTGAACCCTATATACATATTTTCCGTCCCTTCCGTGGCCACAAGTGGATATATAGACAGCATTATAGGCACGGCAGGTCCCGTGCTCATACCGCAAATGTGAGAAGTGCTCGGCAGAAACATGGCGCATAGTGTGATACTTCGTGAAGATTCCTTCCTCTATCCGGCATAGCCACTACGGAGAACGAAGGAAAGCATAGGGGTCTCGTGAGCTTCGGGCTTTGAGGTCCTGTCGATTCTTTACCTAGGTAGGTAATGTAGAACTGACGGAGCAGACTCTAGACTCTACTATTCGCAGCCGGGCCCCGTCGTTAGTTTGCCTAGCTGTTATGTGTGCGCATACCAAGAACCTACATATGTACGTATCGTTTGTTTGCTGTTTACTGTTTGTCGCCGACTTCACCGATGTCGACCAAGCAGAACGAGCCATCTATCCTCATCCCTCTCTCCCTATCCTCATCCCTACCTTAAGGGACCGCGGGCACGAGCGCCGCCGCGGACGGCACACCGAACGAAACGTGGATTATCCACGTGAAGCCGCGATAGATACGTCATGTACGTAGAAATAAAGGGGTTTAAGCGGATATATATAACTTCGCGCAACGTGGTTCCGGACCCCAAACCCCCCCAAAAAGCAGAAAGCCACGAGACCTGGGGAAATACCCTTGGAAGGGCAGGTAGGTAAGGTCAAGGTCAAGGTCAAGGTATGTTATGTCACGTACTAGATATGTAGGACGTGCCCCAAGACGCACGTATGTATGTATTATTACGCAGAAGCCGCTTCCCCCATGTTCCAAAATGCCTACCTACCTCAGTCCTACATAGTAGCGTATGTAAGTATGTATGTATGTACGTAGAAAACCCCCTTGCTCACCGAGGGGTATTTACGTATTTTACACGCCCTCACCGGGGTCCCCTCCACATTCAACAAACTCACCTAGCCTACCTAGGTAGTAAAGTTGGCCATAACCCTCACCTACCTTGCCTTCTCTGGGTAGGTACACGCAACACACGTCTCCCTCTACCTCCGCTTAAAGTACCCGTCCAAGTACACGTTCTAATTCTAATTCTATACTACCATGTATACATACCTATCCATGTAATGTACCTGCCATTACATGGCATGAACATGACATTACATTATTACATACATACATTACCGCCATCCCGTCCTGTCCGTCCGCTCATCCCCATCTCATCAACGCACCCCCCCGGCACCCCCCGGGCTTATATGCAATCCTAGTTTATTCTACCACGTTCTTTTCTTTTCCCTGAGAAAGCAAGCAACGTTGCAGGGGGGGTTGTTGTAGTTTAAACCGGAGTACCGCATCTGCAGGAACGCGCTTTTCATGGTGCGCCGAAAAAAAACCTTGCCCCTCCATGCTTAGGTGAGGACGCACGAAGGAAAGAAAATTGGGAAGAGAAAAGTTCAAAATGCGACCCTGGCCGGAGCCGGAAGGAGTAGGCGCACAAAAAAAAAGGGAGCCCTGGAGAAACAAGGGGGTTCGGTTCGAGTTATATTAGCCATCATGGCAGATCGGGAGCCTTTACCGGCCTGAGCCGCATCCCGGAACGTTTTTTGTTATTTGGAATCCCTGGGTTGGAAATTCTAGACGGCTGCAACGTCATCCCAAATTTGTGCCGACGGAGCCTAAGCAATCTGGGGAAGGTAAGTTAGGGGCGCGGAGACGCATCATCGCCATCAGCCTCACTTGCGACGAGTTACAACATAAAAGCACCGATAGCGGATAATCCCGCTGAAACATGTAAAGTGTAAGCGAAGTCATTGCAACCCCGACTGCAAAGGGGTTCTTCGGTATTAACAGTCGGTCCATTACGGATGGAAAGTAAAGCCACCTATAGCGTCTAAGTCATTTGCAAATGGTAACCACATCACCCCTGCCGCAAATCTCATCTCTCATCACGCCTGCTAATGCTGCCAGTCATCATCTCATTATGGTGGTAACCTTCTTATCACCTTTCCGTGAGGAAAATAGCAAGGAAAGAAAAAAGAAGAAAAATTCGAAGCGTAGCAACCCGACTGACTGACTAAAACCGGAACCAGAAAATGAAAGCAAAAAAAAAAAAGTGTAGAATCAAAAACCTTCCTCCAATCCCCCCCTTAGCATTGGTTTGTTTCCGTTTCCGTCCCTTCCTATTCCATCCCGCCTTTGCCGGAACTTTTTCGTGTGCGTAAAGGCCATGACCGATCGTATGTTTTGCAAACAACGATGCTGAATTAAATAAGACAGGACGACGTAAGTCTTTTGGTATCGTTGCGAAGAATCGTGAGAGCCGGAAATGCAAAGCCGCCGAGAGCCTCTGGTGTAGAGGGGTTCTTTTTGTGTATATGCCACCAACGCCGTCTGTAATGCAAAGTGTGCCCCGGTATTCCTGGGATGTGAGAAGCTCGTGGGGAAGCTCATTAGCAATAACTAAGTATATATCGCATAAAATTGGGAATATGGACATGAATCTAGTCCAAGTCATTGGACATTAATGATTAGTGGGTCGATCGAGCAGAGACTTCAGCCGACGTTGTAGATTCGAACTGAACGCTGAGTCGATTGGGGGTCGTCGATTCGTCAGACGAGCTGCTTGAGTCGTCGTTGCCATTAGAATGTTCGTTTCGGGTGTGATGATCACCGGAAGCAGATGGAATATTAGCCTTGCGCAAAAGCTTTTCAGCCTTTCGGGTTGCGTTACGCGCATCCTCGGCTGCCTTTTCGGCTTTCGCTTGCCGATTCCACATGGATGCGTATCGACCATTGAGCTCAAGCAGCTTTTCGTGAGTGCCCTTCTCGACGATGGTCCCTTGATGTAAGACAAGGATTTGGTCCGCATGGGTAATTGTTGAAAGACGATGCCTAAAGGCGGTCAGTTGGGCCGGTTACGGAAACGCTATAGACGAAACGGTCTCGGAAGAGGGGAATAAAAATATATATGTAAAGATATAAAATAACAGATAAAAAAACTTACGCAATGATTAGTAGTGTACGTCCACGGCCGATATTGGCGAGTCGGGACTGAATCTGCTGTTCCGTGTGGCTGTCAAGTGCCGAGGTGGCCTCGTCCAGCATGATGATCTTAGGATTCTTGAGTAGCGTCCGCGCAATGGCCACCCTTTGCTTCTCACCGCCACTCAAGCGTAGGCCACGCTCGCCCACCTTAGTGTTATAACCATCCGGGAATGACATAATCCTCTCGTGAATGCTGGCAGCTTGGCAAGCCGCCATGATGTCGTCGTCAGTCGCATTCTGGTTGGCATATCGCAGGTTATACATGAGCGTGTCGTTAAACAGGACCGTATCTTGCGGCACTACTCCTATGTAGCGTCGAACAGAATCAATCGTGACATCCTTGATGTCGCGGCCATCGATCCTGATGTTCCCCTCTTGACAGTTGAAGTAGCGATACATCAATCGGAATAGAGTGGACTTGCCGCCGCCTGATTCGCCGACAAGTGCCGTAGTCGTGCCAGGTTCGCACGTGAACGTCAAGTTCCTCAGTGCCGGCTTTCTTTTGTCGTATGCGAATTTGACCTTAGAGAATTCGACACGACCTTCGCACGAGGTAACATTGGCGGCGCCAGGGCGGTCAACGACGGTAGGGCGCTGCTTAAACAGTTCCAATAGCCGCTCTCCAGATATCATAGCTTGCTGTACGGTGCGGTAGAAGGTTCCGAAAAAGTTGAGCGGACCCTGCAGCTGGCCTAAATAGGTCATCAAAGTAACGAAGTCTCCCACTTTGCGGCTACCCATCGTTACTTGGTACGCGCCAAGCATCATAGCAACCAACATCCCGATCATGAAAACCAATGACTGGCAGATATTCATCGTGCTTATGCTCCACGTGACTCTAGCCTCCGCAGCTTGAAAATTCTGAATAGCTTCCCTGTAGCGATTGAATTCGAAGTCTTCCGCATTGAAATACTTAACCGTCTCATATGAGATGATCGAGTCGTTCTTAACCGCTTCTTCTTCTCTGTCCGCATTAGACATCGCTCGTCTTTGATCTGCGGTCTTGGAGGCCATTCTTATTGTCAAAAACAGATAATAGAATGTAATTGAGCAAACGATGACGGCGTAAACGGCATCAAATCTGACGTAGAAATAGCTGATAGCTACAAACAAGTCGATGAGCATCGGAAAGACCTGGAACGTGACCTGTTCGAGGAAAGCATTGACCGAGGAACCTTTGTTCAACGCGGAGAGCACCTCTCCAGTCCTCTTGCCCAGGTGGAAGTCAAGGCTCAGGGAATGAACATGCTCAAACGCCGACGTAGTGAGAGCTCGGTACGTGTGCTGGGAAACGGGGATCCACAACAGCGACCTGAGAGACCCTAAGAGCCCGGACGGTCCTTGGAGTAGCTTGTACAGGATGAGCAGTCCGAGCGAGACCCAAGGCATGATGAGCGGCTCTCCCTTCTCGAGATCGTCTCCGGAGAGCTGATTTGTGACGATACCAATTTGGTAGGGAACCATGATATTCACCCATCGCTGCAGGGCCAGCAGGAAGAAGCAAACCACAACAATGATTTGCAGCCGAAATTGCTTATTAGGCCACATATACGGGAAGAAGACGGAATAACCCCGCAGATACTCAAACCAAGTGGTATGCGGTAGCTTCTCCGGTCGATAAAACCCGGCATCCTCGTCGACCATGGGATGGCTCGCATCGGCAGCACCGTCAGTGTTGGCGGTGGCGGAACCGTTGGCGCCCGGATGGGGAGAATGACCGTTTGTGCGATAGCCGTTTGCTTCGCCATTAAGTAGAGGGGTGGCTTCGTCAGCTTCATAGTCGTATTCTTGTCCCTGCTCATACTTCTCTAGCTCGGCCCGACTTCTCAGCAATACGATAGTAGAATACACTACTATCATGCCTGTAAGAAGAGCGATCCGGCCCGCAGACAGGCCGAGATCAATTATGTCCCACTTGTCTACCTCGTCCACAATCACATACTTATCGCGATTGAGATTGGTCATGACTTTGTGGGGGCGAGACAGAATGATTGCGTCGCAGACAAAGATGATAACCTCACCACAAAGCGCGAAGCTCCACGTTAGGATATGGACCAAGCTCGGGCTACTTTTCCAGTCGAACATAGTCAACGTCAAGTAGACGTAAAGAAAGGCCGAACCAAGGACAAAGACCTATGCAATTGTCAAAAGGCGAAGGGTTAGCTGACTGCATTATCAGATGTAAATTAGTGGGAGTTCTAATTGCTTACGGTTTTCGGCTCGCCGCACCACCATCCATGTTGGCCATCTGCGCTCCTGTGAATTAGAGCGCGCGCGGCAATTGCACCACCGGTAGCAAGAAATGTCAATGTCGCCAAGATCATGGAGCATTGGAAGAACCTCCTGGCGTGAGGAGTGAAATCGGTTTCTGTCGCATCATCTTCAGACCTTCTCCTCTTAGTGACGGGCAACGGCTTGCCGCCAGGACCTGTGACAGTAGGCACGACTACATCTTCCTTACGCATAGCGGTGTAGACGGAATGAGTGGCGCCGATGGCGATAAAAGCCAGAAGCAGGAGGTCCGGATAGAGATACTGAGTAACGTCTCGCACTCTCTCCGCCGGGGAGTCGGGAGGGCTGATGATGACTTCAGCCATCTTGGTCTGTGAAACGTGCGAGTCAGCATAGATATTCGCAGGATACATAAGAGCCGTGCAAATCGGACGAGGGCATTGCACTGCATGCTGCAAGGCGTGCTTGACGTACATATTACTGACGGCAGTGCTTGTACTGGGTCATTGCCGCAGCTGCACAAGATCACGACCCCCCAATTGCTTCAAGCAGCAGAGCCCGGAACTGCCTGACTTGCAAATTGCTCTGGCCTACGGAAAGACTGGTGACTGTCGGGTTTCCAAGGTTCAAGAAATCAACAAGAATTGAAGGTCAAGTGTTCTATGCTCGGCTCGAGTTAGTGGGATACCGAGTCCATGTTCTGGTGGGGCTTGGTCACCAGACGGTGTTAGTGGCGAAAGCCACACTCTGCACACTCTGGCGGACTGACTCGAGACTAGCGTACCTAGACGGAGACGGAGAAAAAAAAAGGTAGGGACTCCTTGTTCTGAAAGTGGTCTATGAGCGAGCAAGTGACGATGAGGCACTGCTTCGGTCTAGCCAGGATCTGCACCAGGGGATAAGAAAAAATAAGTAGGTGCAGTGCTGGCACAGCGGGGGGGGACCCTTTGATGGTTATGGCCTGGCGTGGGCGTGAGCGTGGGTGTAGGCGTAGGTGAAGCAAGCTGAACAGTACTATCAGATAGACCGACTGATGAAGCTTGCCCTCTCCTAAGAGACTAGGGGGGTACAATGCGGTGGGTAACCCTTATGGCCTCACGGGGGGTTGGGGGTTAATAAAAAGACAATTGCAAACGAGCGTATGTTTACTGTGTGAAGGACAACCTTGGAAGATTGTATAAAGGTATAAAGGAGGTGTTGTTGTAGAAAGGTCGGAGGATCTCAAAAGTAGTAGCGTGTTGCACAAAAAGTCGAAAGGAAGTATGTATGTAAAAGTAAGTTGCTACTATGTAAGTAGAGACAAGGAATTCGTATGGGTGGGCAGGGTAGTAGCAGGGGCTTGAAAAAGGTGGGATGTGCCTGTCTTGATTCTTTTTCCAAATTCAGATCAGGTAACCCGAACCCAGGGTAACAGATCCTTGCAAGATAGGTCCTGTAGGCTGTGGGCTGTAGGTCGGTAGAGACTGGAGTTGTATCGTGGAAACTAGTACGAACTAGTGTTGTGGATGTTGTTTGAAAAATAATAAAACACAAAGATAGACGGTCCTGGCCCGCCGTCGTTGGAAAAATCGAAACGGGAGAGGAGGGGGGAAAAGAGGAAACCGGCGTAATGTAATGTAATGTAATGTTATGTGCCCAGTGTGTAAGTAAGATGGTAGAATGGTAAGATAGTCGTGATAGCGATGAACGAAGATACAATGGTAAGTAGTTTGTATAGCTTGTAGTTTGTAGTTTCGTAGCTTCGTAGCGTCGTAGCGTCGTGGTTTCGTATGTATGTAGCTCGCAGTTTGAGAATAAAGTGAAAAAGGTGGTGTGAGCAAGTGTGAAAGATGTGGGAGGATAGAATTGGTAGCTTAGATTCTAGACCCGAATTCCTAGATGCATGTTTATGGAGAAGGCTCAAGAAGAGTCAATGATGAGCTGTCGGTACTCGCGGTGGGAGTCGCCGTTACGGGAATGGTAATTGATAGAGTAGGAGGAGTCTTCAGGATTATGCTTTCTTTTTTTTTTCCCTGGCTTTAGGTAGCTAAGGTAACTGTTGTTGTATTGTGACCTAACAAGGGAGTATCGACGAAGTTCTTTCTAAGTTCCTTCCGTGCCGTTCGAGGTACCAGGTACGTTCGATACCACCTGGGAAAAATGTCCCGAGGCTTCTAGGGCTGCTAGGGCTGTTCTGGCCGTTCTAGCGGACAATTATAGCTAATCAGGTAGCTATCCTGTTATCCTAACACGTCCAGCTGTTAGAGGACCTGGCATAAACAGCCTAGCACATGTATGTGTTGACCAAAAAAATTGGATAATTGGAATAATCAAAGGACATTGGACATTGGACATAAACCATTTTTTTAACAATAGGTGAATTAGAACGCAAAGCCGTAAAGGCCCAAAATTTGACCCTAGCTCCATTCGATGCTAATGTCGAATAAGGGGATGTGGTTTGTCAGAGAGGCTTACACAAAGTAGCCAAACGGCTTGTAGCCTTCTCACCGCCTTGCATCTAGCTCTACTCCTGGTGAGGGTCGAGGTTGTGATTGCAGCGCACCTGCATGCATGAGGTCTTGGACTTATTCGGTTTGACAGGGGGTTGCGGCGGTGCTCTAGACGCCTCTGGTCTAGCCTAATAAATAAATAATAAAGCTGTCCCTTAACGGTGGGTTCTTTAGAAAAGAAGGTGTGGTGGGGTTGTGCTCGTGGTCCGTGGTCCGTGTTCCGGATTCCTCGTGCTGTGGCTGTGGTAGTGAGATGGATGGTAGATGGTAAATTATATGGAGATTGTAGATTGTAGATTTGTCGATTTGTAGGTATGGAGAACCTTGAAACTCACAGCAACGTACAGGTCGCCTAAGGGAGGAGGATGTTCAGATATATTATAAATTTGTCGTCGTACAAGATCGATACCGTGACTATGCCCGTGACTGTGACCGTAACCGTGACCATATATCCATATATATGAAGGCGAGAAACAACAACTTGGAACCTTGGAACGTTAGGTAAGACAACGACCCTATAAACTTTAGTTATAGGTTATTATTATGAGGATAAGGTCAGTCATGAAGAATTTGGAGGAAATAACGTTCCGGATAGACAATGGACCATTCTCGCTTGTGGGAGAATAATGATAATAGCCTTTTTGACAACTGCAACCCTATTGTGAGCCGACGGACCATGAACGACCACAGACCATGGCGTGGATAGGGAAGATGGGGCGATCCCTAATATATAGAACAGCAACGCGTCGATGAATTATAGGAGAGTTTTAAGAAGCTCCCTATATCCATCCGTGACTGGTACTCCCATGACGATTTCATGCCCTTCGAGTAAATCAGTGAACCTAGTATCAGTGTATCCAAGAAGCCGCAGGTTTCCAGTACCATTAGGCCGGGCACTGCAGCCGAGTAATCTGTGTTCCGCGCGCGCTTTATTGTGATACATCGCACGTAGGTACGTTTTGACAAAAGCAATACCTATAGGGCAAGTATAGAGGTGGTATTAGTCTCAATGCTTGTTCAGAGACTTTTGCCCATTACCCCCCATTGCCCAAGAAGTGCCCAATCAACGCAGAGCACCAAACGCATGGGATACCTCGAACGCATTAAATACCTTAGGTAGGTAGGTATGAAAGGAGACAGGATTAAAAAAAAAGTGAGAGAATTAAAGTGGTATGTACTTTGAGTATCTCTCGGTAACCTCCTTTCCCCTATTTCTCATGAGGGACACATCATAGGGTCGTAACTACTTGAGTAGATGAGAGCTGATCAACTAGATCATCTGATGCCCGATGGCCAGTAAAGCTTAACAAGATGGATGCAAGCCAGCTATCCCGGCTCAATTCGGGTAGAGTCGCAACTCTTGTACAATTGTACGTAAGAGCACTTGCTACTAGGTAGATGTAGTTTATGCCGGAAGGTTATGGGAACATCTTTAGAGGCGTATCAGTAGATTGTATCTCGTCAACCCCGGGTACCTCCGTACCATCTAGCTGGTTGGCCTTTGGCTGTTCCCGGTTGCCGTATTAGGTATGTGGAACGAGAAACGTAGAATCTCCTTCCTGCCAGATGTGAATCACGTAGGAAAACCACATAGGAAAACTTCATTAGGGACACTTGCCCCCCTTCCGCCCGAGAATACTTCCCTTATATTTGCCAATCGTCTTTTCCAGTCTCCTTCTTCCTTTGGGTATTCGTAGTGATTTTGTTCGAGCAACCCAATGTGGAAAAGAGAGAGAAATGAGAGAGGATAGGGAATAAAGAAATAAGAGACATAAGAAAGAAACCGGGACGGCAGATGGGCCGTGTGTCTCACCAACCGCTTTAGGGCTCTGCCAACTTCGGCATCGATTTTAATCATCTAGGTCCAGATCACCAATCCCGTCTCCTCGTCATCGCTCTTTTTTCCAAGCTTGGGCCATGTATTTCAACCGGGCGGGATGCTTATTATTCCATCAAAAAGCTTTTTCTGCAGCTCAGCTTCCCTGCGTCTCGCTTGTCTGGTCCCGAAGTCTGTCAAGACTGGGTCAGTTTGTCTTGGCACCGCAGCTTATTGGTCCCTCTCCTGACCGACTCCCCCCCGATAAGGCACGATAAGATCCAACCTGGCGACCGGTCAAGATGTGGATCCCGCTTGTTATGCAGTAAGATTTTGAAAATCGACAAGAATGCCTGCCGCCCAAAATCCCATGTTCATCTTGCCCATACGTTTTCCGTTTGCGGAGTTCGGCTCCGAGTCCGTGTCACTAACAGGTAGTGTGGTATCCGTCCGCCGAAGCACCTTAACTAGGTAGTCATCTTGGTCGTCCTAAATGCCCTGGAATTCCGCAATCCTCATCTCCGCCATTGCATCTGCACTTCCCAAACTTCGCAACGTGTCATACAGCAGCCTACAGAAGAACCACCGGCAAATTGCAGCAAGCCATTGGCGAATTTGGCCGTGACATGGGTGGCAGTAGCGCGCGGCCCCCACACCCCCGGCTTTGTGCCATGCCATGCTATCATAACGAAATTAACGGGTATATAGTTGACCCTCACCATTGATCATTATTTCCCGCTCCCAGGAGATCCGATGTTGGGTACAGATGCAGTCCCAAGTTGGTACGCTGACTTGTAACTTCGGAGTACGGCTGCATAGCCCGTGTGATAGCTCACGGGGGTACCTCTACCATGGTCAACGCCATCCACACCGAGGATTGAAGGGCCGCTAAATACTTCTGCCGCGTGGGTTGGACAAGAATGACTTGCAGGCCCGGTCCGTTTCATGGGCCGCCTCGGCTAGGCTTCTCGATAAAGCCTGCTATGGTGTATGTTCTGCAGAAGGACGCAGATTTGGTCCCCTCCTTGGCGCCCTTGTTGGACATCCCTGCATATTCAGG